TACGAGGCACGCTGTTGTACTATACTTATGGCAGTCATGTGCGCATGTGCCTGATATCTCCGGATCGGATGATGTGCAATGCACGGATCTGGAGCACGCAACAGCATCATGGATGTCTTATCTTTCGCCAAAAGTCAATCGCCTTCCGCATAGGTCTTCTAGATAGTGTGTAGATAGACCCCTGCATCTGTGAGGAGAGAGCGGGGTTTGGTATCGGAGTAAGACAATGAATGTAACCACATCCTATTTAAGAGGTAGGATTGATCAACCAGTTCAGACGAATTTCGTCTTTGCAAACTCTGACTTGCGTAGGAGTGCATTCCGCTTCGTTTTCTCTTTTTGTACCTATACCTACCCGAGGTTCAAAATGGCGGACGACAAGACAGAAAAGACTGACAAGGTCGATCATGAGCCCCCTCGCTCTACGGCTGTTGTTGAGAAGGGAGAGGTTGTCGAAATTGATGCCGATGAAGCTCTTAACGCCGTTGCCGGCCTAGATGCCGCCACTCTACAGCTTGACGAGGAGACGGAGCGACGTTTGTTGCGCAAAATCGACATGAACCTTATGCCTGTTAGTTGTGACATTTGTTTGCGTCTTTTCAGTGAGCTAATCGTTGCCTGCCAGCTAATGTGTATTATTTACGGCCTCAATTACCTTGACAGTGAGAATCACGCCGGTAAACGCCAATGTTGTGTTGCAGCATCTGACACCCGATAGAAACGACGTTATCATATGCCAGCATCATGGGCTTGAAAACCGACCTCAAACTTGTTGGCGACAATTATCAGTGGCTATCAAGTTTATTTTATTTTGGTATGCCGTTTTCTTCGTATTCTCTTGAGAAAGTTGGCTAATGTTGTGCAAAGGATACCTTGGCTGGGAATTTCCAACAAATCGTCTCCTACAACGTTTGCCGCTTGCCAAGTATTCCGCCTTCAACATCATCATGTGGGGACTTGTCCTTGCTTTGTTTGCCACGACTGAGAACTTTGGAGGAGCTGTGGTCATTCGCCTCTTTCTGGGAGTGTTTGAGGCTGCTGTTACTCCTGGATTCACTTTATTCGTGTCGCAGGTGTGACTTCCTTGCTGCTTGGTTAGAGTGACGATGCATGCTAACATTGCCTCATCGCAGTGGTATACTAAGAAGGAGCAAGGATTTAGAACTAGTATATGGTTCAGTTTCAATGGCTTTGTATGGCAACCGATTAATAACCTTTTGCTTTTCTGTCTCATTATTGCTAACATTGTCGGAGGCTCAAATTTTTGGCGGCTTGGTAGCATATGGCTTCGCACGCGGCGCCGACATCCACGGATTTTCGATTGCGCCCTGGAAAGCGATTTTTATTTTTACTGGGGTGCTGACAAGCACCATGGGAATAATCTTCTTCTTCATCATGCCCGATAATCAGCTGAACGCGAGATTTCTTACCAAAGAGGAGCGTGTGTTGGCTGTCCACCGAATCAAAGTCAACGAACAGGGTATCGGTAATAAGCACTTTAAATGGTACCAGGTCAAGGAAGCTTTAACAGATCCCATCGTGTGGGGTTTTGTTTTGTACGCACTGCTTTCTGATATTCCTAATGGCGGAATCTCCAACTTCTTTAGTCAACTCATTGTCTCGTTTGGCTATACTCCAGAGCAGAGCTTGCTCTATGGCACTCCCGGTGGAGCAGTCGAAGTCGTCACGCTGCTGCTTTGCGGATTCCTAGGAGACAGACTTGGAAGCCGCCTCTTGGTGTCTATAGTTGCCCTCGTAATATCCATGGTCGGCATGATCATGATTATTGCTATTCCGTTGGATCGACCTGCTGGTAGACTGGCCGGATACTATCTCACTCAGGTAAATACATGTATGCAGAAGATGGGGATGAGGATTGAACTAACATCAACCAGGCAGATGCTGCTCCTTTCGTCGCAATTTTATCCCTGATATCTACAAACGTCGCGGGTAAGAAGAGCACCAATTTTGTTTACATTTAACGTACTAACGTATTGATAGGATGGACTAAGAAGACGACGGTAGCAGCAATGTATCTGGTAGCTTACTGCGTTGGGAATATCATCGGTACGCTATCGTGCATACACACTGCATAAGCCTCAATTGACTGACCCTCATTCAGGACCCCAGACTTTCCGACCAAAAGACGCTCCCGAATACCGACCAGGCGAAATCACAATCTTGGTTTGCTGGGCACTGTGTATTGTAGACCTTGTCTTTATCTGGTCATATTACCGCCGACAAAACGCCAAGAAGCGCCTCGTTCGGGCAGATCCGTCCTATGCCAGAACTGAGAATCAAGAATTCCTTGATTTGACGGACAGGGAAAACGCTGAATTTAGCTACTCGCTATAAAGAGGTACCATATCAGGGCTTGGCAAATGCAGCGGACCAATTACGTCCAGTTACAAGATAGTGAGGGGTCTCTAAAAGCAATTTACACTCTTAGAGCAACTAATACGACGAATTACATGTATATCTACATGTCGCCTCATTACATACATGAGAGCCCGCTGACAGCGCCCGTTTTCTAGTTTGTTGTAGGCCCAGGCAACGCTAAAAGCTTATGTCTCGCCCAGTGTAGATGCGTGTTGCCCTATTGATGCCCAAACAGTATGCGCATTGTCCCAACTATCTTTAGTCGCGACACTATTACACAAATTTGTCTCATCCTGAAAAACAGAATGCATTCAACCGTCTTAGTTGGTGAGCTACGGATTTCTCGATCCGAGCGAAGCCAATATACGAGTAAATTGCCTGATTTTATGTCCACGGGACTTACGTCGACTAAACTTGCTAGCCGGATCGGCTTTGGCCCATAGCACACATTAATTCCGTGAGGCGCGTGGTGATGAAGATTAGGTGAGCAGCCACATCAAAGTGGCTCCCTAGAGTCCCTGTGTTGGCAAGACCTAAATACATGCATGTAAGCCGTCTCTAAGCATCCTTTTCACTAATATTCTCTCAAGCTTTCGATAGATCAAAAGCCCTGGCCTAGGCGCAGACACTTGTACATCTATATTTTGACAAACTTGACTTACAATGACTTCTATAACATCTGGTCCCGAATTCCACACTGATCCTCCCCGGGGAGCTTCTTCGACTTCATCGATCGAGCAAGATGCGCCGGCTCTCCTAGGGTTACATCGCGAGGCTCCTAACCTTCACATCTATACAGTTTCTTCTACGAATTATGAGGCACTGAATCGAATCAACGATAGATCTGTCACGACTCTGCCTGTAGCTACCGTGCGCCCTACGGATGAAGCCGAAATTTCTACAGCGGTGCGACATATCTCTCAGAAGGGACTGACCCTGGCAATTCGAAATTCTGGCGTCGACCAAGGGGGCAGGAGCCGCGCTTTTGGGCCCAAAGATGTCTCGCTTGATGTTCGCTCCGTGGATAAAATGATTTTGTCCGCGGATCGGCAGCATGTAACTGTCGAAGGAGGAGTGTCATCTGAAAGATTACTCAAGTTCCTAGACGGCCATAATCTTGCAACGCCAACGCCCCTATCTCTTGTAGTTGGTTATGTCGGCTTTGCCTGCGGCGGTGGCTATAGCTTATGGAATGGTACCATGGGCATGGCCGCGGACAATATCCTCGGTGGAAGGGTTGTCTTGGCTGATGGGCATGTTGTGGACACAGACGATGCCGACTGCGACCCCGATCTGCTCTGGACGCTTCGTGGTGGCGGAGCTGGTGTCGTTGGGGTGGTTTCTTGTCTTCGCGTTCGAGTATACCGTCGCCCGACTCTTCTCGGCGGGCTTGTTGGATTTCCTCAGAAAGAAGCGTCTCAAATTACCGAGAGGCTCGCCAAATTGTACGCATGGAAGAAGCCCAATAAACTCGTGGCCGATGTAGGCATCGTGCACCCACCGGGGGCCGAAGGCCTATTCTTTTTCGTTTTTGCCTGGGCTCTGAACGAAGACAAGAGCGATCTTGATGAGGCAAAAGATTATCTTGAGCGAATGTTGAGCCTTGGAACCGTGGTGGTCAATACAGTCCAAGAGAGTAAGCTTCAAACACCAGTCCTTCTCCCGCCTGGAAAAAGCTAACAATAAACCATAGCTACACCGTACGGGCTCACAATGTCCGTCAAGAACCCTGAGCTCTTTGCGGAGCTCATACATTTCCGAAAGACGGTCTCAGTTCCTGTCTGGTCGGAAGAGCTCGGCCGCATCCTATCAGAGCCACTACCAAATTCTACATCAATTGTTGTCATCCACGATAGACATGGGGCAGGCACACGAGGTTCTGGTTCCACGCTCGTGGCAAACGGAGCCTTTTTAAATCGTGAACCACACGTGATGCTCGGAATATTCGCCTCGGCTCCTGCTGATGATGAAGAGGGAATGAAGAGCTGTGATGCGTGGGTAAATAAGGTGTTCGATGGAATTAACGCAGCAGGTCTTGCTGTGCCGCACAAGTACATCAACTTTTCTTCACCTCATAAGGGTGACGGTCTTCATTACTACGGAGCTGATGGTCTGGTTCGAATCAGATCTATCAAGAGCCGACTCGATCCGTCAAATCTATTCGCAAAGAGTACGCCTGACTTAGCATAGATCAATGTGAATGAGTTCTCGGCTTCACTCTGAGCCATGAATTTTCTCGGTGGCCGTAGACGTGAATCTTGAGACGATTGGAGCACAACGTGAATTTCGTGTCATGCTCTGGCTAAATTGTTTGTTCCTCCAATGAATGGCTCATCCCCCCATGGACAATAGCATGGTTATGAGAAAATTAAATAGACAACGTTGCACACACTTGGCGCTGCAAAATACTTGTAGCTAGTAGCAATGCTGTCTCTGCCCCTCGTTTCACGGGATTAATCATGGATATAGGCAAGCGGGGAAGCAAGTGCGGAGGTGGAACAGACAGATCTTTATTCTAGAATAAAAACAGCTTCAATGCGAAGATAAGCTCCGTCTCCGTTCACACGACTGTTCTCGTAATCAGTCTCAATCTCATTCATTGTACTCAAATGTCTATAGAGCAGCCTGTTGTTCTCGGATGAAATAGCTGAGTTCTAAGCCTCAAGCCCCACAACTAAAATGTCAAAACTGCCACACGATTACCTGGAGAGAGTCTATGCTGGAGTTCTCGGGAAACTTATCGGCGTATATGTCGGACGCCCATTCGAAAACTGGACTCATCAGAGAATAGTCGAAGAGCTCGGTCATATTCGCGGCTACGTTCATGAAAAGGTCGGTGATCCTCTCGTCGTCACCGATGACGATGTCTCTGGCACATTTCAATTCGTTCGAGCGCTAGAAGAGCATGGATGCCATCCTGATATCTCCTCTGAAGACATTGGAAAGACTTGGCTCAACAATGTGATTGAGAATCGCACCATATTCTGGTGGGGTGGCAGGGGTATGTCAACAGAACATACTGCCTTTTTAAATTTGAAGCGAGGCATACCTGCACCTCTTAGTGGCGCGATACGGACAAATGGGCGGACAGTTGCTGAGCAAATAGGTGCGCAAATCTTCATTGATGGCTGGGCTCTAGTAGCTCCAGGGAATCCCAGCCTTGCAGCCAAGTTTGCTCGCGCTGCTGGCTCGGTTAGCCATGATGGAGAGGCTGTATATGCTGCTCAATTGTGGGCTGCAATGGAGTCGGAAGCCTTCATATCACAGGATATCAATCATCTTCTCGATGTCGGCCTTTCAACTATCCCTGAAGAGTCTCTTGTTGCTCGTGTAATCGGAAACGTTCGGAAATGGGCCGCAGAAGATATGGATTGGATAAAAACCCGCCAGCGTATAGAGGAGTCATATGGATACGACAAGTTTCATGGCATTTGCCATGTAATCCCCAACCACGCCATCATGGTAATGGCTGTACTTTACGCTAGCAATGATTTTGACGAAGCCATGCATATCATCAATACCTGCGGCTGGGACACTGACTGCAATTCGGGAAACGTGGGCTGCCTTGTTGCCATCATGCTTGGCCTCTCTGCATTCCAAGGGGGCTATGACTGGCGGGGTCCATTGGCAGACCGTGCTCTCATTTCGAGTGCAGATGGCGGATATTCCATCAATAACGCTGCCCGGATTGCATATGATATAACCAACATCGGTCGACGACTAGCTGGCGAAGGTAACCTTGAGCCTCCAAAGCGTGACGCGCAATTCCACTTTAGCCTTCCAGGAAGCGTCCAGGGTTTTCAGCTTTCATGGCCGTCTGGCAGTGGGCAGGGCGCTTCAGCTGTGCTGCAGCAGCGAGTCAATGGCACCCATGGCCCTGGATTGGCGATAGATGTGAAAAATCTAGGGATAGAGCAGGGCCAGATTGAGGTTCTTACCCAGACCTTTACACCGAAAGAGGTCTTGGATATGGAGACTTATGAGTTAATGGCATCACCGCTCCTATATCCAGGCCAGGAACTTAGAGCAAACGTATACACTGGCGATGAGGGAGTTGGCCAGATAACCGTCAGGCTAAGGTTGAAGGTATACGGCCGGAACGATGAACTGGTCGTGGTTGATGGCGGTTCTACCTTACTTGACCCCGGAGAGTATTATTATCTACATTGGAAAATACCAGATTCAATGGACAGCCAGCCTATTGAGAAGGTTGGTCTCGTGTTTAGCGCCGGTTCATCAAGCCCTTATAGTGGTACCGTTTGGCTTGACAGCCTTTCCTGGGAAGGCGTACCTGATATGGTACTCAGAGTACCTCGACAGCAGCCATGTGAATTCTGGCATCGTGCTTGGGTCAATGGCGCCGATAATTTCAGCAAATACTCGTTTCTGATTGCCCAAGGGCAAGGCGAGGGCATCATAATCTACGGCACGCGAGAATGGACCAACTACAGTATCACAGTTCCGAATTTCACAATCAAGTTGGGGGCTCCAGGTGGTCTAGCCATCAGAGTTCAAGGAATCAACCGTTACTACGCCGTTACTTTCACTGCCGATAAGAGGATCAACATCGTAAAGGCACACGATGCGCACAGGAGCGTACTCTCATCTGCGGCGTTTCCATGGGAGTTGGACTGTACATATCGAGTAACTCTGAAAGCTGATTACCACGAAATCTCCGTCGAAGTTGGTGGCATAAAATTACAAGCTACTGATATTCAGTACGAGGGAGGAGGGCTTGGGCTTATCGCAACAGATGGCTGTGTTTCCGCAGACTGTTTTGTCATTTCTTCAGTTTTTTTTAATAACTAAATTTGTCTTTCAATTAAATTCTTATATTATTTATGTAATTGATCGGGAAGTAGCTTATAAACGTTCCGTAATATCTTATAAGTAGGCAGTTGATATAAAAAAATATTACTTTTCTCATTACATAGAATACTTACAACTACATGTAAACCGATGCGCGCGGTTACATGTAGAAGATGGCGATATGTATCCATGTGTACAGGTAGGTACATGTATTCGAGGATAAGAAGATGGCGAGCAACCGCTACAGCTTAATGTACAGGGTACTCTATGCCAGATATATCAATCCCCTATCAATCCTGGTCCTTTCCATTTGTCCGTTGGTCCGTCTATTTACAAGTAAAAACTGTTGCATGCGGCCTCTTCCGGCTCCTATAGCAGCTAACACCAAGCCACCTGGGCAGCTCCAAAGTCTATCCCAGACCGCGGCTTTAGCGCCGGATAGGCCGATCGCGGCAGCCATTCAAATCTCCGAGGCGCTGTATTCTAGCGAATGGGGACCTGGCCGCTACCGATCGGAGCCCGCTAATCTGATAGCTGCGGTGTCATGACCTCATCCATTTACAGCGCAGCTGCAGTGGTAGCTGAGCTCTGTACCTGCGGCTGTTTGCAGTTCCACGTGAAATTCAATGGCCTAGGCCAAATGCCTTGGTGCCTCTTGGCTTGCCCCTTCAATTGCCTTATCCCTTCGTCATTTCTCCCTTCCATTGCACCTCGTCCATATGATCTGAGACATCTCTACCGCCCTCCTCGCTGTCTTTAGCCATAGAGTGGACGCCAGTCCTTCTATCTACTCAGCCAGAGCAACAGCTCGATAAATTTGATATGCATGATGGGTGAAGCAGACAAATACAGGCAGCAGGGCGACCCCCAGCATCAGAATCAACCGCAATATCAACATCAGAGCCAGAGCCAGAATCAGGGCGACTACCAGAACCAGGCTCAGTATAATCAGGGATACAACAACAATAACAACAGCGGCTACAATCCAGCATATAATGGCAACCAACAGCAGCAGCAACCCATGAATGGCTACCAGGATCATCCATACGGCCCTCCTCCGCCATACAGCTTCAACCCTCCTCAAGGCGAAGACGAGAAATACTCCTTCAACGACGCATTCAAGCTTGAGAAGCCCAAATTCAATGATTGGTGGGCGGGCCTCCTTGTAAGTGCTTCATCGGAGAGGTCATGTCTTATGATTCATAGCTCTAACAAATAAATGTCCGTGTTGCAGTTCCTCGCAGCTTTCGGAGGCTATGTGGCCATCTCGGGCCTCTCGATTCACGGATACGCCAAAGGCTTCGCTGGGCACGGCATCTACGACGACTTGAACAGCTTTTCACTCAACAGCAACACCATTATACTCTTCGCCTTCTGTCTGGTTATCGCCTTCGTCTTCTCGTACATATATGTCTGGCTGGCGCGCCTGTTCCCAAAGCAGTTTATTTGGATCACAGGCATCCTCAACCTCGCCTGGGCGCTTGGGACCGCAATATACTACTTGATCAAGGGATATTGGTCTGCTGGAATAGTGTTCATCATCTTCGCCGCGTTCCTCATATTTGCGTTTTTTACCTGGATCGGCAGGATCCCATTCTCAGCTCTGATGCTGAAGACGAGTATCGATGTCAGCAAGAAATATGGCCATGTTTACCTTGTGAGCCTCATTGGGGGTTTTTGCGCAACGGCATTGGCTGCCTGGTTCTCGGTTACGCTCGTTGCCATCTATGTCTCTTATGAGCCGTCGCCCGACAATCCGCGATGCTCTGTTTCGGGGAATAACTGCAGCCGCAGCAAGGTCATCGGTTTTGTCGTTTACGTGACGTTTGCAATGTTCTGGATTTCTGAGTGGCTAAAAAACACTATCCATACCATCATCGCTGGCGTTTATGGATCGTGGTACTTCTCGCCGCATAACTTTCCAAAAAGGGCGACTCGCGGCGCTGCCAAAAGAGCACTGACCTACAGTTTCGGCTCCATCTGCTTTGGAAGTCTCATAGTGGCCTTTATTCAGGCTCTGAAGCAGCTGTGCAGTGTTGTTCGGTCACAGGCAGCCAACGAGGGGGGTGTAGCTGGCTGGATCACCTACGCCATCTTTTGTCTCCTTACTTGTGTAATTAGTATCATCGAATGGGCTGTACAATTCGTTAACCGGTATGCGTTTTGCCACATTGCCCTCTACGGTAAGGCATACATTGCCTCAGCCAAGGATACCTGGAGGATGATTAAGGATCGCGGCATCGATGCGCTTGTCAACGTAAGTCGCTACATCTTATCCTATTTACCTTGCACCTTGCTAACAGTCACAAATAGGACTGCCTTGTTGGACCTGTGCTCTCGTTTGGTGCCATTTTCATTGGCTACGCATGCGCTCTGTTCGCCTACCTCTACCTTCTCGAAACTGATCCGCCATACAATCGTGAAGGACAATATACTGCCGTTATCATGGCTTATGCATTCTTAATTGGCTTTCAGATCGGGCACATATTCACAACTCCTATTGGCAGCGGTATCGACACTATTTTTGTTGCAGCTGGTTGGGATCCTCAGGTAATGATCAGAGATCATCCAGAGCTATATCAGGAAATGGTTAGAGTGTATCCCAAAGTTCAACAGGCTATTCATTGATTCAAGCCGCTGAATGGGATTGACGGCCTCTAAACTATTTGTATTCTAACGATTTCTGCGCAATGATGTCCCTGTTGGGTTTAGTATTATTGTTAATATCATAGTCGCTTGTTAATTGCGTATAGGCTACATTCGTGCCATTCGACTATCGTGAGCTTTTAGCTTAAAAGTACTTTTGCAAGAACTGTGGAAATGGAAGTATTCATGTATTCATCTAGCCTTCTACTAGGTATATTAAAAATAATTTCTACACATAGATTTATATGTATTTGCCACGAAAATGTGTGAAAAAATTGTATCTTCGTAACTTTATGCCATCAAATTAATAGACGATGCTGTTGTGGTTACCCAGGTTAGACAGCAGGCCGCATGGGCCGTTGCTAACTGAACCAGTGGTTCCTTGCTCATTGAAGTATCCGGATCCAGCCTGGTACTGGTTCGCATGGCAGACACCGTCACGGTCCACGACCAGGTAGCAACCGCCGGGGTAGAAGAAAGAGCCTCGGCAGGCCGCGGTGTTGAAGCAGGCCAAGCAGCACGAGTAGGAGTCTGCGGCAGAGACAAGGGACAAGTAGTCTGGTGAGGCGGCCTGGATGGAAATATCACGGCCACCGTTTGCAGAGCTAATGATGTTGTCAGAGCCGCAGACTGCGTTGAAGGTCTCCTCGGGAGCCACAGCAGAAACGGTGTCTAGTTTATAAGGTTAGTCTACATGAAGAATTTGTCAAAAGAGAAATCATTTGTCTTACTGGAGGCGGTGATGTAGTTGGTGGTAGTGGAATCGATGGTTGAGGTGACAGTAACCGATGTGCCGAAAGTAATCGTGCTGGTAACATCGGCGGGCCAGATGGTGTCGGTGTGAGTCTTGGTGACGGTAGTGCTGACCGTCTTGGTCTTGGGGACAGCAGTCACGGTGTGAGGCTTGGCGGTGATAGTGACACGCTTGTAGACAACGGGCTCAACGAGCTTGTTGCAGGTGACGGACTGGGGGTACAGAGGAGGGACGAAAGAGTGGCCGCCCTTGGGGTTCTTCTTGCATTGAACGACCTCCTTGCCTCGCTCGAGGAGGTTCTTGGCGCTGCGGGCCTTGACCTTGGCGACGTAGTCCTGGTTCTGGGAGACAGGAGTGAAGTCTGCGGGGGCAGGGATGGTGGTGGTTGGCGTAGTTATAATGGTGGTGGTGACAGATGTGATGTCTGTCTGAGTAACAACATTTGTCGCAGTGGCGTAGCGAGTCCCTTTCCGCATGTTAGCATTTCCCAGCTTGACCAAATGTATTGGCAAGGATCCATGCGTGTTTACTTACTCGTGAGGGTGGTAGAAGCGACATCTGTAGGAGTGGGCTCCGAAACCGTCTTGGAGAGGGTCTTGGTAAAGGTCTTGGTCGCCGTCTTAGTCGGCGTGACGGTCGGGTGAGGAGTGACCGTGACCTTCTCGGTGTAAGTCAGGGTCTTGGTCGTGTAGTGCCAGTTCGTCGGGACGTGGTTGGTTGACTTGGGGCCCAGCACGGTGGTGCAAGTGACGAACTCGTCAACGAGGCCACGCTGAGCATTGCGCTCAAAGGCGAGGGCACCGGAGCCCAGAGCCAGGAGGGAGACGACGGAGTTGACCTTGACCATGTTGACGGCGAGCTGTGTTTACTTTGAAAAAGCCTACAGACGGAAGTTGAGAGCGGATGGCCAAGTCGACCTCTATATATATCTGTTTGCTTGTGTACTAATGATAAATTTTCTTTTTAACCTTATAATAACAATAATCACCATAGCCACCTCGTTGTTGTTCTCGATCCATCTGCATCCGCAGATAGCTTCAGAGAGCTAGTGGCCATTTGCATGGGCTCCCCCTGGTAGCTGAATCTATATTTCTACGATTAGCGCAGCTCCCGCATAGATTCAGGCAGAATTAGGCAATGGAGCGCAAGACTATTGCAATGCTTGTGTCAATAGCCAAGCACCTAACGCCAGCTGAAGAGCTGTTAGCGCCCCCTCTTCAGGTGAAGCTATTGGGTCTAGATGCATCTGCCGCCCCAAGAAATTTCGAGCCCAACCACGGATGTGGCTAACGCCACAGGGGTAATTACACGAATCTGGAGCCGGTGACCATTTTCAAGGTCCATCAAGAGGTTTACGGAGGCTTTTCTGACTTATAAGCGTAGGGCACAAGGTGAATATAGCGACGTCCCTTTCGGCCTCTGTTTTTCTCTAGTCTTGAAGAACATGTGACTATACAAACGAGCAGCCAATCTTACATATTAGCGGCGCAGGGCTCTGAAGTGGGATTGAGGCATGATTTAGCTAAGAGAAGCTCATGCGTGCAAGGTCTCTGAAGTCAGCAATATTTCCTCCTGATTGAGTCTATTGCTTTTTGCTACTTGTAACTATTTATAATGCTTGTTTTCTGTTTTCTAACCACTGCTTCAGCAGCTCTAGCCAGCAGCACGCTTTCATATTATTATACGCCAAAGCTTTACCAATCCGGCATCACATCTATAAGCTGCTGATAATCTCATCATAAGCTGCTATTATGGGCTTGTAAAGCTGATCTGGGCCCCCCACAGGGGTTCCCAAAAAAAAAAAAAACTTGCAGTGTTCCCAAATAAGATTGTCCTAATGTTTAGGCAGAGCGGCTTAACAACATCCAAGGACGTTGGGAACTCGCCCATAATCCCTTCAAGCCCATGCACCGACATGTCGCCCATTTTAGTCTGGGCAATCGCTCTAAAACTCCCAATCTCCCACCGTCGGAGAAGGTTTTCTCTAGGCGGTTTCTTCTCACCGGCAAATCTATTTCTCCATGACTGGCGTACGCACATCCAAAGCAAGACATAAAAGAAAGACTCCAGATCATGGCGATATGTGTGATCAACCATGCGTAGCACTTCCACCGCCATAAACTGCATCGTGCCGGTCTGCTGTCGTGCTCCGCTCGGGCCGCTATCTCTGATTTTGGCCAGGCCAAGGTCGATGAGCATGCCCTTGAAACCATCTGCTGTTGCAGGGTCCGTGATAATGATGTTATTTGAAGAAATATCACGATGAAGGATGTTTCCAGTTACATAGAGGGACTGGTGTGCTTTAATCGCATCTCGCATTGATTCCAGCAGCTCTTTGATAGTCCTGAAATCGCTGATGACGCGGCCGGCTGGCGAGATAACGAGGCAGGAATAAATTTTATTTTCCCACAAGCCCTCACCTGGCGTATATAGACTCGGCTCGGCCTTGCCAATCGATCGCTGATCGCTCAGATTCCGAACCAGCAACAGACAGTTGGACCGCCGTTTCTTGGATCTGGTCAGGTCGTCAGAAGTGGTATCGGACGATGCTTTGCGCTTGTTAATCGACGTTCTGGCGCTTGATGTAGCGAATAGCGGACCATCAAAGAAAACATCTTCACTCCGGAGCGGGTGAGCGATTGGAAATCGCAATCCTTCTCGCATCTCCGCAATGGTGGTGATTTGACGATGCGCTACCACTTTCGCTACCCCTTTGACACCCTTCTCTTCTGCTAACTTCAGTCGTCTACTTCTGGCTTCTGCTTATCTGATGCCCAGGAAAATTTGGCAATATGATAGTTTTCGGTCTTATAGCATGTAGTCCCGCGGCATACAATAGCTTTCTGCTTTAAAGAAGTTTTCTTAAGAGCAAACCCATTGCTCCATGATTGGTGGCGCACCCAACTGAGACGTAGGAGAGCGACTCCAAGGCGTGGCCGTGATTGTACTCCACCCTATACAGCATCTTCATTGCCCCGGCCTTATAGATTAAGAAAAAAGGTAAAAAGCAGAAATGCTGTTAATTGGTGACTCATTTCCAGATTTCAACGAATGGTAGCACTTTCGAAGCCTCACCAACACAATACGTGAAAGTAGCATCTCGTTTTAGGGCATATTTCATCGCAAAAGATCCCAAAGACGAATGATATTCTTCAAGCAGATATCAAGTCGTTCATCACGGCCCAAGTCTAGAAAATTGAAACATTAAGACATTCGGAGATTCAAGACGTGGTCAGCAAAGAGATATCTGGAAAGGCTAATGGCATGTTTCTCTGGGCGAGACTGGCCATTGACCAAGTTCGCGACGCATATAATCGAGATGACATCAATCGAGCACTACAATGCCTACCCCTCGGGCTAGAAAATACGTATTGCCGCATTCTGCAGGGATGTATGAAGCGACGCTCACGAGCTTGTGTTAATATATGCATTGAGAGCATGAGTGACGCAGGGTTTGAGTGGTTTCACAAAACAGAGGGCATATTCCTGTCACAAGACTCAGCAGGCCCTCTCTTTTTCCTATACGCTTTCAAATTCGCTTCACATCACTTACTTCAATAGGATGCAAAACTAAAAAACGGAAACACCGGCGCCAGTAGAGCACTTCTTGAATACCCACTTGACCTCTTTGTTCGAGATCTCCATCTTCTCTTGTTTTATTGCCGTTGCATCCAAATGCCAGGAAGTGCGGATACCTTGACCTAATTGAGGCAATACTCGGCTTGAGTATGATCATTTACAGGTTGTCAAGACTACACACAAATTGCAGTCCTAATGAGTCATCACACAATGAAAGGCCCGATTCTAATCCCTCTTCCCCCTTGTTTAATTAGGTTCCCAATTCCACAGGCTTCGGATGTGTTAAAGCGTCGATCAGGTATAGAATCCGAACACAATAGGGTGTGAATCGGTGAATTACCTAAGCATTGACCGAGGAGTAATCGGACGATCGTATCTGCGAGCTTATTTACGTTTAGCGCCGCAACAAAAGCATAAAACGATATATGGGATCCATGATATATGGCCATATACTGCGCATATTGTTGCAGCTCGCCTAGGAAGGATCATTAATAGACCCACTATCGATCTGATAACCATATCACAAGCTCCTTTTCCAAGTCTAATGCGCGTGCCCGAGATGCATATGCATGGCACTAACAGCGAAAAAAGGCACCTGCATACGTGTATTTACCCGCCGTCTAGACTATAGGCAGCCGTTACTAAACTTGAGTTGCATGTTTTTATGACCGGGAACATCGCCTCAGTGACCCTTTCTAGCATCGCGAAACCATCAAGACTCATAATCAAGACTTGGAGGAGCAGCGCTTGACTCATCGCCAGCGGGAACACGTATTGCATGACGTACTCTTGGAGTCGCAGCTAGTGGCTTCACCCTTGTTGGAGGATCGCACAACTGCCGTTATTGCAATAGTTGCCAGACCAGGAATCAAGTTTGTGCCTGGCGCCTCGTGAAATGTCCGCGTGGCTGGTCGCTAGTTGGTCGATTGCGCCGCGCGTGTGTTCAGCTTTGGATCTGGGCCTGAGGCGTCAATCAGATAACGGCCTTTGTGCCTGGCTGCATCTACATCGTGAAACGAGCAATAAAGTATAAATATCTCTAAATCGTACACACAGTATATGTTTGGAACAATTATCACCTGCAGAGCGAATCTCCATCATTTTTAAGCATACTTTATTCTTCTAATCTGGCATCAAGTGCCCTCATTCTTGACACTTCATCTCAGTCATAAAGGCACAGCTGTATCACCATGTCTGCTTTAAAGGTCTTAGTTGTCGGCGGCGGCGTTGCAGGTCCGGCCGTGACCTACTGGCTCTCACGCATCGGTGCTCAGGTTACCCTCATTGAGCGATCTGACAAGATGCGAGCGTCGGGCCAGCAGGTGGACCTTCGCGGCAAGGGCGTGCCAATGATGAAAAAAATGGGCATGGAAGCCGCTGTGATGGCGGCGTGTGTACACGAGCCTGGCATGCAGTTGATTGACCGCAACGGCCGGACCCAAGCATTCTTTCCCGTCGCAAAGAGTGGCTCTGGGAAACAGGGAATCACGTCAGAGTACGAAATCATGAGAGGTGATTTAGTAAAGATTCTCTACGGACTTACAGAAGGCCATGAAAACGTGCGGCATCTATTCAATACGACCATCAAAACTTTTACTCAGGACAGCGGAGATGGCCCTGACAGCAAAGTTCATGTCAGCTTCGAGGATGGCCGTGAGGAAGATTTCGATCTTGTTGTCGCTGCAGATGGAACTGGTTCAAGAACACGCAAGATGATGCTTGGTGCGGATGCTCCAGACCCACGACGCGACTGCGGAGGCCATATTGGATACTTTAGTGTCCCATCCAACCCAGAAGATTCCGACAGAGGAACCTTCTGCCACTTGCCTGGGGGGCGAATCATTGGAACAAGAAAAGACATCCCAGAACTTACACGAGTATACATGATCCTCCGTGGGAAAAGGCCTGCCCTGAATGCAGCAATCAGCTCTGGAAACACACAAGAATTAAAGAAAGCTCTGGCCGACATTTATCAAGGAGGTGGATGGCAGTGTGACCGGTTTATGGATGCACTGCTTCATGCCCCAGAGGCGGATGATATTTACTTCACAAAAATCGAGGAAGTCCACCTCGCCCCGGGATCATGGTCAAAGGGCCAAGTCGTTCTTCTTGGCGACTCGGCTCATTGCCATACAGCGGGTGGCTATGGATGCGCCTGGGGCCTCGTAGGCGCTTATGTTCTGGCGGGTGAGATTGCTACAGCATTAAAGAATAAGGATTTGACAGCTCCAGCGGCTATAAGGCAAGGAGCAAAGGCGTATGAAGAAACGTTCCGGCCTGTTGCAACTTCCATGCATGGAGGCCATGACTGGGCTGAGGACTTGATGGCGCCGAAAACGAGTATCGGGATCTGGATCTTGCATAGGTTTGCGAAGATGGCATCGTTTTTCAATTGGGGCGAAATGGAGGGCTTGGATAAGAAGACGTCTAACTGGAAACTGCCAGAGTATCCGGCACTGGAGTAAGAGCATGAAGCGAGCGTTGCTTTAGGCGAACGGTTTGGGCATCACCGTTGGACATCGCCTCTGTATGAACATTAACACTGTATATTATTTGCATAGCATTCCACCCCCCTCATAACTATAATCATAATGATCTTCTCTCAGAAATACTCTGTATCCTATCCGAAACTCAAATTTGCCTTGAACTAAAGACTATGACTAAAAGGAATATGTTTCGATGAGATATACCATGCTCTAGCAAGCCTTGAACAGTCTTTTGCATTTTCAGAAAATAATATACTCAATAACTCATTTTGATATGCCTCTCAAAACCTTGTTTCTTGATCTAGTCCAGTCTTCATATCGCTATTGGATTGTCAAGTTTAATCTCACACCGCAACACGAAATTCAACATCGCCAGTCTCTCCATACAACGACGCTCGATCTTTCAGCCACTGGAAAAGACAGGAGCCGCATGCACTCCTCACCCCAAAAGTGTTGAGCTCAATCAAGGCGCATTTCTCCGTCTTTTCATCGTAGAGTACGTCAAAAGTAAAACCCTGGGACCGAATAAGATTCTCTAGCTCATTGTCATCATGCGCCTTCATATAGGCGATAATTTCGGCATGAACTTCTTGAATGCCGCCAAGAATCGTGTGAGCAATATTCGTCATCTCATCTTTGTTTTCATGGGCAAATACCCACGGCTTATGCCATTTATACTGGCTAACACCAGATATGTTCAACGAGCTGGGGACACAAAAGACGCGATATTCCCTCTCAGATCTCATTTCGGCGTTGAATGGAAGAAAGTATACGTGACCTTCTTCGCCTTCATGGTTGAGTATATTCGTCAGTGCGCTCCACGTTCTCGCGGACGTAGTGATGCGGAGCACAATGTCCTCGACGGAATGAATCGCCAGCTTCCCAGGCGTAAGTTGCGCACCATCCTTTGGAGAACATGCCCCAAGGCGCATGAAAAGCCCTTCCGGAGGAAAATGGAGCCCTTTAAAGGCAGGATAAACGTCATCTTCGAGATCTTCGGCATAAGATCGATTAAGCACGCCAGTATGGATTGAAGTTGCAGCTGCACTGACCAGCACTCTGATCTGTGCGCGCGAGAGCTTGACGACTTGAAGCGCGGCAGGAGACAGACCTCGGGATTTTAGTATCAAGGGCAGCCATATTTCGTAGTCATATGGTTTGTTGGTGGGGATGGGAAGATTCGGCGCCTCTTCAGCGGTGTGGAAGTTGGTGTTAAAGTTTATCGGGGCACCCTTGTCCAGATCTTGTAGGACATGTTGATAATTGACGACTGAAAGCCGCATTTTGCGTTGTTGCGAATTGTTTGTGGGCTGAAACGATGCGCTTTGCGTTGGCACAGAGATGGCAGCTCTTGCAGGAGCTCTGCTCAAATGCCCTCGCAGTAGGATTTTATAAAGCAAGCGGGTGCGTGTTGATAGAAGAAAGTGTGCTTAGACGGTTACCGAATGACTCGAGCTAAAATGTGTCATATCTAGGTATTTTAACTTTGGCGGTGCATCTGTCACCTTCGGCAGATTTACTCTGCTCGCCTTGAAATGTCTGGAGTCTAAAGTTAAGTGTGAATAGAGTTATTTCGACTGCCTGATTTGGCACAAACCTCTGTCGCTCTTGGGATTTATTCTGACGCTTATCGCCAATCGCCCGATTTATGACTCACCTGCTGCCAAGATCAATATTATGACACAGCCCTAAGATGACGGTGATTCAAGATCATTGCAACCTCACAAAAAGCAAACAGGGAAATATTAACTACAAAAGCGAGTATGCCCATCTGACTCAAAAAACGCAAATGGGTTAAGCGAAATAGTACCTGCAGTGGTGCGCTGGGGAAATGCACGTATGTTGATCCTTCGCTGAGCTTCACAGCAATTGATGCAATACAGGAATATTGCCGCCTCTAATCCACTCAAATCAAGTGTGACTCTCTCAGTCGCATATAATGCCAATCTGTAAAACAAGGGTTCTTTTTTGTTGATCATTTTCTTAGAGCAAGAACACTTTATTGTGCGCCAATCACCTGGTAACATGGGCAAACACAGAATGGATAAGCTTTCCAACTTCAGCTCAATCTATTCAACACAGAACATTCAGGATTGCCATCTAAGAACTGAATATCGGTATACACTTGTATTCTACACTCCGAGAGGGAAACAATTTTCCTATGGAAGCATGTAGCGACTCCAAAATATTTTCATGGTTATTGACTCTGATTGCGTGCTCATTTTGGAATAATATATTGTCCAGACGGTAAAACATGTTTGAACTTATGCCCATATATAGGTACCTACTCCTACATATATTCTTGGCACAAGACATAACATTTTGATATCACATTCTAATTCGAAATACATAAAACCAATGTCACACTATTATGAATGAGTAGATAACACCACTGAGAGTCTTTCGTTCTCGACAAGGAGGCGCATTGGCAATACCGTTCGGAATTATCACGAAGAAACAGCGGCTTGGTACTGTTAACATACTAACCTCCTGGGCGCCACCATTGACTATGGAAACCATTGCCACTTATTCAGGAGATATGTTAATCGGCCCGGTCTGGTAGGGATCAATGTAAGAATTTCAAGGGGTACTCCATGAAAAGTTCCAAGAACTGAAAATTCGGAGCTGACCTGGATTCTAGACTTCGGAGGCCTTCTGCCGAGATCATTTCGGGTCTCCCCACAGTCTATCGTGCCAAGGAGGGCATAAGCATTAACGAATCACCCAGTGAATTTTCGAATCCGCTATCCAGCAGCCAGGCCTCGCTTACTCTCCGCATCGGAAAGCATTCCCGCTGGTCACGCGGTTTGTATAGTATTGAGTCGGCTGCGCGGCAGATATGTTCGTGCCTGAGCAATATTTGCTGGCAGTACTCTCCAGGCCCCGAAACCGGTTATCTCGGTATTGGTGTGGAATTAGATCGGCTTCTGGTTCGAGGACTGCCGCAGGGGAACTTTTGCGCGGCCTCACCGAACATATCGCGGGCACCAACAACAATGCTTGATGTACGTATGAGGCGATTTGCAGAGACTACTTTCGCGAGTATGTCACTGTTCACCGAACTAGGCATTTACATGCATTAGCTACTCCTTCCTATGACAAGTGCCTCTTTGCCCTGACACGATAACTACGCTATGACTGAAGTGGTCACTGCACATTTGAGTATCAAGGGATAGAGACTGCAGTATGAATCAGTAACAAACAGCACTAGGAACAGGGATGTCACTGCTTTTGCCTGCGTGCCATTCCACTTTATAGGCTGATCATCTACTCAGCCTCACTGTCTTCTTCAGCATCAGCTTGTCCGGTTCGTTCAACACGTAAATAGTCATGTTCAAGACCTCCGCCTGCTCCTCTTTCTCCTCCTCAGCATGTTCTTGGCAGGGCATTATGGCGCTACAGTGGTGGTGCCACGGCACTATCGGCCCTTTCACGGCTCGTTGCCGGGTCTGGGGATGCTTGTGGGGTAATCTAGCGATGACGGGTGGACTTTGACGATGGGAAAAAGGGTCAAAACGCGTTGGAGCTATACGTAATTAGCGTGGGTTCTTCTACGAGCTCTGCTTGTAAATTGGGAGCTGCGGCGAAGCAGCCGTGAAACCGGTAATACTAGTAGTACTACATGTGTCTTGGCTAGAGGCTGTGGGCGCCTAGTAGACTTGGTTGACGGCGAAATTAATTGATGAAATCATCCCACGCAAGAGCCAAGTCAAGCTAGCAAAGACGATCATCAAACGGCCAGATTCGGGTGGTGGAGATGCCCTGAAATGACCTCAGTCGCGCTGGTTGTGCAGGCTTCTCCGTATTACGGCCATAGCCTTGCCCAAATCACCTTGTCCTCTCCACACCCCATCGCCAACTCTGGGGGCCCAAGCGGTGATCTACGCGGAGAATTACCAGCGTTGGAGGGAGCAGCAGGATAGGCTTAAATACTGGGCAAGATGCCGCACTCTCAGCTCTTCGATGAAACCCCAGCCAGTATCTGCATGCAACTGCGATACCTCGTGGCGGGTTTATTTCAACTTATACCGCAGTGTAAATTGGCATCGCGCTTGCTTTGCCCGTTGACAGGCTGAGAAAATGCGGTCAACAGTGAGTACCTCCCAGCACTCGATAACTGTTTTCTTGTTCAAGCAGATGCATACTAATACATGATATTTTAGACCTTGTCCGGAGCAGCATTGCTGTCGCTGCTTCAGCTCATCCATCCTGTTTACAGCGCAACCTCAAACGATCGCGTCGCAGATTGCCTGAGCAGAAATGGCGGATCAAGCACAGGACCCCAGTTCAGCAAGAACGTGTACAAGACCGATTTCGCTGGAGTGACCTGGGACGAAGACAATTGGCTGCTCAGCACAACACAATTGAAGCAGGGCGCATTTGAATCACGAGGTTCTGTGGCCAATGGCTATCTCGGCATCAATGTGGCCAGTGTCGGACCTTTCTTTGAGCTCGACACAGAAGAGAATGGCGACGTTATCAGCGGCTGGCCCTTGTTCTCGAGGCGCCAGTCTTTTGCAACCATTGCTGGTTTCTGGGACTCTCAGCCCGTAATGAACGGGACAAACTTCCCATGGATCTCACAGTATGGCTCCGACACTGCCATTAGCGGCATTCCTCATTGGAGCGGGCTCATCTTGGATCTGGGTGACAATACTTATCTTGATGCTACGGTTGATAACCGAACCCTCACAAACTTCCGATCGACCTATGACTACAAGGCTGGAGTGCTGAGCTGGTCATACAAGTGGACTCCCAAGGGCAACAAAGGAAGCTTCGACATCAGCTATCGCATCTTTGCCAACAAATTATACGTGAACCAAGCCGTGGTCGATATGGAAGTCACTTCATCCAAGAACGTGCAGGCATCAATTGTCAATGTTCTCGATGGCTTTGCTGCCGTACGCACCGACTTTGTGGAATCTGGACAAGACGGCAACGCCATCTTCTCAGCCGTACGACCAAACGGCGTTTCTAATGTCACAGCTTTTGTGTATGCTGACATTACTGGCTCTGGAGGTGTAAACCTGGATAGCCGCAAGATTGTGAAGAGCAAGCCATACGTACATACCAACGCATCTTCCATTGCACAAGCCGTTTCAGTCAAGTTTTCAGCTGGACACGCCGCACGCGTGACCAAATTTGTTGGAGCTGCATCTTCTGATGCCTTCAAGAATCCCAGACAAATTGCCAAGAGCGCGGCTGCTGCAGCATTGAGCAATGGATACACCAAGTCGCTAAACTACCACGTCAAGGAGTGGGCAACTGTCATGCCTGAAAGCTCTGTCGACAGCTTCGCCGATCCCAAGACTGGCAAGCTTCCAGCAGACAACTACATCATCGACTCTGCCATCATGGCCGTCACCAACGCTTATTACCTTTTGCAAAACACAGTGGGCAAAAATGGAAGCAAGGAGGTCAACGGAGCCCCAGTCAATGTTGACAGTATTTCTGTCGGCGGACTGACTTCCGACTCTTATGCTGGACAAGTTTTTTGGGATGCTGATCTTTGGATGCAACCCGGCTTGGTTGCTGCCCACCCAGAAGCTGCTGAGAGAATCACAAACTATCGTCTGGCGAGATACGGTATGGCCAAGGAAAATGTAAAGACTAAAGCTGCGGGTTCCCAAAATGAGACTTTCTTCTCTGCTGATGCTGCCGTCTTCCCGTGGACCAGTGGCCGTTATGGAAACTGCACTGCTACAGGGCCCTGCTGGGACTACGAGTACCATTTGAATGGAGATATTGGCCTGTCTCTCGTCAACCAGTGGGTTGTTAGCGGCGACACCAAGAACTTCCAGGAGAACCTCTTCCCAGTTTACGACTCCATCGCTCAGCTGTACGGAAACCTGCTGAAGCCCAACAAGACATCATGGACTTTGACCAATATGACTGACCCTGTAAGTTCATTCTCATACGATGTTTCTATTCTCTTACTAACAGACTGCAGGATGAGTATGCAAACCATGTCGATGCCGGTGGATACACGATGCCTCTCATTGCGGAACACCTGCAGAACGCAAATACCTTCCGCAAGCAATTTGGTATCGAGCAGAACAAGACTTGGGCCAAAATGGCGTCCAACTCGCTGGTGCTTCGAGAAAATGGAGTCACATTGGAGTTTACCACCATGAACGGCAGTGCTGTGGTTAAACAGGCAGACGTGATCATGATCACTTATCCTTTGAGCTACGCTACCAACTACAGCTCCCAAGACGCCCTCAACGATCTTGATTATGTGAGTTCCTACAGAATTCATGCTTCCATGCCAACTAATTACTGACCCGTGACGTAGTATGCCAACAAGCAATCCCCTGATGGGCCTGCTATGACCTACGCCTTCTTCTCCATTGTTGCCAATGAAATTTCTCCCTCAGGATGCTCATCATACACGTATGCTCAGTACGCCTACAAGCCATACGTCCGCGCGCCATTCTATCAAATCTCAGAGCAGCTCATTGATGATGCTAGCATCAATGGCGGCACGCACCCGGCCTATCCCTTCCTCACTGGCCACGGCGGCGCCAACCAAGTCGTTCTCTTTGGTTACCTTGGACTCCGGCTCGTGCCCGATGACTTCCTACACATCGATCCAAACCTGCCTCCGCAGATCCCCTACCTTAGATACAGGACATTCTACTGGCGCGGCTGGCCCATCTCGGCTTGGTCCAACTACACCCACACGACTATTAGCCGTGCCAGCGGCATTGCTGCGCTTGATGGAGCGGATCAACGCTTTGCTAAAAAGGCTATTACCATCCACTCTGGATCCGAGCAAAGCCCCAAAGCTTATCAACTGCCCGTCAAAGGATCTGTTGTCGTCTCCAACAGGCAGCTTGGCTCTCAGCAAACTTACGCTGGCAACTTGGTGCAGTGCAACGCCGCCAGCTCTCCTGACACTTATGTGCCTGGTCAGTTCCCCATTGCAGCCGTGGACGGTGCTACATCTACCAAGTGGCAGCCTGCCTCTGCTGCCGATGTAAGCTCCATTACCATAACGCTCGACAAGGAGGACGTGGGATCCTTGGTCTCAGGCTTCCACTTTGACTGGGCTCAGGCACCTCCTGTCAACGCAACTGTCATTTTCCACCACGAGGCAATTAGCGACCCGGCGGCAGCTCTAAAGTCACAAAAGCATGGCTCGAACTTCAAGGTTGTCACATCTTTGACGAACATCAAGCAGTCCAATCCTTATGACGTTCATACTACTGACTTGAACGTCATTGCCATTCCTATCGGTAACACGACTAATGTCACTTTGTCTCAGCCCGTTGCTGCATCTAAATATGCATCACTCCTCATTGTGGGCAACCAAGGTCTCGACCATATCGACGTCGTGGCAAAGAACGGCACCGGAGCTACAGTCGCAGAGTGGGCCATCTTTGGACACGAAAAGGGACACACAAGCACTCCAAACTCTCATAAGAAGAGAAGGCTGAATGTGCGAGCTGCTGCTGCAATGTCTGATCCAGCGAACCTTGTGCGTCGACCTCAGTAGTTTTGTATAAGGTGGTTTAATGATCATGTATGATAGTAATGACTCGAGATTATCGTTATATAGTAATCAATGACATAATCTTCATACAAAAGAGTGTTTCACGTTCCGATTTCTCATTTGCAGCTTTGCTAGAGGTTTATCCATCTTCCAAGCACAAAGTGTTCCCGCCATTTAAGAATTGCAGTGCGCAGCTGGACCGCAGTCACACCAGTAACCGGTCTGAGGAATGCCATATGCTTTGCAGAATGACGGATCAATACAGTCGGCTTTGCAGTTGGACTTGGGACCTGGGTAGTAAAGACAGCAGTTGACTCGCTTATTGCTGGCAAACCAGTTAGGATACATATGTAGGCAGCGGCAGGAATATGATTGACTTACAGCTCGGATGGCATTCCCATGGCCGCAGAGGCGAAAAGAGCAAGGACAAAGATGAGAGATTGCATTTTGGATATTGTGTATCGAGTTTTATGATCTTGTGTAGTTTAATCGAGAAGGAGTTGTCTGAGGAATAGAGAGTTATTCACGGTCGTGGTCAGCTTTTTATACTCGAATTCTGTTCTATTATAAGAAAGATCCTATAAGATCTTCAAATAAAATTGTCGATCTCTACTATAATTTCATGCTTGAATTTTGTCTTCGGGACCGAGCATCTCAGGATTCCCGAAGCTGAGACATGAAAATAGGCGTCTAGTTTCACTGTAACCCTACACAAACACAAGATATTCTTGGTGTGGGGGCCGAAGCGACGAGCCGAACGCGCGATGACGTCCAGTATAAGACTTTAATGAGACAGACTTCACTCAGCCATTTTTTCCCACCAAACAGATTGTGCTGTTTGCCACCTGGCTGCAGATTCAAGTGGGCCAAGAAAGATGCGAAAGACAACACTAAGTTCTGATCAAGAAGCTCACATTTTAAAATTGAAAGTAAGATTAAATTTAGCTTATATTAATTCTCTCCTTGTGAACACGTCTTGTGATACCTAAACCGATTCTCACCGCATAATCGTTTCACAACCTCTTCTCAACAATCTCCTTTACCCTGGCCAAATCAAGAGCTTCGACTCTTCTCTCCTTGAATCCTTTCATCGTTTCAGCCATACAAAGCGCGTTGTAAATCGCCTCTTCGGTCGCATCAGCCGCAGCCTCAAATAATCCATCAATGGTAAAGTTATCTGACACTTGCACGCCATACGGCTGCGGCTCGTAGGTCTTTTTAGTCCCGGACTCTGAGAACGGAATCTTGTTTGCATTAGAAAATGCAAGAAATATATCTCCCGAAGTATTGTTGCCGTAGCCTCCGACCTTGGCCAACCCGACAGTGGCACGCTTAGCCAATCGCTGGAGCTGAATGGGCAGAAGAGGAGCGTCTGTTGCAACGACGATGATGATGCTACCGTCTTTTCGAGGCTCCTTCTCTCCAGGTTTGAGACTTGGCAATGCTTGATTCTCTTGTTCTTTAAGAATTTGGCCTACTGGGACGCCTCCGATATGCAGGTTCTCCATTGATCCATAATTGGCCTGAACAAGCACTCCAACTGAATAGGACTTTTCATTCCCCTGATGGTCGTATCCTTTGACTAAGCGGCTGCTAGATCCAGTGCCCCCTTTGAAGCGATGGCACATCATGCCTGTTCCACCTCCCACGCTCCCTTCTTGCACAGCATCTGCAGTTGCGCTTTTGATACCGTTGACAATGTGCTGCGGAGTGACGGCGAATCTGCTTTGATCATTGAGATATCCGTCGTAGGTTTCAGCAACGGTGGGCACGAGGAAGATGTTGGGCTCTTTATCTTCATTGGAGTGATGCTCGAGCGTGTATTCCCAGATTCCACGATACGCATCGCCAACGGCTGAAGTCGTAGTTAAAACAATTGGCGAATGAAGTTGACCCGTTTCATTAAGCCAGTGAGCGGATGTCATTTCTCCGCAGCCGTTGAAATTGAAGACGCCAGCAAAGCTTGCATACTTGTACCAGTCAGGCCTAGGCAAGATGACAGTGACTCCAGTATTAATATCGGGAGATGTCTCTTTGCTATGGGGAGAACTATGGATTGACTCAGTATGGGCGAGAACCCCTGGAACGTCGGTGATGGAATTGAGGGGGCCCGTAGGCCATTTTCCAAGCCGTAGGTGAGGTATAAGTTGGCGAATACGCTGGCGTGGGAGAGCCTGGCTCTTATTAAATGGCAGCGTCATATCGAGAATTCCGGTATAGAATTGAGTAGAAGGGAGGTTGATTATCGGTCGTTATTCGCGAAATGGTAGGAATATACCGAGCTCTTATATCATTGATGATCCTTCTACTGATATTAGTGCGTTGGTGGAAATGGTAATTACCAATCCAGTTTACGGGTACTCAATCATGCCGCGCAATCGTCTGCGTCGGCGATTGAGTCACCTAACGCGGGGTACAATAAAAATCAATCGTCCAACAACTCAATAACGAGACAGCATGGTTGCGATTGCGCGACTGCTTTGTAATTCTCGCTCTCACATGTTATAAATCACTGATGTCATTGCTATCACCAACAAAGATGCGGATTTGAAGACATTGAGGGGTAATAATGCTGAATCTTTTCGTTTATCTATCCGCCTACTGGTTGTAAGTCTCAAGTTTAAGACTTTTTTTTTGTAAATTAAACTACATCTTTATTCTGAATGATCATCGCTCAAAGCCTTGAGAATATCCCTCGACTCATTTCTTACCTCTTCGACAATAGCACTCGCGTCTTTCACGTCTCTTACAAGACCTACACCTGCACCAACATACGTTGCCAGCCTTCCCTCTGGGCCCCATCCGGCGTCGCCACTCTTGGCAGCCTCGTCATGTAGCACTTGAAGCTTCTCAAATGGAACACCAGCTTCGTGGTCAATCCAGCTGCGGTTGATGAGAGTTCGAGGGGCAAATATATCAGGCCAGCCAAAAGTGCCCCGCAGGTGGTTGTATAAGTGGGTGCGAAGAGTGTTTTTGGCGCCATCAGACGCTCGAACAACTTCATCTTGGTATCCCTTTGCGATGCGTGCTTCTGAAGAAGCAAGGAAACGAGTGCCCATGGCGACGGCAGCGGCTCCTAGCGAAAATGCGGCTGCTGCACCTCGACCGTCGATGATGCCTCCCGCCGCAACTACAGGTATTCCGAGATCTTTCCTAGCGTTGACGGCATCGGCGACTTCTGGAAAGAGAACAATGGTTCCTGTGCTCTCCTTTGCCATTCCATGTCCGCCTGCTTCGGAGCCTTGAACGACGAGAACGTCTGGAGGCGCTGAGCTGTTGATAGCCGCAATGGCGTCACTCAGCGTGCCGACCTGGATCCAAATCTTTGTATCAGGAGAAACTTTTCGAAGAGAAACGGTCCATTCATCCAACTCTGCCTGGCCATTCTTGGGCGCAAACAGCCAAACAGCACATGGTTTATGCTTCTCAACAGCGCTTGTTGCAACCTTCAAGTCTCCATTCCATACCTGAAAGCCCACGCCAATGGGGAGCAGGGGGTGGCGCAGATTCGACGCCTCTATCAGTTCTCTTGCCTTGTCGAGATCGGCGAGCACTCCATCTGGTTTGGCTTGTGGTCCCATGAACCCAAGGCCGCCGGCCGCAGACACGGCGACAGCCAATTGAGGGCCGGCCAGGATGCGCATGGGTGCACCAACAACGAAGGGTTTCTTGACCCATGGATAGGAGAGGGCCAGCATGCGCCTCAATTCCGCAGTACGTTGAGTCGCCATCATGGGACGATTACTGAATGTCGAAACAAAAGGACTGGGGCGACTATTAACGATCCAAAGAAAAGAGCTGAGAAACAGAACTGCGGTTGGCAATTCTTAGCTTGGCTTAGCTTTGGCGGGAATATAGTCGCGGCCTATGACACAAGTCAGCCCAAGTATCAACGCCTTGCAAGGCTGGTTTTCAGTTTACCTAGGCAATTAGAAACTAGCTGTTGGTTTAATCAACTTGATTTCTTTCTGTTTGCGGAGATACCGTGGTGGACTACCTCAACGGGGTTCCCGTGTGTTGATGAAGTTGCGTTGTTAGCGCTGTATTCGTTATGGCACATCAGTAACAGCGTGAAAATAGGCCAGAAGATGTCTCACGGCAAAAAGAGACGGCAAGAAAATAAAACTTACACGCGGGACCTTTTACTCTTTTAAGGCTAATAAAGACAAAACGAGAGCGCACGTCTGCTTTATCAGTAAACTCTACGGTCCCTACTGCCGAGTCTAAATCCCATGTGGCATAGCCGACCGCAAGCCGATTGTTAAGCTTCCGCGGAGATGCTTTGCGACGCAGCGCTATAGGAGACAACATATCGTCATTGGCCACTAAGCCCAGCAACCAGCTTAATAATGGTTGTCAACTGTTGTGGCTGAAGCAAAACTGATGTGGCTTCATGGGGAACAGTATTATTCGATCAGAGTTGATAGGATGGGAGTTTGGGAAGTTTACAAAATTTTCAACAGCTTAAATAGAAGACAAAAGTCCATCATTATGACAGAAATGTTGTTCTAGCAGACTCAGCAATACATTACTACAAAAGTATCACAGCTTTAGCAAACATCACCACATATTCTACTTCAAGACTCCTTATAAACACTTGAAACTTCAATCAATCATCAACTCATACACAAAAATGTCTGCTCGTTCTGACAACGCGGTCGTCATCGTCGGCTCCGGCCCTGGAATTGGCAGCAACACTGCTGCCGTGTTCGCGGCCAATAAATTCAACAAAGTCGCTCTCGTTGCTAGGAATCCTACACAGCTTGAGAAAGACGCCGCTTTTGTTACAAGTGCTTCTAGTGGCAATGTCACTGTGAAGACCTATTCAACCGACGTCCTCGACCCTGCCAAGTTTACCACAACACTCGCCCAGATTAGCAATGATCTTGGAACGGTTGAGTTTGTCTTGTTCAACGCAGCCATAGTCGCAGAATCTAGCCATCTGGAAGTTAGCGACGATGAGCTGCTGCGTGACTTCAAGATCTCTACCATAGCACTAAACAATCTCTCCAAGTGGGCTTTCCCGCAGCTTATGGCTTTAGCATCTTCTGATGCTAGTGCCAAGCCTACGGTCATCGTTACCAGCTCCCATCTCCCCGAGGCCCCAGAGGCCAACCTCGTCTCTTTATCCATGTCCAAGGCAGCTCAGAAAAACTTTACTCGATCTCTCCGAAAGGTGTATGAACCAAAAGGCATTCACGTCGCTATCCTGACCGTTGCTGGATATGTAACGGAGACAAACAAGTACCTGAATCCCAGAAACATTGCCGAGCAAGCTTGGAACCTGTACAGCCAGCCTAAAGAAAATTGGACGGAAGATATCAGGATTGAAGAGCCATGAGAATAGGATAACTAGGACCCGATTGTATATATAAAAGTTAAGAGAGAACGCAGTTAATTGCCTGAAGTTACATCGAAGCCACACCCCTCGTGAGACTAAAGAATGCCTACGTAGAACTAGCAACTGCAGTGCTATTGAATCGTGATACTGCTAATTTACCTCTCGATCTACATCTACAAAGTACTTTATTCAGCCACAGACAAAAAGATGCATATCTTGGCAGACCAATCACCGTTCCAATAACCCGTTATACCCGTGCTTGCCGTTATTAGCGAGATCAGCTTATTCGCATGAATGGCGATCCTAGTTGCACGCTTAAGTGGAGATCTTTTTGGCCTTTACTCCCCTACTGATAAAAGCTTTCAAGGCTTTCCATGTTATTCTCATTCTTGAGCATGTGATATGCCGTGAGATTTAGCATGTGATATATACCTAATTTTAATTCCATGGCTTCTTGAATCAGAATATAGGATCTATATCACTCTATTAACGCTTTTACAGAGCCATGTCAGTATGTAGCACTATACTGTATACATCAAGGCGTATATATGCCTATAATGGCTCAAATACAATGCGCTCTGGCAAAAATTATAAATATTTGCTATTTTTACTTCTACGCTTACACCATGCACGAGGTTTTGTATTAATAAAATGCTAGCATCACCAGAGTACAAATTCTTATGTAAGTGTTCGTCGCATGAATCGATTTGACGCGTTGAGATGCGCATTTCAGTTCTAACAGGTCAATATGCTGATTCGTGTGCTCTGCAGGGCATTAGGCTTTAGCTGGTGTTTACATGAGCTGTTCTTTTCGTCTAGCGCTCTTAAAACTTGATGTATTCTTAAAGTATTATGAACATACTGGCTATTGAAACGTACAACACCTACTAATCAATATACTCGCTCCTAGACAATTCAATGCGGCGGTCAAACGGAAAGGAGTCTTCTTCCTCCCTTAGACTTTCTCTCCGAATTTCTCTCTTTTTAGTCTATATCCTTACCTACTTAATATTCCTTTCTGGCGAAAGAATTTTTACTCTCAAAATTACTTTTGAATGACTCCTCTAGAAAAAAAGGTTTATTGTCCTACATAAGAGTAGCTGTAAATTCATTAAATACGCTTTGCAGGCGCTGTGCTTCCTCATCCGCTACATCTCCATAGGCCTTTATACTTCCGAAAGGATGGTAAGGGAAAGGACTAAGTTAGAGTCAGTTCTTCACGTTTTGAACTACATTCCAGGTATTTCTCACCCGTATTCGGGAACAAATGTAATCAATGCATCGGGACCATTTTTCTCAAACTGATATTTCAGAATACTTCTCCACAGTCGTTCGTAACAGAGCCTCTCCTGCTTGAAGTCTGGATGTGTAGGTGCTGGGCATTGAGCAGCCTGAGTTGTTCCAACCCTCGCATGTATGTGGGAGACCTAGAATATTGTCAACATTGTATGAATGGAAAACGGTCAAATCTTACGGACGTGAGGGACAATAGCTTCCATAGTCATGCGGTCGCCTTCACCATCGTCCAGCAATCTTTCACCTACAACCATCCAATGAGAAAAGTCGGCAGTTAGCCTGAGTCTATAATGTATCAGATAACAAGGTTAGCCCATTTTCTTGTTACCCTTTTTCATGGAGGAATATTCATACTCAGGGACGGCCTCAAGGATCATTCGCGTCACCCAGGGGGTAAACAGTGACCGACTTCGATGCGTCTCATGACAGACGAAGCCCGAAACACCAAGTTCTCTATCAATTTTGATAGTCCCCACATAGAACTTGATTGACTCTTCAATATTCCAGTCGTCTCTAGCAAAGCCACGTATAAGTATTAGAGTCAAAATTATTATCACACATATACAACAAGTGTAAAGAAACCACCTACTGCCCCGACTGAAATGTAATAACAAGCGGTCTTAGAGGCTTGACTTGTTGGATTATCTCGCGATATCTCGCCAAGTGCTTTTCTGCGTTTAAGCCAGGCTGGCGGGGGACAATTGACGGGGCCGGACTCGTTTGTGCCCTAGTAACAGCGGAGCTTAGCAGAATTTCTTTTTCGACTGGGAGATAGACTACTTACAATACGCTGATCTCGAGTTCAAGTTGGTCACAAATTTGTCTTAAGCGCTCATAATCGTCTTCTTGCTCTAGCATATTTACTTTTACCTCAATGCCATCTTTCATTTTTCCTAGTATTAGCTTATTGTCGTAGACTCAAGCCTTCTTCAGAGAAATATGTCAGACATACCGTATCCTTTGCCTTTGAGCTCGGGGAACCAGCCGGCCCAGTAACTGAGATGATGGCCCGGGTCAATTCCCCAAACAGATCGAAGACAAAGAATTCTCATGTTTGCAAGAGACGTCTACTTGAGACTTGTTTACAATAGACGAGGCTTTAGCAAGATGCACTGGAATAATTCTCAATTAATTCACTGCTCTTTTATCTACAGTCTTGTAAAATGAAGTCATTTTCCTTAGTAATACACCAGCCAATGACACAGAGTACTAAGAGTAACATGTGGCGGACAGTGGGGGATAGTTCGTCTTCAGAATGAGGGGGCTTGAGTGGCAGCTGGATGCATTGCCACACCCCGCAGGACATATTTGATGAGCTTCAGAATTTCAGGCTATTGGACGATACTTACTCCTGGAGCTAATAAGTCTAGGTGTCTCAGACTAGACGTCTGTGGCTAGGTTGCTAGGGCCGGAAGGCACATTTGATCGAATACAAGGAATGTGGGAATTGCTGATTACTGAACTGTACAAAGGAAGTCTGGTGAATTAGTCTTAAACATCCGTACATACATCGAAAATAGCGTCTATATCCAACTGGCGCCCGAAGGCCAGGGGTATTGGTCCGTATCCTGATCCCAATATAGGGCTGCGTACTTGATCAGATGGATCCTACACGGCCTTGAGGGCTGTTGTAATTCGACAGACTATTTATGTTGCCAGTACAGAGTAAACGCTAAGCTTTCTACCCCAAGATTAAGAAGTGATTGTCCCCGCGAATTCTCCCCGCAAATTAGTATAACGCAGGAAACCCCACAAACTCAATCTTAGACTCAATCTAGCTAAACAGACAGTACCATAATGATGGAGGGAAGTAAAGAAGATTGCTTGAGATACAAGTATAAAAGCTCTACTGCATACACAGGTGATGTGGTAGAATAGCGGTACTCTTTGGTCTATCTTCGAGTGCCTCTTCCTCCTTTCTCTCCGAACCTTTGTCTATCTCAGGGGATAACTATGTTTGAGAGCATAAAGTTGCACACCGACGGAGACATGACTGGCAATTCTGACCAGATTGAGTGCGTTCGCACAAATACAAGCGTTGCCATTCCAATCGAGGTGTTTGAAAGACGATATCTTGCTCCTCAGCTCCCGAAAGCAGATTGGTATAAACGCCTTGGTAACCCGACGCCTTTGTGAGTGTCCGTATAGTGACGCATACTAGCTATAGAGAATCAAGGATGTATTAACAGTGTAATAGGGGGCTTGTTGGGTTTTTGATGGGTGCGACACCGTTGGCATGCACACTTATGGGCTGGGGGGGATCTGGAGGGGGTGGCGTAGCAACAATGTAAGTTGAGAGACTCGTCGACGTATTCACGGATTATTAGGTGGATATTAATGGTCTCAAAAGAGGATTTACCTACTTTTTTGGAGGCCTACTCCAGCTAATCGCATCGTTACTTGAGTTCATTCTCGGAAACACCTTCCCTTTCATCGTCTTTGGATCATTTGGTAAGTCGGATTCTGCGTCTAGATGCTATAATTTTATCACTTACAAAGATGCTGCTTAATAGGAGCATTTTGGGTAGGCTTTGGTGCCGCTCAAACACCCAGCTTTAATGCACAGGGATTTTTTCAGAGTGGCCAAGATGGCACGGATATCAGCGAGTTTTATGCTAGCTATGGTGAGCCGAAATCTCCTCTCTGACAGTTAATAATGGTCGTATTCATCAGTCATCGTTAGCGTTCGGCTTGATATTCATGGCTTTCCTTGTTGCGATATACACGATATGTGCCACTCGACTCAATGTGGTCTTTGTCTGTCTTTTTTTCACCCTTACGATAGCCTTAATCTGTCTTGCGGTATCTTACTGGTACATTGCGCGCGGAAATGATGTGGTTGGAGGCAGGCTGTCCAAAGTATGTCTATTGTTATGCACAAATACCAGTTCAATTACAAGACAAGAAACTAATATGTACATAGACTGGGGGAGCTCTTACGTTTGTCGTCTGTTTCCTAGCATGGTATTACTTAATTGGCCTTATGCTCGATGATGTCAACTTTCCACTGAGAGTCCCAGTAGGTGATCTTACTGGACGATTCGCCAGGGAAAAGACATCTAGTGAGGCCTAATTTGCCTTGAAAAGAGACGAGGAAGGTTATGAGTCTCAATTTTCTGTAAATGTCTCTTAAAGCCCTGATATTACGGGCATATGTCAAAGTAGCCAAAATGCGTATGTATATTCCATGAACACAAGATGTTACAAGCAGACTTATTGTAGCCCATGAACAATCGAGTGAGGCTGCTTATCTCCGTTGAAGAATTCAAGATCGTGAAACGACTTATATGGGCAAACTGATATCTTTCATGTGGTTAGTAGTCTTAGTCACCATACCCAATGTGCCCTCGGATCCAACGAATAACCCCGTTAGATTATAGCTTGCAGACGTCTTTTGTGGGCGGCGTCTTGTCTTGATTACGCGGCCATCTGCAAGGACGACGGTCTGGTTGATAACCCAATCCTTCATGGTGCCGTAGTACGTCGCACTTGTCCCGCTGCAATTTGTTCCCACCATGCCTTCAATTTTGGCTGACGGGCCAGGATCTACTGGGAAGAAAAGGTTAGTATGCTCAAGCTTCTTGTTGAGCTCCGTCCATTGAATGGACGGCTGAACAACAACATCCATGTCCTCTTCGTGGATGTGAATGACCTAATCCATGGCCAAGAAGTCAATTGTCACTCCGCCATTGCTGCCCCTTTCAAGAAAAGGCTGCTGTTGTATCGATCAGGTGGCTTCGTATATAAATAGACAGCTAATGTTCAAAAAATTTCAACATGGACAGCTCAATAGGCGATAGACATGGGCTTTATCTGGATACCAGAGGAATATTCAATGGGAAGGTTGCCAAGAGCTAAACGTCTTAAGAGTACAGGCTTACTCCATCCGCGGAAAATCTCACATAGCCATGGACTACGGAATGCAGGGCAAAAGGCCCAGAAAATTCGAGCATATTGATTTCTTTACATGCGTCTTTACTGTGAGTCTAATGTCACTCTATCTAGATCGGTACCTAGTTGGGAGCTGCCGAGCATCTGCGACTAAACGTGGCAAGAACAAGATTCTTGTTCTCATATTTCCTAGTAGTGGGGGTGGGAAGTTGAGATACCGAGTGCTCCGCACTAATATCAATGACAGCACGGAGTAGCCGGAGTCGAAAAGCAATCATCAATTACAAGTGGCGACGCTCTCTCAAGCCCCTCACTGCCCCCGCCCCCGCTTCCAATAGCTCATAGCACTAAGAGGTCGTTGAGACGGCCTCCTGGGTCTCGTACATGCAGTCGGTTATGCAATATCTACGGTAGTACAAGGTTCAAAGTCCTACATGTTTAGCTTATTAATCTGACTCATTTGGATCGAGGAAATATTATTTGATTAATGTCAGTACCGAAAACATTAGATGCCGTCATGGGCGTCGTCTCAGGCTCAAGCCCCCCTACCATAGATTGTAGTCTGTTTGCTGACATCTTATGTCACCGAAGCACAGAGAAAAACTACAGGCACTCTAGTTGAAATATATACAATAGATACGACAATCAATGAACCAAACCGTATGACGGAGAGGAATGTTTGCTTGTACTAGACTTCGATGTAGTTTTATTCGGTGGCTAATATTGAACTCCCCTCTGAAATGCAGGGACGTGAAATACCAAGTCTGTATATCAAATTTCTCGATATAGGGCTGCCGAAGTTCTACAAAAGCTATTCTCAAGAGGCGTACGGTTTGCTCTACAACGAGCCATCAAACCCTCCATTTGGGTGAATAATCACTTTGGTGTATCCCCCTTCCCTCCGATCAAAATTTTCGTACGCAACCTCGGCATCACCGAGGCCAATCTCGTGCGAGATGACAAAGCTAGGCTTTGCTTTGCCGGCGATAATCATGTCTCGTAGGTACCGATTGTATGCCTTCACATTGCACTGACCAGTGCTAAGCGACAAGCCCTGAAGCAGTTCGTTAGGATACTGTATGTGAGTAGTGCGTACTATGCACCGACGAAAGACTCTTCCTTACCTTCTCAAACAACTTTCCAAAGCTGAGGCTGATGATACCTTTTGCCGAGTTCGAATCAGGAGCGCCAGGGTCACTATCGGCAGGGAATACCAATGATTAGCTTGCGTATTGAATACAACTGCAACATGTCATACCTGGGGACATAAAGTCCTGGAATTCCGAGCCCTCCACGTGCCCGTGTGACTCGAATCATATTCTCAATAATGATGTTTGGTCTTTCTGCGGATCCATTAGAGTCGACAGCTTGGTATCCAACAGCGTCTACTGATCGGTCCACCATCCCACCATTGTGGGCAATAATCTGATCAACTGCATCTCCCGCGGTAAAGTCGATGGGAATACAGTTGATGCTTTTGGCGACCGCAAGGCGTTCAGGGACCCGGTCTACAACGTAAACATTGGAGGCTCCACGCAAAACAGCCGAATAAGCAGCCATTAAACCGACAGGACCGGCACCGAACACGGCGATGCTTTCACCTGGTTGAAATCCGGATATCTCGACGCCGTGCCAGCCTGACAGCTAAGAATTAGATAAAAGAGACCTGCTGCATGAGAATATTGCAATGACATACCGGTGGGAAATATGTCTGTGCCAACCTGTTAGCGTCAATGGCCGTCAAAGGAACGCTGGGTTTCTTAGCTACCTGCAAGAAGCACAAAGTCGGCTTCGTGCTCTTTGCCGGGGGGCAATTTGAGAGCATTAAAGTCTGCATAGGGGATGCGAATGTATTGCGCCTGGCCTTTATAATATCGTCAGAACTTTCATTGCTTCGCTCATATAGCATTTCAGAAACTCATACCTCCACGGTAAGGGCCCATGGCGACATAGCCTGGCGGCAATTTAGTAGAAGAAGCCATGATTCAATCTTTGACGTCTTACCATATGCGCCACCTGCAAATCCAGGATTGACTCCGGTACAAAATGCCGTATTCCCCTCCTCACAATTGCGACAACGGCCATCGGCGACATTGAATGGCATAACAACCCGGTCTCCTTTCTTGAGCAATGTGACGCCTTCGCCTAGTTCTTCGACAATTCCCATGTTTTCGTGACCTTTTCCCGTTTAGCTTTCTTTTTCGATCCACGCCGCCATACAATGCCTTCATACCAAATGTGATGCCTGGCTCGGCAGACGTCCGACCTTCGTACATGCTATAAAATTGTCAGCTTGTCTCTATTCTTTTGGCATTGTAAGACCTCCTCTATGTACTTACTGAAGATCTGAGCCACAGATCGCTGCCTGGAAGCTGTTAGCTGATTGATTGTGCAAGGTCGTTTGGTGTAAGTCGATCACTAACAGTGGTAACCTTGACAATGATATCATCCGGGTGTTCTAGTCTGGGTCTCTCAATATCTTCCACTCTGACCGTGTACGGTCCGACATAGTTTAATGCTTTCATAGTGGACATGGTGATTGATCTCGTTGTACCTAGTCTGAATTGGTAGTTGGGCTATATTCCCAAAGTTTGAATCCACGAAACTCAGGTGAGGTATGTTGGCTGTGTTGGGCGCAAAAATGCACTCATGGTCACTTTTATGGAAAAAAAAAAAAAAAACTTCTGATATTTCAACGATTGGACCAGAACCTTAAACGACTAGTCCATGACCCGGACGTGTCTGTCTTACAGCCATGTCCTCGTTATTGCCCCGCATCAAACCTCTCATATACCTTCCTGCCCCCGCATTGGCACTGCAGTGATGAACGCTGAGGGGAGGTCCCACGCTGATGAAGAGGGAAATGAGCGTGGGTTCATCGAGAATGGCTTTCTATAGTGAGGGGTTCTTGAAGCCTGATTGTGATGGATACTAGAGTGATGCAAGTGCAGGCGGGTCTGGGAATGGGGTCTAGGAATAAAGATACAATCACCTCTGAGTATCTCTATAGAAAGATCCCTCTCCTAAACAAGTGATTTGACTACAGATTGTGAACTGAGACGGATATCAACATCGAAAGTTATGTATTGAATGAAGTAGCCAGATTTATGTATTGCTGCTTGGTCCATCAGGCATAAAATAATGCTCATGGTGGTTTTGGTCAAAGCTGAATATTTGATGTTTGGGCAGGGTGCATGACGCGAGATAAGAGCAGTTCAGATGGTAGGGTATTTGATTGTTTTCTTGCTTGATTGTTTGCTCGATTGCTCGATTGCTTGTTTGTTTGTTTGTTTGTTTGTTTGACTGCTTCTGTTTATTAGCCGGGTAAATGCCGCTTGTTGAATTTGCCGATCATTTTTATTTTGGCCGCCCAACCTTTTCATTCTTTTTGGACAAACTAGACTAGACTTTTCCACTTTCTCTAATCCACACCAGGCCAAGCGTCAAGACCAAACTTTCAAAGAGTCAAAGTGAGTGAGCCATCTATACGTTCTATGGTTGCGTCTACTGACGACAGCTAATAACTGATTAGTATTGCTGACACACCATGGCCGAGTCTCGTTTCGAGTCGGAGCAATACACGTCGGAAGCGTTCGTCGAAAGCGCAGGCGGCGTCTTATTCCGCCTATCTTCTCGTGAGATCTGTGTACTTCATCTTTTGAATCGTGACGAGTATGTGTTGGCCAAAGGACGACGCAATTGCGGAGAAGCTCGCCATGAAACCGCCCTACGCGAGGTCACCGAAGAGACAGGCTTTACTTGTCGCCTCCTTCCGGTAAATATGCATACTCGCGCCCCGCCAGCTGTGGAAACCGAGCAGTTGGACGACCAAGCTCGTTTTTACACGAATCTTTGCGAACCGTTTACCTTGCAAATCCGCCGCCTTGGGGAAAACCAAGTGAAGCTTATTTGGTGGTTCGTCGCCGTTCTGGATGAGGAGACATCGCCAAAGGAAACGATGGAGAAGGAAAGATATGCGGTCGAGTTTTATAGCTATACGGACGTTCTGGACAAGCTAACGTTTCAGTTGGATCGGGATATGGTTAAAAAGGCTATCGAGCTCGTAGAGAATACCTATAAGGAGTGACAGTCATGGCTGTCGAGGATGGAGTCGAGGATTCTTCGAGCATTGGCCAGATCCTCATCCTGGTCTTCTAAGCCGAAGAAGCTCCGTCTGCAAAACTGGTGGAATGGCTTCCATAGGAGATGACAACCAAATACGACGACCTGGCCGCAACAAATGTAATATTCAGCTCCAGCTTTGTTCCAGCAGATCAGCATATGCTTTCAGGCTCGCACTGACGACATCAACAATTTCCCACGATGTATTGCCATTGAAGATCCTAGCCCAAACCCGCACGATAGAGATGCTCAATCGCCTTACGATGTCAAGATTCTGTACCAAATCCAACCGATTTTCCATGGGAATTCCTATACCATGTTCAGTTTCGTCCAATAATCGTGTGATCCACAAAAATAGCATCCTTTCATGCCGAGACAGCTCTGTTGGTCCTGGAAGAGCCAAGAGCCACCTTGTCAGCAGATGAGCATACTCTACAGCGCTCAAACAGTGTTGTACACTCCAATAAAATGAATGAGTTCTCGCCACAAAGTCAATACCGAGCTGTACAGGAATGGATAGGGCGTGAACCGCGTGGAGAAGTGCGGTAATGAGCCCCGGGCCTCGTACAATATATTGCGGTGCATTAACCAGCGCTCGGGCAATTGCCGAAGGGTTTCTCGTCATAAAAGCGCGATGGTGTCCCAAATCAACTTGTATGCGCACATAAATCTGACCGAGCAGAGCGGCTGAAGTGAATGCGATTGGTCCAGCTGGATTACGCGGGTCGGTACTTGACTCTGGGGTATCTTTCCAGCGAGATTTCCAGTTGCGAAGGACTGCATCCAATCCTGTCGTTATATGGCGTGCCTGAAGATTATTATCTAATGGAAATAGACACATCTGACGGGAAAAGTAAAGCTGCTGGAATACAGCATGCAAAAGAATATGATTTCCAAGGGCAGTGGATGGTGTCTCATCAGCAACCAAAACTTGTCCCTTATTGAAAAGGGAAGAAAATGACCTCTGGAATGCGACATTGGATTTCTTCCCCCCGGATTCGTATGCAAGTCGCCAGTCATTCGCATTTTGTGCCGACCAGAGGGCAGCAGAGCAAGGCATATCAAGCCCAAGATCAGCGTTTAAGAGCAATGGAGGCGTGTTATACATTAGGCAGTGAAGGTTAAGAAAACAGTAGGCAATGAATTTGGCGCGCCTATTGAGCTCCCTGCTGACCCATGTATTCCAATTCACGTCATTTGAACCATCCGTCAAGTCAAAACTTTGAGCTGGTTCGTCGAGACCGTGCGCGCGAACCAAAGACGCGAGTGTATTATCCAAGAATACGAGTTCTTGCGCTATTCCTCTGTTGTTTCCCCAAGTTGCATAAATATTAAGCAACAGAAGAGTCTGGATGATCTCTACTGTCTCGTCAAAATTATCCTCAGCGGCAACGCCAGTTGGAAAGTTTGACAAGAAAGCAGCCGCAGGAGAGTTACAATGTGCTGAATTGGTTGTATAAGCAGCCTGTATTCCGCAGCCTTTTTGCTTCATCGTCTCCAAAACAATGGCTCGTGCTGCATAAAACAGTTGCACGCCTTGACTAGTCTCGAAACGGTATTGCGAGCCACAGGCAGCAATCGCCAGAACAAGCGCCGGGTTACAGCTTTCTATGTATAATGTCGGAGAATGTATGAACGGAAGATGGTCATTCAAACCATCAATGAAACCATGAAGAAACCGGGACAATGCATATTGAGACGGAGGTGTGAACCCCTTGGGTAAAACCCGGCGAAAGCCGTCAATATTGTTCAAAAGGGAACGGTATTGGGACTCGCTTATGTTGTGTATGGAGTGAAGTTTGATTGTGTCCGCTGAACTCTGAAGCCGGTTTTCGGCCTCACCTGCGTCAGGCTGAAGCGAAGGCAAGCGAGAACCAAAGTTGGAGAATGATACCGCTTCCTCGGTAGTATGGCTTTGCAGAGAGTGGTCTTCTGGATCGAACTCGTTCGGCACCGCATCCTTTAACCCGACCTGGGGAGCGGCCACAGAATCGGTTGGGAAAATCCATTGTTCGATGGACGGAAGCCCTTCGGATTCCCATTGTTCAGACAGCCCAATACTCTCCAAGAAAGTGGCAAAGTCTTGCATTGGATCCACCCCCTGGATCATCAATGGGAGAGATGCGGGCTCCTAGATAGAATATACTACTTAGCACCTGTTGCAAGGGATTGAGAGGTAAACTCCTTCATAAGAAGAGCATCTGCAATGGAGTCGAGCTGTTTTACATTTACACTTGCATTCATAGCTTCTTCCAGCGCGCTGTTGGGCGTCGCGTAGGTTCCATTCGTCCAGGGGGCCAGGGCCTGGTTACTGGCAGAAGCTCTTGTATTCTCATCTGGGATCAGGGCACTTTCTGATGAGACATGTCTCGGGTCGCCTCCAGTGTCATAATGATCCCGTTCTTGAAGAGACTGTGTTGCGTGCACAAGTCTCTTGTGACGAATCACCAGATCGCTGTCAACAACGATTAGTTCTGGGTTAAATGGAAGGTGTTGATAAGTAAACCAACTTTCTACCAAAGGATCTTGAGCAGATTTCACACGAAAATGGCTTATCATTAGTATCTACATGTTTGCAATTGGTTAATGTTCCAACTCTAATCAGTAAAAAGGTGAAAATGGCCTACGGCTTCTGATGTGTCGCTGCAAGTGCTCGAGACGTGAGAAGGACCGCTGACAATATGGACATAGAGGTGGCCTGGAACGCCCATTCTTATTTCTGGTCGAACTTGACTGTGACCGTGTGGTAACCGGAGCTTCCATGGTGCAATAGGCGACTCGCGGCCAAACTAATAAGCGTTTTTGACAATGATGGGGAGCGCAAACGTTGAATTAGCGGAATATGGGGTAGTAGAACTTTTATATAGGGAGGCTAAATGTAAAAAGTGGACCTGAACTACCTATGAGTTCCCTTTTTTCGCCCCATGTACACGATCAAAGTATTGTCCTTGCGTAATTGTGTATAATAGCTAGTGTACGAGAACTTTACACCATTTTCTAGCTCTGTCGTAATAAGGTATAGAGGCGCCACTTCGAGCCTATTATCCGAAGGTTGAAAAGATGTAAGCTTTTCGTCGTCACTGCTCGTCTTAGCAAGGCTGTTACTCGACAAACCCCTAATTTACGCTCCCTATCACTGGCTCTCAGTATGCGTAACGAGGCGATAAGTTCAATTGATGCCCTTGTTACAAGATCATTTTGATTATGAACATTAGACTACGCACCGGTATTTATTTGAAATAGTGGCCCAAAGCCAGAAAGCGCAATATGGATGGGCAGACATTATGCGACGGATTCATTGAAGCGTATCGGTATACTTTCGAAATGAAGCACAAAAATATTCGTCATGCATATGGCAAGGTGTTGTGAAAGGCAAGAGATACTTCAATATGCTATTTTAAATATTGTAACTACTTCGTGGACAGATTTGTCCTTCTCCTGACCGACACGTAAAGATTCAAAGGTCGAACAAGTTGAAACTCTGGATCGTATTGAATATTCTCACTCCCGTCCCGAATAAATTCATAGCGGTATATCAGCTCGCTAAAGATAATCTTGGCTTCGAGAAGAGCAAAATTGAAACCAATGCAGCCGCGTGGGCCCGTTGCAAAGGGAAGATACATGGCACGATGGCGGCCTTTTACCTCGGCGGTGTCCCATCGATCCGGGTCGAACTGAGAAGGGTCGTGCCAGTGATTGGGATTGGTATGAAGACTGTAGAGAGCACAAACAACCACGCTGTCTGGCTTCAGGCGGTATCCACCGGGAACAATGACATCCGTCTTGACAGTTCGCGCAGGTTGGAAGGCAGGGTTGTGGAGGCGCTGGGTCTCCTTGACGAATTTATCAAGGAACGACAGCTTGCTAACAAGATCGACTGACCATTCCGTCGTCTCGCTAATGCCATTGCTCACAAGCTCTTGGAACAGGCGCTCTTGATTGCCGGAGTGCTCGGTAACGGAGTAGATGAGCCAGGACAAGAGGGATGCGGTGGTCGTAAACCCAGCTGAAGTCAGCATGACGATGTTGGGTACAATCATCGAGCGGGGGAATGTCTCTCCCTTCTCGTCCGTGCCCTTGATCAAATACTCGACGAGGTTAGATGCCTTCAAAGCAGCGTCTGCCATGGGCATCTTCGGCATCGCCGTATCAGAAGTCTCAATGTCTGAAACGACACCCTCTACTAACGCGTAACAGAGCTTATGCGTTTCTCGCAACTTCTTAGGATCTCCAAAGGGGAGATTCTGATACCAAGCGCCCCGCGATGCCACCTTCTTATTCAACGAGAACATGGTAAGGATAGACAGCGGGATCGGGTGGAATGGCGCGTCTGCATCAACCAGGTGACCAAAGTTCTGGCCCAAGATAACCTTGCCAATGGTCTCGGAAGCTACCTTTACCATGTATTGATAGGCGTTCCACGACCGACCACTTTCAGCAAAGGCGTCAAACACAACGAAAGAACGCCGAACCGTTTCCTGAATCAATGGTGCATAATGTCTCACAGCTTTGGGGCCCATTGATGTTGGGAGAAACTTGTGGCTGAGGCGCCAGGTCTCAGTCTCAGTGTCTCCAACAAAAGTCGCGATATTATCTTTTACTCCCCACAGAGGATGATCTTGATTGATCCTTTTGGAGAAGTAGACGGATTCATTGAGGGCGACGGCGGCGATTTCAGGGTCGTCTGTGAGGTAATTCGTCTTTCCCATATTCGTTGTCTTGATCAGTCCGCCATATTGGCGGAACAGACGAGAATGGTTTCCGAGATGATCTGGGAAAATTTCGTAAAAGCTTCCCACTATTGGGAGGCCTTCTGGGCCATCAGGCTCACGTACGGCCTGATTGTCGATTCTGATGCCGATAGGCTCGGTAGCATCTAACACGTCACTGACACTATTGATGGAGCCATAGGAGACGTGAAAAGACACTCCTTATTCGAGTTAGTATGTAAGTGATATCGCTCGCCCCAGGGGAACATTATGGCATCAATCATACCGCTTGGTTGGACAATATGGAAATGCCGTGCGACGGCACGCTTAAGCTCATCCGGACCGTAGGTTGGAGATACTTGTATGGGATGTGCTGTTGAGACATTGTCTCCTACTAGAAAGAAATTCTTTGACGCCATGATTTGATCTCAAGCAGACAGAGACTTGATTAGGTAGCACTCCGTTATGTCAGTATGGTGTCGTTGTAGATAGGGATCGCTGTTATTTATGGGCTCGGTCAACCATCAGCATCCCCTCTCACTCGAATCCACGGAGAGGTTCAGCGCTTCTACGACAAAAGGCATTCACAAGCCTGGTTGAAATTATTAGTGCAAATGGCTTCAAACCTGACTATCTAACTGTTGCATTGCGGGGGTAGATCTACAGCATCTCCGGATCAACCACAGCTAGGTAATATTGGGCATTGTTTGACGGTTAGGCAATGTGACGTATACTTCTGTAGCCAGCCGAGAAGCAAATACTAGAGTCATCATCTCGTTATTTGGCCCAAAACTCTTGCATGTAATCCATCGTAGCCTTGAGAGAATGGGACGCCACATTGTGACCCCGCATACACCCCGCATAGACTTGTTCGCCACATCCCCCACAACGCGTTTAACAAGTCGAAGACAAAATGCTCCCCACCAGGTAAAATCATCAATGATTACTACTGACTTGCTATTGGATTGATAATGATACTGTATAATTGGAGCAAAATTTGCTCAATATTGTCTGAAAGCCGAGGTGGTCCGCTTTGGAGTTAGTATTTTTGTTTTACGTCAGATGAATGAGTGGTTCTGGACTACTTATACGAATGGGTGGGTATATTGCTTTTCTAAGAGTAGACACGCATCTATTATATAAATGCTTAGGAGTATCCTTGTCACGACATGGGTCAAGAGATGCGTCTGCTTTCTAGCAAAGTTTCAGTAAGGAGATGGAGATAAATATAACCATCCATGTCTCTTTCTTATCGTCTCATCTTCCAAGCACAACCATCTTTTATCTTTCATCACCCAAGTATCAAACGCCCTTAGCACGATGGGATTGAAGACTGTCTCCGTCAGAGATGTCCAGGAGCATAACCAACCGGATGATATATGGATGGTTATACATAACAAAGGTTGGCGTGGTTAAACTCCCTCGGTTGAGAATTTTGATATTGACAACAAGACCCAGTTTACAATGTTACGAATTACCTAGAAGATCACCCAGGTGGTGTCGATATTCTTGTAGGGGAAGCCGGCAAAGACGCGACACAAGTATTTGAAGATGTGGGTCATTCTGACGAAGCGAGAGAATTGTTGGAGGATTTGCTAGTTGGCGAGATTCAGGTATCTGTAAGTGTGATAATTATCGAACATGTCATCTATCATTATTGACCAGGCTGGATAAAAGGATCGTTATGCTACGGTAGAAGTTTACCGGCCGACCTTTGAGACAGTTAGCCAGACGACAACTATTCATACCAAATCTCAGCCATCGAACGGCACTGCATCATGGTATGGAAGAGCCCTCTCCAAGATATTCATATTTGGAATCTTTGGCGGGGCAACGTACCAAGGCTACCACCACCGCAAGCTGTTGTATCATGTTGCACAGGCGTCTTCAAAAGGCCTGCGAGTATCTGGTGGCCAATTTTGGGTTGGCTTCAGCATGGCATCTGTGGTACATGTTCTGCTGGCGTTCGGAGTAGTGTCATGGGGTGCTTCGAAACTGGATTTCCAGCAAGACTTTACTGCATTCCCAGCATACAGGGCTCAAGATCCAGCGACTCCGTTCACCCATGCACCTGTTGCTGCCGGCCCGGCATGTCAACTGGACCCCCAGAAGTGGCGCAAGCTTACACTCCAAGAAAAAGTAAAGGTTTCGCCCAATGTATACCGCTTTGTCTTTGAACTCCCAGATTCATCGCGGCCATTGGGCTTACCTGTTGGGCAACACGTTGCAATTCGAGCCCAAATTGGGGACAAAATGGTCACTCGATCATATACGCCCACTTCGGATAATCGAGACTTTGGCCGCGTTGATCTTCTCGTCAAAGCCTATCCAACGGGTATCATGACTCAACACCTTGAAAGCCTTGTAATCGGAGATAAAGTTGAATTTCGAGGTCCTAAAGGTGCTATGCGATACACTAACGGGTATGCGACTAACATCGGTATGATTGCCGGTGGTACCGGCATCACTCCCATGTATCAACTGATCCGCGCCGTTTGTTCGAACCCTTTGGACAAGACCTTCATTTCCCTTATATATGCGAACAATACCGAATCCGACGTTCTTTTGAAACAAGAACTGGATTTACTGGCGTCGCAACACCCCCAAAATCTTCGGATCCATTACGTTCTTGCAAAACCCCCTTCCAACTGGTCAGGCAGTGCTGGGTTCGTGACAAAAGCTATTGTCAAAGAGCATATCTACGAACTATCCAAGGATTCCCGTGTTTTACTCTGTGGCCCCCCTCCAATGCTTGCAGCTATTAAGAAGATATTGTCTGAGCTTCAGATTGAAGAACCTACACTGTTGTCTGGCATTGATAAGAAAGTATTTCTATTTTAAAGATTTGCTTTTAAAGAATTTAACACTGAATATATACTACTCGAAATTTTCTAAATACACAGGGTTTTAAGAAATATTGTTTTGATAGTAATATATTTTATCTACTGAATCCAGAAAGACAAGATTATGCAGGTTTTTGACAGAATGGGTAATGGACAGAGCAGCATCCAGATCTCGCAACTCTTTGGGTGGCAATGATATCGCTAGCAGATGGAAGATTGCCAATTTCTCGTAGTTAGAAGGAGGCGGCTATGACTTCAAGGCCAACAATGAAGAATAGCCTCCTAATCAGAGCGGTTAATAAAGTCGCCATCAAGTAGTGCAGCAGTTCATACTCAAATTTCATTGATACGTGATTGATCAACAACATACATGTAGGTATTACACTAAAATACAATTATACAAAAATATCATCCCAAACGAGCGTCGCTAATGGTTACATCCATCATCATCCCAGAAATCACAATCTCAAATTAGAGCATGTCCAAACATTGCGCGTCCAGATTTCGGACAGGGAATAGAAACAGCAAAACAAATAAACAAGACTATGCATCAGAAGTAAATGCGGAAAACTTATGGAGGTCCATGTCATTCGTAGACATTTATTTATGAGACCTCGGTCAGGCCCCGTGGGTTGGTTAGAGTCACCTCTCCGCCCAAATCAGAGACCGGACCGGGAACACTGGACCTCCAGCCAGGAGAAGTCTGGGCTTGAGTGCTGGGTTCCGGTGCTGCCTCTGCTGTTGTATTGGGCGCTGATCCCTCGTCGGGGAACTCATAATCTGGAGGTGGTTCTGAGTCTACAGGTATCTCTGCAACTGTTGGTTCCTGGATCGACACAGTCTGCGCGTGAGAGTCGTCCTCAAATCCAGGAGCTCGATCACAGCACTCGTGATATGCCGGAGCAGCGGCACCAAAGCCGACAGTTGTCTCAAAGGCACTCTGTCGGATCTGTTGAAGAGCGCGCCGTTCGTTTTCTAGTGATCTTGCAGTCTGCCGGATAGAATTTCTGCACGACTCGCTGACTTTCTTCATAGCTTCGTGATACTCTTTCTGGGCTTGCAATGCGCTTGTTAATGCGCTTCCCAGTCTTTCCAAGAGTGCAGTGTTCTGTGTTTTGTCCTTCAAACGCGACGTTGCTTGTGTCTTGGCAGTGACAAGATGCTGCTCAAGATTGCGCTTGGCTTGCAACTGCTCGGGTCCAGGCCTTGTTTCGAGGACGTCAATGGCTTGGTTGGTGAGTTCGAGGCCGCGATCGATGTATGCAACGCAGCGACTCAGCGTTCCGTGGAAACTTCGTTGCGAAAAGATGTCAGAGTGGTTCTCAAAGCCTGCCCGTTGCTTCTCAAACAGGGCACGCTCGATGGCGAGTTTGACCACCTGAGCCGCCTTGACGCCTCGAACTGCTGCCTTGAGTGCCTCTGTCCTCTCCTGAAGGGACACCTTGGCTACTTTGTGTGCCTGTTCCTGCTCGTCCTCGTCCGGGAAGCCAGCCGTCGGTCCATCGAAGATTTCCGAGTAGAGGTTATCAATGCCTTTGTGGGCAGCGCCGTGTCGTCCCACCAGATCTTCCAGAGTCTTCATCTCAACAATCAGTGCCTCCTTATCAGCGTTCAGCTCTTTCAGCGTAGCTTCGGCCTTGTGGCGCTTTTCAAGCACTTGGTGGTATGCCCTCTCCTCACGCTGGGCCTTTTCATCAAAAGCGTCTCTCTTCTTCAAAAGAGTGTAGACCCATTTCTTTCCAATGGAGTCTCTATAGGCCTTGTGGCTCTTGAGCTGCTGGTTGGCAGCAGCCACGGCCTTTTCAACCTCGGGCTCGAGATCGGCGAGACGTTTGTCAACATGTTCGATCTTGATATGATTGTTTCCCAGCAGTCCGGGTCCGTGAGCTGTAGCTTCCAGCTCGCTCAGTAGTTGCGAATTTCGTGTTGCTGCTCTCTCAATAGCTTCTCGTACTCTTCGTTCGGCCGCCGGATTTGATGGTGCATGGTGCTGGTGTACTTCTTGACGAATCGACATGTCGACGACTGTAGGTGGCAAGAAATCCGAAGCTGCAGCCTTTCGATCTACCATAGATATCCTCGTGTCCATGGTGATGAACGAAGTCACTTATACGCTCACTTGGCTGTCTTGCAGGTGATGCGCAGATGATGAGCGTGATGTCGGGGGTTTATCAGAACCTTCAAGTCAAATGGACGCGCTGCGTTGCGAGATGACGACGTATTTATCCACCACCAGAATTGATAACGGGGTCAAAGATACGAAATTAAGGCAGACCAGTCAGATTCTAATACAATGCAGGAGATCATCATCTTACCCCGAACTTCACAAAGATTTGTCATCATTTGCAAGATTCCAGTATAGGGCTAAACAAGGCGCGGGCGTCAGCACTTGGACTATTTTGCACGATACAGTACTATTTGCTGCGCACGATGGCACTAATATCGCCTGCGCCACAGGTTGAATTGTCACCATGCATTTGGAATATTCCAAACCTATGACCTAACGGCAGCCTTGACTACGCCATCAGTCGGTTTATGACTTTCTTCAGAACAAGGGCAAGAGCACTGCCTACTCTTTGTTAGAATTGTTTTTAACGACCAGATGAATGGCATGAACAGCTTGTCTCTGTAGCTGAGCTACACGCCAAGCCAAGTTGTAACATTAAAAACAGGGGCTCTTCAACACCGCCAACGATGCATGCTTAGTTCTTCGGCAATGGGTGAGCGTACGTCGAATCATAACGCTAGTTTTATATAAATGGAATAAAGCTACTCACCGCCTCCATATTAGCCGAAAGCAGTAATAGGTGTTGCAAGTTCAAACGCAGCCATGCTGTGGAATGAGAACACCGGACTAATGTAAAGGCACCAAATTCAGGCGTATGTTTAGCTGGCGTATTTGCTGGAGTATTTGTATTTCTTCGCTCCTAAACAGCCCTCTCACCCAGGCCAAAGACCACGACCTAGCTATGTAAGCAGATTCCAGTCATAGAGCCCACTCACAACTAGTGGATCGGCAAGCTGGGCCAAACAACAGACAAACCTATCTCCGCGGGTTGAAGTGGGATGCAGCTCCCGTCTACTGTTGCCGGCTTCAATCCGGAAGCCCCAAAAACGCCACCACTTTCTAACTGGTTCTGCAGGAAGGACAATGCGAGCATCATAACAACAGATCTATTAGTCAGTCTCTTGAGGAGACCCAGTTTCGACGCAACAATGAGGCGCCCAACAATATCGACGCAACAATTGACGCCCAACTGTCAACGTGCATAAAGACCAGCCTTCGCCAACCGCGTTCAATTGAGTAAAATCGAGTCTTCAATCAATTAACACCAACCAATTTTCTGAACCAACAAACTCATCTTTGACGCCCGCAATGGCTGCCGAAACAACCCCCACTCTCCACTACTTTGATCTTGGTACAATGGGCCGTGGTGAAGTCATACGGTAAGTCTTACGCTCATTAACCTAGACTTGCTTACCCCTCGCTATTTGGAAACCTGGCAGCCACTATTTGCGTAGCTAATACCACTGTTAGTCTATTCTTACGCGATGCTGGTATTGAGTTTAAGGATATTCGACACTCATATGGGACATGGTCTACTGAGAGTGACAAGTTTAAAGAGCAGGGTATCACCCGGACCGGCAAGTTGCCGGCTCTCATCATCAATGACACCATTTTAAATCAAGTTAGTCCATTGAGCCGTCAACCCCTTCCCATTGACGCATCGCAGAAAAGAGACGCACTAACAATGACCACATGTAGCATGTTCCCATTTTGCGATATCTGGCTCGGGACACCGGCCGCTATGACGGCGAGACAAACCATGAGAAGTTTCAGGTAGATGCTGTTGCTGACAATTATATCGACTGGAGGGTAAGTGCAGCGCATAGCGAATCGCAGTTCCATACTTGCTTCTCTTGTCATGGACTAATCCGAAGAATATAGGCCCAATGGGTAGCAAATATTGGGAATGTTTCAGACGAATACAAGAATAAATTTCTTCCGAATTATTATGCGGCCGTCGCAAAGTACTACTCGGAAAACAAAGGCCCCTATCTCCTTGGCGATAAAATAACTTATGCCGACTTTGCTGTCTACCAATCAATTGACAACGATGAGCGAATTGGAGCTTTGCCAGTGAGTTTTATTCTTTTTCCTAGGATTGCTATTGTCCGAAACAGTTACTGACCTACGGTCCAGGCCGAACTGCCTGCGGAGATTGTTAAACTCCGAGAAGCTATTGAAGCGCGACCAAATATTGCAGCTTATGTCGAAGGAAACCGCAAGAAGGCATAAGACGCTGACATGGTTGAATTTGAGGGTTGGAGCTTTTATTGGAGAAGGAATCTAGGTAAAAAATACTGAAATCATAGCCAAGTCTCTCATGAGCTACAATTGTAGTTTAACTCATTGGACATTGGATTTGGGGGGGGGGGGGGGGGGGGGGGGGGACAAATAAGCTATCAACAAGGAACGAAACTTATATTACTCGATAGTCTCCAATATGTGAACTTCAGTAGACCGTAATCAACTTTGACTAGGCCTCATGAGCCACCTTTCTACATTGACGTGCAAAGGATCGCTCAGCCTTGCATAAGGAGGGATGTTTGTTTTTAAGCTTATGTGAAAAGCACACCGAACATGCATAAGACTAGTAATCAAGCCCGTCAGTGTCAGTATTCTATGGCAACTACCGCAAACGAAAATGTGATATTTGCAGCAATCTAAATTTGGCGAATCAGCATCGACGTTGATAGCAGTTAACTTTATGCTTCTAAATGCCAAGATCCCAGCATCAGACGAAAGGCAGTATAATGGAATGCCATGATTATACCGCTATGAATCCATACGAATAAACGAGCATATGTACTTATGTTTTTATTTCCTTCTTAGTGATTCAGATTCACACGTATGTACCTATCTATTTCTATCCTTGGATCACGGTCTCAAGGCTGAGCATCCCAGTTCTCTTAAGTGCAATATTTATAATCATTATATAAATTTCATCATGTAACGTTGCGATTTGATGGACGAATTACGGAGTAGTTATCCTTGCAAAAGCGAACGGGAGCAGGCATCGTGATCAAGGGCTTTGAGCTAGTTTTTACATAGCATAAACTCACTCCGGGAGATTGCTTGCAGAAAGTGATTGCTCTATTTACTTGTCACATATCTATATGTGACTTCCAGGCAGACAGCACAATAAGAGGGCCTAATACTACCACTGCCTGGGATTACTCCATATTTCGTACTCGTTTCAACACTCAGTTCAAGGAATAATGTGATCATTACCTTCTCCCCTGGGCCTTCTCTCGGGCATATATCCATACCTGTACGGAAGCCTGTCAACTAAACGCATCACATGCGTATCCGGCCCAGTTATCGTAGCAACTCCATGCTGGTGTTGTCACTCTGGCTGCGCTCGTAATTAGTGGGCAAAATTGGAACGGATGATCCTCGTAATCACCATCTCTCATCAGTCCACTCTGTCTAGTTTCAAAACCAGCCTAATGCATCATGGAACATCTGCCGCCGGCGACATGTCAGATAGCAAGGCAGCTGGCGTTGGGGAAGAGTTGTATGCATGCCCGATGAGATGAGATCCAGATTGGAACGCTCCGCAGGCTCCAGAGTCAAGCTTTACGATGGCTCTAGCTTCGCTGTAGCGTGTTCTCCGTATCATCACGACGAGAAAGGCTGAGGCTAGTGACTCCAACTAACGGTTGACCAAGTTACCTTGTCAAAAGACGTATAAGAGCCAGCGTTCTCATGCTTTTTTGCACTACCGAATTATGCTTTAATTATTCCTTTTGAAGTTGCTATACATGGGCAACATCGCCGATCTAACAGCTATGTTCGGAGTTCGGAGCAACTATTTCGTGTTTTCCAGTGTTCCAATTACTAGTAGCATATTCGTAGCAAATCAATGCGAAACAAAAGAAATTCGTTTCCAAGAATTAAAAAAAAAAAAAAAAAAAAAAAACAAACAATCCTTCCAGAAGTCCCAAAGCTTTCACGCTAAACCCATAACCGAAACTAAAGGCGATGTCACGGCAAACAAAACAAAAGTTCGAGAAGAAAAACAAGAAATGCAAAGAGCCGATCTTGCCCCTTTCACTCCCACCCACCCTTGGCGGTTTTTGCCCGCAGCTGACGAGAGCTTAAAACAGACTGCTAATCTCAAAGGACCATGGAGCGCGTCTCGAAGCTGATGCACAGACCGTTGCGTCCGCCGATCCGGGCACGCCGCTAAAAGCCTCGCAACAGGCCATCTTTGCTCGTGCCATTTGCTCCAAATTCCTGGTAGCGCTCACCGACTGGACTGCGTGTAGAGACTATATACAGTAGAAGCATCTCGGCAGTGAGTGTGGTACGAGAAAATGGAGTACTCGCAGTAGCATTGGCTCCATTTTACGGAGTATTCTCTTTTGAGAAAGCCCGCCCCTATTATTCGAGAAAAGCGAGAGTGGACAGGCTATGGGGACAAGTTTTGGAGCACGATATGACCTATTGCTATATTGATGCACTTACTGCTAACATGCATGAGCATTACCTACTACGAATGCTTGCATTTTCACTAGTATTGGAGAGCAGTATGGCCGCTACACATGATATTCTGTGTCGATAAAGTGTTCCTTTCTTTTGGACGTCTTGCCAAGAGGCCCATGAATGAACAAGTTACATTCTTTCTATAAAACAGTTAGCCTACTCAACCCTTGTAATCGGGTAGAGACATCCGTTCAATTGCAAGGCAAAACGCCAAGCTTCGTTGTAGCCTTGGCGAGAACTGCCTATCTACTGTTGCATCGAATCCTGATTGATGCGGCTTACATGCGGCAAGACGGAAGCTCTCGGAGGGTCTGGCCTCATGTTTGCGTGACAGGCTGTGGAGAGAACATGTTGGGGAATGCTACTCGAGCCCGTAGAGTTGCATCGATCAGAGGACGGAACACGGATGACAGATTAAGGGGATCGCACGATATACGCATCTGTATTAGCTTCAAGGGAAAGCAATGAGAAAGGACTCGAGGCAGAGCAGTCGTCCTTTCTTATGACGTCTGGGGATTATAGAAATGGAAAAGGGAATCGTGCTATAGAGCGAATGCACAGTTTCACGCTACGGATCCTTCTCAATAGTCTAACAAAAAGCAAAGCAGAAACCGAATTACAAGTGCCTACCCCAGCAATTCTAATACGCCATGGCATTCGGTCTCAATGTAGCTCATGTTCCTGTGCTTACTTGCACATCCTGTCGGGCAGCCAGTATGTCGGCGGTGTTAACACGGCGGAGATGATTCTCCTCTTACATGGCCCCCAATGCCTCACAAAGCTATTACGGGTTATACTTCATTTTTTGGCCTTCGAATAAGCCATACACCCAGTGGCACACCATTCGCAATATCTTCTCCAACGCTACCGATACCGGCATGCTGTATTTTAGGGTAGCAAAACATCGCATACTCGTTCATGCCGTGTACATCCCTGTAAGAGAGCCGGAAATTGCTTGCCGACTCGCGTAAGTCGCAACCATATTCTGGAAGGCGTCGTCTTACTGCATAGAGAGGTAATAAGTGAAGACTGCGCCTTGGGGGCTGCAAGATGATGTGCACTACACCTCCAAGCCTTTACGCGTAATTTGGTAACCTAAGCTTTTGTTTCATCTCTGATTTTCAGCGTCTTGTTTTAGTATAACGCATAGATGCGTTGCTTGAGCCATGCAATCTAAATAGAACTCAGCAAATTGAAGCATTGGACGTCATGTTGGCTCGCCTGCGCATGAATTTCCACTTGAGCCTTCGGCTGAGCCGTTCCGGGACAGCTGAGCTGGTTGGGCGTATCGGTCTTCAAGGTCCCACTTGGATTTCCAGCTACTCGGGTCTCTGGCAAGATCAAAATCCATCGGGCTGTAGCATCCGCGAGATACGACGGACTTGACGTAAAGGCATTGATGGCTGAGCGTCTCGCGGGAGCAGCGGCGGTGTGGCGTGGCAACTTTGAGCCATGACCAGCTTCCGTACTGGTATAAGTGTTGAAATACTAGCAAAAGGGAAATTGGTCACTTGAGAGGCGGCAAAGCGGTGTGGCTTATGAAGAGAACGTTGAAAGCAACAATAAGGGCAAACAAGGCAAGGAAACTGCTTCGTATTGAGCGATAACGGACGAGACTAGAGATAATTTGGCACGCGCCGAGCGGCGGGAATCTTGTGTTTCGGCCAGAGTTTCCAATAACCAGTATCGGGAGATAATGGCCGCAGAAAAGTCATAATGGCCAGCGACTATTTTTTTAATCCTCCCAGTTTGGCAGCTTGACGTCAGTAACCAGTGATGCCCAGCTAGTCTATGTTTCACCTCGTCATATGTTTGCGAATTATTAGCAGTTGTGTCATCATCGTCTCTATCGAAGCCATGGTCTTGATCATGAAAGTTGAAACATGACCAGATATTCCCCCCACCAGCCCGCTTAGTGTGTAGCTGCGTGTACGGGGAGACCAGGGACATGACGAGCAAAAGCTGCCGAGAATCAACGCGTGCAATTATTTTACCAGGATTAGTAGTGCTAGTAGCTGTTTCATGAGCCTATATGAGCATGGAGCAATTCGTGTAGACTTGACAGAGATAGAGGCAAACCTCGGTAACCTGTAGTTGATTGGCTGACGTCGAGCTATCATGAATACTCTCGGCAGCCTCTGCAGCCTCTGCCGTTCAACGGGAGCAGCCGCTTTGTTGGTTGTTGGCCAGACTCTGGCTGGCATTGTTCCTTCTCACTTCCTCCATGGCACCAGGTTGTTCGGAGTGTGGGGGATTTACCCGGGGGACCAGGGAGCCATGAAAGCGGCACTCACGATAGGGGGACTTTGAAATGTTGTTGGAGCTAGGAGTACATAGCCGTGGCCCTTGTACAAAGCTACTAGGTAGTCTCGTACAGGGCGAATTGCTCCTCAGTCAGTAAATGGCAGCTACATATCACAAGTAGGCTATTCCTAGGATCTCTATCCCCGGAGAGAAAGGATCTGCGGCTCCGGAACACCCGTTTGCTCCTTGTGTTCTGATTCATATGTACCACTGGGGGAAAGGGTCACATAAAGATCTTACTTGTAGTTCTCACTGCATTATCGCGATCAGCTGGACCAGCTAATACCTGGTATACGAGAAGGCGGTGATGGCAGCATTCTTGTGGTAAAATTGGGTCCATGATGTACAAGTAGAACATGGACCTACGTCAGCTATATAGTATGGGGGAAAGAATCTAATACTAATAGTATCTAGATAAGTCGGTGACCACGATCGGCTTTGCGGCTTCAAAGACAGATGCCATCATGCTAAAGTGTATCCGTGGGTACGAGGCGGTATACAAGGCGGTATCATAGATGCGGCATGCCACTATACCATGTTTCCTTTTTCTGAGCTGTATTGCTCTGCTTTCTTCCCTTTACCCATAGTCTGTTCCAACCCATCTTCTCCCCATCCCTTCTGTCATATGTAGTTATATCTTGCATCTCATTGTGTGATGGGCTGAAAGGCACAGGGCTTGGGACCTATATGTCTCAGTTCGGAATCACCTGCAGATACAGTGGATAGTTCCTCTAGCAAGCGAAACTAGCCTCTGGAGCTGGCCTGGCATGTCAATTGACGCTGGTGGATCAGAAGCCGTTACACTAGGAGCGCTAAATTCGCTTGAGGATGGGCCTATCCGGGGACCCGTAGGCATGGGTGCCTGTCAGGAAGGAAATGAAGCGGTCATAGAGCTCCAGCAAGGCCAAGAAACATGCCGCTGCAGGGGTCGGATCATATCATGTCGCGGGAGGGAGCGGCATTTGCTTCTCTCACTCGCATATCCAGGAGCACTACTTCCTGGGGCTCGGTTTTTGAGACAAAGTCCTTGAAGCCACCCCTCAGGGCGTGAGAAGGACCCAGCTATACGGTGTGTAAGAGGGGATGGAAGCAAAAGAGAAAGAAAGAGAGACAGAAACAAAGTAATAGGAGTCCTCTTGACACGCTTGCATCTCTACTGCTCCGTCTTTCTTTTCTTGCGTTTGTATAAAGCTCCGTTCTATCAGCAGGGATTACAAGGAGCCGTGTAAATGATATGATGCTACGCTGCAATATATTTCATCCCTAGGGCTGACCTTTCTGCGAGGCGTGTCGTACAGTAGCATAAAAAAGACGCACGAGTCCAATACCGCCCGAGTTCAGGCGCGAAACCCGCGGCTTTTATACAGTACCTGGATAGGTAGGTAGTCACAGGGAAAAGAAGGCGGTTTATTAGTTTGATTACAAGAGGAGAGAACTGTGGAAGCGAGAGTGTCGTATTACACTTGGTAAACGCACGTAGCAAGTAATCATGGCGTAAGAAAAGCTGACTAGTGCATCCTTAACTTGAAAACAAGACAGAAAATGCGACATGTGAAACAGCGGATGAATAACGACATAAAAAGAAAGGAAGAAGAAGAGAAAAAGAAAAGGAACACTGAGGTAACATGAGACAGCAACCCCTGGCCATTGCTTGGTACTCGCACGATGTCCAGGATGACTTGCCGGCCCCCAAGCAGAGCCTGCAATAATACTGCACTACACTAGTATACCGGTATGCCTCGCCCATAGCCGAGCTACAAGGGTCCTGCAAATGCTTTGCAAAGTTTCAATGCCCACGGCAGTGGCCCGTAATTGCTTTTTTAGGAAAATGCACACCAACATCTGCTCCGGTAGGCAAGGATGGTCACTGATACCAGTCATTGGGAGGCCACGACAAAAGCTGGTATAATTGGCAACTCGGAGATTCTCGTACTCTATCAGAGGAGCAAGTAGGTATACCAGTAATATGGGAGGGGACATGCAATCCGGCATACGCAATGTGGCATATTTAGCCCCCAATATGCATACTCGTGTTAGTAGGTCTCGCTGTAAATTAATCTTCTTACCACTTCGCACAACCACTAAGACATGCTAACGCCATGCAATGCAACTCTACTAGCAGCATGGAGTGCAAAAAGCAACGACGACTGACGACTGACCGTCATTCAGTGTGCCTGGTTGTACGAGGTCCAGGTAGAATGCAGTACGGAAAACCCATGCCCCCCTTTTTTCCCACTCGAGTGGACTCATCTTTCAGGCCACGCACCGCCAACGACAGATATGGATGAGCGGTCCGTCCCTTACATGTAGTGATTGTTCACGTATCAACTAACAGGCAGTAAGATTGTCGACACGTGTGACAAGTCCCGAACGGGCCTCTCCCTGCCTCTCGCGCTGGCTGCTCCCCTGGTCGATGCTCAAAAGGCGGGATATTTTTTTTGGATTCCATGAAATGTGACAGCCGACAGCGCGATGCCCGCCTTGCCCACTTGTCGGGACGGCACTTGGTATAAACGGTAGCCGTCCTGCTGTTTGCGCTGGTCGCGAGTTGATGCATCCCGCAGTTTCTAGACGTATACCCCTGCTTGTCTTGTTTCCCAATCCCGAAGAGAGAGACGCAGACAAGTTCCGTTTTGGCTGTAGCTATTTGTACGGCTGCTGCCTCTGTTGCTTCTCTATATACCTCCCTCTGTGTTGAAGTCATCATCAACCATCCACAACCATGAGCATTCCGTATAGGCGCCTCGACCACTCGAAGCGCGAGATTCGCCTGCTGGAGATCAACTCTACCCGCAATCTCAACGATCCGGTCGAGTGCAAGCTCATCACAACTCGCCTGACGGATGATCTCGAATTCATAGCCCTGTCCTCGTTGTATGGCGATGCTGCCCAGACGGAGCGTATCTGGGTATCTGGCCAGCCCGTCAACATCACAGCCCACCTCGCCGGGGCGCTCAAGAACATCCGAGCCGTCTTCTACCCGACCATTTCACGACGTTTCCAGCGCACTCCTGCTCGGCGTCCCCACGGCGCTCCTCGATGGCTGAGACAGCTCTTCGGCATCAGCAATGGACCGGCTCTCGAGTCTCGCTCACTCCGCGTCTGGGTTGACCTGATATGCGTCGACCAACACGATGAGATGGAGCGTCAGCGCCAGACAATCGAAATGCGCCAAGTCTACAAGTCAGCCGAGCTGGTGATTGGTTGGGTTGGCGAGAAGTCCGAGGCCACGGATGCAACGCTCGAGGTGTTTGCTGAGATTGAGGACAAGATGCCCGCTCGCTTTGGAGATCCTGGTGATCGTGAAGAGCACCCCGAAGACTATGCTCCCGAACATCGCTGGGCCAAGAATATCCTGCACATCTGGCTGCCCAGCATTCCTGGCGTGGCCCCGTGCGACATGCCCTATTGGCAGGGATATCTCGACTTCCTCGGCCGCCAGTACTTCCAGCGTCGCTGGATTTTGGAAGAGCTCTCGCTGGCCCGCTTTCCCTGCTTTCTCATTGGAGACAGCATCATTCCCTGGAAACAGATCCTTCGCCTGATTCGAATGATGGAGGAGTTCAAACACGAAGAATCTGATGTTTACCCAGTGGTATGTCTTTCACAATCCCATTTCTTTTTTCGGAGCACTCAAATAGCTAATTAAAAACCCTCACAGTATCTCAAAGATTCAATCGCCGAATTGCCCCTCGAGACAGTTCACAAATTCTTGGACGAGTTTGCACGAAGGGAGGCCCTGGAAGAGGCCAAGATTCTTTTGGAGGCGGGCAAAAGCAGGGCCACCTCATCGACACGATCTAACGAATAACTTTGACCGCAAGGAATATTTAAAAATCGATAATTACCGGAACAAAAAAAAAAAAATGAAAATTCAATTGCGGGAGGGGGAATTAGCGGCGGCGTCAGCGGTTTCATTCACAAGATTGGCATTTCGCGGGTTTTGGTTGTGAAAGGCATGGCAGGGACACCAAAGGTTGACTTCAGGCGCGACGAGGATACCCCATAGAAATTTGGTTTACATGACAAATAGTTTTCTTTCTTTTTCAATTTTTTCTCTTGTGTATCCTTCTTCTTTCTCTTCTTTTTTTTTTCTTGCCTCTTTTGTTGTTAATAGTTGTCCACGCAATTAGTCGCGTGCTTCTTTTTTTCCTTTACATCACAACTCAATACAGACGAGTTAAAAGCAACAAACAATAATATAGATCAATGACATCTTCTCATTTGTTTTCATCAAACATGGCAAAAGGTACACAATATGTGCCCTGTTTGGCGGCGTTGTCTTATTTCCTCGTATTCTATTCCGCGGAGTTACAAGTCTTCTGCCTCTCTGTACTGTCACGAGGTACTGTACTTTCAAGATGGAGCGGTGAGAGAAAAGATCTATACAAGTCTCACCCTATATGCTTCTTACAAGAGCCGCATTCCATCAAAAACTGGGTCATGGGTCTTTCTCTATGAAGCAACTTCCGAACTATCCTTGGCGATTGTCGTAAATAGTGGAGGGATTGGCATCAGAATCCACTGTCCGACTTGAAGAAATACGGTATCACCCAGTATACATAGGAGCAGACTATTTGGAACTAGCCAATAGACAGGGGCCACCGCATATCACGATCTGTGACAAAAGTAACAGACTGCATTCTGGAATCGTAGTAGAACAGCCAATGGCGTTGGTCTTACATGGACCCTCATCCCAGCTCATGGGCAAATAAGAAGCTGACGCAACCGCGTAACAGTTCCGATTTTGTGTCTAGCTCACCGACAGTTTGGGGATTGTACCGGCCAATTCCTGTTAATCTCGTCCTAATCCAGTGATTACCGGCCATGGGTAAAACTGAATGCCGCAGCTCACTTTTCATTCGCTGGCAGGCATTGTGATGCATGCAAGTCGGATATGATTCCCCCGATGCTGGCAGCAAAGAACGCTTCAAGACATTCATGCATTTCCGATGCTGTAACTTTATATCTCGAATAGTAATCCAAAGCCAAGTATATCTGCGCTTTCTCTCGTCAAAGGCAGCTCTTGGTGTAGAGCCTTTGATGTTGAGTGAACCATCTCTTTTGCAACAGGCCGATAAAGTGGCAGCTTTGCTTGGCTTATTGGTCATGTCAATTCCGTAAGCTTAATACTTTATATAAAGACTTTAACTCGTGGCCCACAAAGCCAGTGGTGGTTGATAAAACTCCATCTGGCGAGTAATAGGTGTAAGCCTGCTCGTGAAATCGCCAAAACGGGCTTGGTCAGCTATCTATCATCTACATGTATCTACCACTCTGTTAGGGGATACGGCAAAAGCAGTGTTTTATTACCGGATTAAACGTTATGTGATCTAGTAGCAATGTAGTCTTGCTTTAAAGAATTCGCCGCAGCACCATCATCGAGACGGTATCCATGTAATCGATACTCAGCTATATTGCTTCACCAAATAGAAAATCTTCTATATCGTGATGAAAATCTATGAACATGTAAGCCTCAAAAGCAATATACCGCTTTTGGTCAACCCCTCATATATGCGAAATGATTTGGCAACCCACCACGAGAAAAGCTACGGTATCTTATTCTCAGGCGCAGGATGTAGTTTGCTGACGGTGTATGTGATACTGGCAGGGCGAGCCCAGCCATAGCACCCTGAAAGTAGATGGATATAACACGCAATATCCTAGAGACAAATGAGAAGCACTAAACACCCTGTGAGAAAGAGGTGAAGCCAGGAAACATATAATTTCTCTCTGCTCACGGCATCTATACATTTACAATGTATCACACAATCCAATCCTTGTGAGAGAAAACAGTCTTGCCTCAAAGGTAGACGAAAATGAGACATCATACTCTATAAACGGTATGGCTCGCAAGAATCCTTCATGACATGGGTAAACAGACATCAAGACACGCTACCAAGATAAGCCGTCTAATACGCCTTCAAGAATACGCTTTTTTGAATGCTCCGCCACCTTGTTCGCCGTCAAAGAAATACCATGTCGCATAGATTCCCGTCACGAGAGTAGCAGCTCTCCGCATTCAATATATGACAGCCGCCCTTCCTTTGTGTAGGATTTGACGTCAGTGACATATTATGTCTATATATTGGACGACATATTGTTGAGAACCACGCTCTTGATGCTTCTCACCCCATCCTTAATGTAAAAGTATTTTCCGTTTCACCATGTTCCCTACACTCCCGCCTCATGGAGCAACCTACGAGCAGGCAACTCTCCTGGGAGTCGTGCTCTGCTTGTTAACAGCTCTGCTACGCTACCTCCCAACCCGATCTGTCAAATACTTGCCCGGGCCCAAACCACTACCGCTACTAGGCAACATCATTTACTTCTCCAGAGTATTGAAGAATCTTCCAGTAGAAGTCCCCTTGATGGCAAAACGATTCGGCGGCACATGCATGATGTGGATGGGCTCAAAGCCAAGTGTAATGATACACAGCCTGGAAGATGCTCATGAGCTACTAACAAAGGTCAGCATATAAATAGCAAATAAAAAAAAAAACACTTTGCCTTCTAATATTTGAAATTAGCGAGGAGCTGTAACAGCCAGCAGGCCGAGAAAAAACATCTTCATGCAACACATCTGGCCCAACATCCTCCCATTCGCGCCGGCCGGCGAAGAAATGCGGTTCTTCCGGCGAATCTATACCGACATTCTGGGTCCCAAACAGTCGCAGCAGGTCAGGAAATATCAGGACTACGAGGCTACAGTCTCACTGCTTGCATTTTGCGAAGCCCCAGATGACTACGAGTCCCATACAAGCAATTTCGCAATAAGCGTCATCTTCAGCGCCGTGTATGGAACTAGAGTCAGCCGACGAACTCATCCTCTCATGGTCGAGTTACAGGACATTTGGAGCGGTGTTTTGAGCAGTATGTTTTTGATCTCTCATAGTATTTCCAACTCAATATGAACAAAACACTAACTGTCTTTCAGATGCCCAACCCGGTAGCCTCCTCATCGACTGGCTGCCCTTTCTCGAGAAACTACCACTGCGTTTCCAGCCCTGGCTCAAGCTCGCAGACTCTCTCCACGCGCGGGACTGCGCTGTCCACATGGCCTTTCTCAAACTATTACGAAAGCAAATCGACGCTGGAATTGCGCCAGTGTGCTTTGGCGTCAATGCTATCGCGCACCAAAAGAAAGAGGGCTTCGATGACGACCTGCTACTTGGCATTTGCACTGCCATCATCGTTGCCGGCGGCGAATCAACTGCCTCTATGATGCAGTCCTTTATTAAACTCATGGCGCTGCATCCAGAGGTTCAGCAAAGAGCCCAAGAAGGTATGCGCCCATGACACTTACACGCCCCTCGTAAGATCGTCAAGGCACTCAACAACTTCGTACAGAAATCGACCGAGTCGTTGGACCTTCCCGTCTTCCAACCTGGAAAGACCATCCAAACCTCCCCTACACCAGGGCCATCATAAAAGAACTCGGCAGATTCGCTCCCCTACTCACCTTTTCATTTCCACACTACTCAACAGAAGAGTTTGTATACCAGGGATACACCATTCCGAACAACACCCTGCTGCTGCCTTGCGCCGATAACCTCAACCGTGACCGCACACGATATGACGATGCTGATACTTTCAGACCGGAACGCTTCCTCGGCGATGACATGGAGTCCCATATGAGCGCCAGACAGACCGACTATCGCAAGCGTGACCATGTCAACTATGGCTTTGGCCGTCGTATGTGTCCAGGCATGTCCCACTCCTTCTGTTCTTCTTTCGAGCTGTTCTAGTTAACCCCTTGTAAAAGGCATACAAGTCGCGGAAAACTCGCTCTTTATCCAAATCACTCGCTTTCTATGGGCATTTGACACTACCCCTAGGCCGGGAGAGCCTCCGTTGGATATGCTTGATACGCACGGTAAGTGGCACGCTATAGTAGATTGCATCAACTATATCTAATCGTATTATTCTCGCCTTCAGAGCGGTTGACCAGGAGGCCAAAGCCGTTCAAGGTAAATATCACGCCGCGGTCTGATGCCGTACTGGAGGTTATACAGCAGGCAGCGAAGGAATTGCACACGGACATTCCAGACATTGATTCCATCGACATGGACGGTTGGAAAGCTACGTTGCAATGACCAGAACACGCAATTGCACGGTTTAGCAATAAATGAATAGAAGAGCGAATAGGACTTCTAAGTCTTTTGAATATACACATGAAGCCTTGTCTTCCCAGTATTCCCAAATCCCATAACCAAGATACAAATACCGTTATTTCCGAACCTTGAAAATCCACAATCAATATCAAAACAAATCTGTTATTACCCAAATAATTGTTGTAACGCAAGCCAAACCAGGGGGTATTCTTCTTCCCTTCTGTTGTATGTAAAAAAAAAAAAAAAAAAAAAAGTACGTCGCTTCGATGATGACATATTCATTCTTGTTTAGTTGCTGCTCGGATTCTCATCCGCAAAGCCCTCTTCAGTCTCTTCGCCGTCGCCAACTTCAACAATCTTCCATCTCTTTGCCGGGCCCTGCATATCGGCCCATAAATCGGTAGGCAGGAATTCTCCCACCTCTTGTCGAAACGTCTCTCGTTCTGCACGGTCCGTCTCGAGCATCTTGTCAACGCTCTCCTGGGCCTTGCGCAAGATGTTCTGAACCTTGTCCTCGACGGTTCGGCGACGAGCAACCTCCAGGAGCAGCCCGTGATAAGCGCTGGCATATCCTTCGTAAAACTCCCTCATCTGTTTCATCTCGTCGAGTTTCGTAAAAACAATCTCCTTTTCCATCTCCCACCGGCTCTTGAAGTCCTCTTCGGCAGCCAGATAGTCGGCCAGGCGATCTCCGATTTCTCCCAGTGTAGCATACGCATCAAGCATGCCCAAGTGCGCCTTCTTGGTCTGATCCGTTTGGTCTCCCAGAGAGGCATTTTTCTGCTCGACTTGGGTGAGATGATCTTGAATATCCTGCACAACACCATCCACGAGTCTCGCATCTTGGATGACGACTCGCAGCATTTCTGCCCGATCTTCTGCCGTCTGCGGTTCGAGGTCGGATCTGTTGGATTCCTGCTCGGCAATGACACCCGATATTGACACGCTCTCGCCGCCTTGAGACTGGGTCACCTCAGCAGCCTTCCTGCGGGCCAGGGCCGCCGCCCCTTCAGTGGTCCGAATCGCCGTGACACACATGTCAAAGTGCTGCGTCAACGAGGCCAGACACTCGGCCATGTTTGCCGAATGCTCAAACAGTTCCACCAGCAGCGCCGTTACCGTATCTTGCGATGCGGGCGTAGGCGCAGTATCAATAATCTTCTTGATGTCTCGAATATCGGTTTCGAGTCGGAGCAGATCGCCGTCAAACGAGAGCTGGATCCCCTATAGCACCAGTTAGCCCAGGAAATCAAGTATACAGCAACAAAGACTTGCCTGCAGCTCCTTTATGCACTGCTTCATCGCGTCTCGCATCCCATGCACGCTCCCCTCGTCCACAAAATCCAACAGACTCTTCCTCGCCTCGCCCTTGGGCCGCAGCGCCGTGCCCACCGCCGTTGTCCGCAGCATATTCATCGTGCCCTCCAGCTCGCCGTCCACCTGGTCCATCTTCTTCACCAGCTGCACAAAGTCCCTCTTCCCCCACTCGCACGTTGCCTGCAGGCTCTTGCCCACACGCCCCAGAATCACCACCTGGTCGGCAATGGCGTTGCGCAGAAAGCCCGTCTGGGCGGCCAGCATGACCGTGTCCTCGTGGGACTGCCGCGCCGCCCGGACGATCTCGTCGGCGCGCAGGACGAGCGTCATGGACGACAGCGACCGCTTGGAAACCAGCAAGTGGTTGACGAGCGTGTCGACGGAGATGGCCAGGCGGTCGTTGGACGGCCTCAGCGACCCGGCAGACGACGAGTCGGGGCTGCGCCGGGTGGACGCTGCTGGCGACGCCATGTTGAGATGGCCGCTGCACGCGATGAAGTTGGTGTTGCGTGTCTCGTGTATCGCAGAATCAAGCCTGTCTGTCAATGAGCGCAGGCCCGGGCTACATGATGCGCCGGAAGAGATGAGTCGCAGTCGAGATGTCGAGGAACGAAACGATGCCTGGAGCAGGTAGCCGATAAGTTGCGCTCTGATAAGCCGGCTGGCGTCATACGGCTCCAGCTCGGCTCCAGCGCTGCTCCAGTTAGCGCAGTACCTGCAGCTAGCGCAGCTGGGGCATCCGTTAGGGGGCTTGGAGGTCACCAAAACCAAGCCGAGGCTGCTGCTCACAGCGCGTCCACGCAGTATCCGGTACCTGCGCCATCTCGCTGCAGGGAGGACGCCTGAACCGTTGGAGGTCCAGCGCTAGAATGCATCCCCTCATTGGAACTCAATACATCCCCATAACACAGGAATGCATCCAGGTCCTATAAACTCTAACTTTGACGCCAAAAGAGCCTTTTTTTTCTTCTTCCAAATTCTGTTTCATGGAACTGTTGAGTAAAGGATATCCATATCAAGTTTTGCCATCTGCATCATATTCAAGCTGCACTTTCAGCCAAACTCAATACGTGCAACTCCAAAAACAGTTTTGGTGATATCAGTAAAAGCAAGACATCATCACGGTTCTTCCATCTGATATAACAAATTATCATCCAAAACAGAAAAGAGTAATGCATCAAACCAAACTGAGTAGTGTATTAATCATAATTGAGCGGTGTACTCCATAGCCATGGACCTCTCTCAACCAACCAACATCAAAGCACTCTATCGCATCAAAAAATCGCCCACAATAGTCTACCATCTACAAATCATTATTTCTAACCAAAAAAAAAAATCATCGCCGCTCAAAAACGCAACAAAAACAAAAATCACTCCAAATCCGTACAAAGGCCAGCTTCACCCGCCCCATTCTCCTCCAGCCGCACACCACCGGCATTGTCCTGCGCATTATCCAGATCCGCCTGGCCCTTCTCGCCCATGCCGTCGAGCGATCCGCCCTCCATGACGGTCAAGAGCTCCAGCTGCTCGTCCTTGGAATAGACGCGGATGCCCACAATGCAGACGGCATTCCACGGCGTGGGCATCTTCTCCTCCTCGGTGTCGTAGTCATCCCGCAGAGGAGGCGCGGGATAGGGGAACTGGCGAGGCCGGCGGGTGAAGTCGTCGTCGCTATACAGCTCTTCCCAGTCCTCGACGGGAGAGTCGGACGAGTCGCCGTCAGACTCTTCGACCACGGCCGGAGGATCGGGCTTCTCCTCCGCAGCAGCAGGCTTGGGCTCTTCTGCTGCTGCGTCCTTGTCTTCATCAGCAGCGGGGGGCACATCTTGCTTTTCGTCCGAGGGAAAGATGCTGGACTTCTCCGACTTGGGAGTATCAGTAGGCGAGCCGCTGGCGTTGGAGTCCGAGTCGTCATTGAGCGCCAGCTTGCTGACATCAATGTTGACAATGTCCGCGTCGAGAGGCGTCGAGATGCCCGAGACATTCTCAGACTTGCTCTCCACCTTGGCAGCTGCTTCAATGGCCTTCTTCCTCAGCTCCTCCCTGTGCTCCTTCTTCCGCTCCTTCTTCTCGCCATTCTTCTTCTTCTGCTTCTTGGTCACGTCGCGGCTGATGTGCCGTCTCTCCCACTGCCGTCGGCGCTCCTTCTGGCGGTGCAAAGTGGCCTTTTCCTGGTCTCGCTTGTTGCGAATCTCAGTCACCTTTTCCATGTGCTCCCAGGCCTTGCTGTGGGCCAGGTCATACGCGTAGCCCACTTGCGCGAGCTTCTCGTTTTCAACCCGCTTTTGGCTCTCTCTCTTGACAACCTCTTCGACCGACGGCAGTTCCTGGTTGCGCTGGCCAGTCACCTTGAGGTATACAGTATAGTTGCCAGAAGGAAGATCGGGGAGCTCCACAGACACCGATCGCTTCATAAAGTAGTTGCCGTGAGAGCGCACAATGTAATCTTCCGCGTCGGGTTGATCTTCATTGTGAAGGCGGAAGTGAAGGCGGAAGCTGTACTGCCCTTGGAGGCCCTTGAAGTATCTTCCGTCTAATTGCGACAAGACGAGAATGAGAGGAGAGTCCTTTGTCAGCTTGATGCGGAACTTTTCGTGATATTCCGCCTTCCACGGGACATCGACTCCGATCCATCGCTGACAGCAGCGCCAGTCGTCGTCCTCCCTGAACAGACGAGTCCGGTCAAAATGAGTATACTTGCGGACCAAGTCCTCAAAGGTAATCCAAAAGACAGAATCGCTGCCAAACTTATGGCCCAGCTCCTCTTGGGCCTCGGCAGTCCATTCCTTGGAGCCGTCGCTCCACGCTCCCTCCCAAAGGCCCTTGCGGATCTCGCCCCAGGGATTGCGGAGCTTGACCAGTCGCTGGCCTGACTTGAGGGTGCGAGCATCGGTGACAACGTAGGCATGAGCCTCGCTGATGCCATCGCGGTGGCCATAGCCATAATCCAGGATGCCAGCAGAGCAGCCAAACATGAATTCCTTGTTGACCTTGGACAGCTCGTTGTCCCAAAAGGCGTCAAGATCCAAGATGTCGGATGCAAGCAGCTCAGTGGTGACTCCACCAGAGAGATCCTCTAGACCTTCTCCGATCCAGCCACCAGAAAGGGAGGCATAGTCACCATGGGCTTTGGCGTAGGCCTTCTCAAGGAGTGGCACCCAGGTTTCATTTTGGTCCTTGCACTGGGCAAAGAAGAGAGCCTTTGAGCCCGTCTGGTACGTCTTCCTGTAAGTAGCTTCGGTTTCTTCGTTGCGGTCAATCTGCTGAAGAAGGTCACGCTGCATGCTAGGCGAGTCCCAACCCGGAGACTTGAGATACAGCTTGTCATCGACAATCGAGTAGACCCATTCTCCATCCCGGTAGAAGAGAAATCCGTAAATGCCGATTTCTACACACCATTAGCATTACAATTGTATACTCGAGAAATTGTAGCGCGTTGACTCACTCGTATCGTATGCCACACAGCACCGGGGAACACCTTTATCGGCGCTTGCCAATGCAGTGAAGCTGGACATGAGCCAGCAGTCTCCAAGGCCCCCCTGCTTGACATCGCTTCCGCTGACATCCTTCAAAAACGTGGGCTTCTCGAAAATCTCGTGCACTCTCTTGACAGCCTTGGGAACGACCGCTTTGGAGCCCAGCAAGGTAGTCCTGTTGATTTCAAACTTGTCGCTGCCGATATAGTTGAGGGTGTTGCCCTTTTCGTATCTCAGATCCCAGTCCTGGTGGGAAACCCGGTTAGCTACAATCTACTACCCAGCAGCGAGAATCCGCCTCGGTTCAACTTACCAAATCCCAGCCTGGGTCACGATATCTCATATTGACCCGCTTACACTCCTTGACAATCTTCTCGACCTTTCGTCGACACTCTTCTGCAGCGCGCTCATATCCTTCGGAGAGCAGCTCATTAGGTCGGTCCAATCCCGATCGAGGCGCGACAGGGTCGAACGGAAGGACTGAGAGCGCCGTGTAAAACTTTCGGTTTGAAAACTTCTTCCAGATCCTGTTGATGGACTGCTGGGGAGGGAGTCTCTTCTTTCTCTTCTTCTTGTTGTCTTGGTTGTTGCCTGACGAGGATGGCTGCGAGCGCGGACGGCGAGGATCGTCCGACTCGTCAGAGGAACTGTAGCCGTGCATGGCGAAAAAAGGACTAAAAGGTCTATATTCTATTTCTAAAAAGGAATCAAATTGCAAGTGACTTGTTCTAAAGAGTGACAGATCAACTGCCAAAAGAAAGACGACACACGCAACGATATGAAAAGGAAGGGCTGGAGACGAAATGACAAGCAAAGGCCGGTGATCGGGGGGAGAGAACGAATAAATACTGATTAAGCTTTACTATCTATACACCATTTAAACTTTTCCTTCTTCTTTCGTACAGTCTTGACTTTCCAGCGAGGCGCACTGGCGTGGCTTCGCGACTCACCGACTGGGACCCTCCGTCTAAGAGGCCTCTAGTAACCCATGCCTAGACCCAGCCCTTTGCATCCGCCGGATTAGAGATCTGTGCCTGTGGGGGGCGCTATCGCTCGGGGCTGGGATGGGAGCTGCCGTGTTGGATACTGTATGGAGAATCCGAATTACCAACGAAGAAGCCACTCGAGCATCTACCGTGTGTCGGACCAGGCTGAATAAACGCTTCTGGGAAAAAAAGCGTGTCACCAAAGGATTTCCCGGACAAACTACTACTTACACTATCGTGTCTGTTTTTGGGCTTCGATATGAGGTCCGTCCGAATCCTTCCGGAGTAGCACTGCTTCGAGAATGGTGAGGAATATCAGCAGCCCAGGCAACGTGACGGTACTGTGTTTCGTTTGATTTTCCAACCAGTGGCGTGTACTGTATGTAATCACGTCTTTTTTGCCTGAAAATAAAGCCTTCTTTTGGCTGATAAATACACGGGCTGATGGGCACGCGAACGGACTCTGACTTGAAGCGTCTTCCACTAACACACACGTCCTTCTCCACAACGAATCGTGTTGAATTCTGGGGTCCAAAGGGTCTTGATGCCCCTGACCGCCAGGTCCCACAGCCGCCAAGTGTCTAGCGGGATGGAATGGATGGCTGAAGGGAGACATTTTTTTCAGGGTCCAAACACCACCATTACGGCCACCCGGTTGTGTCACTCACTGGTACTAACACCCTGATTAGGCCTGTGGTTGAATCAGCATGCATCAAGTCGCCAATCTCATGGCAGCAGCGTGCTGTGCTGTCAAAAGCACGGTAATCGTGAAAGACTCACTGGTCCATCGCTCTCCCATCGCATTCTGTTGCTGACCACCAAAAGCTCGACCAGCACGGTGCATAAGTGCAGTCCTGCTCCCTGCATAGACAACCAAGGGCTCGTTTTGCTGCCATGACATGGATAATGCGCAGGCAGTCGCGCACGCTTAGTGGTAACCGAAGCTCGCAATGAGACCAATGTTGCCACCTTCCGACGCCGGTGAGGACTAGACATGTCGCTTAGACAGTACGAAAACCAAGCTGAGCACGGGATGGACATTGAGCAATTCGATCATCAAAGGGTCCTCTGATCCCTTCCTATTCCGCCGTCTTGTCCCCTAATCATGCCGAGACAGTCGTCTATTCGAATCCAACAGTCCAGCCGTTTTCACCGTCAGGATGATCGTCCTTTACCATCAGCAATTAAGCAATCTTGGACGCCGAATCCCCGACAGGAAGGCGGTGCGCCAGCGTCAAAGCATGGCGCTTAATACATGCCGCTCGATACCCGAATTCCGGCTTGGGCAAGTGATTCACAGCACAGGGTGCCCGATAAAGGAGCGGTGGAAGGCATCTCACCACACTGAAACGCCACCAGTTGAACCGCTAAAGCGGCTGGACTGATATCGCCTGGGACGCACGAGAAGGGAGATGCAAATCGCTAATGGCGGCAACCCCGAATACTGAGGCGCAACCATTCGTCAGAGGCTCGACAGCTCAAAGTACCGATATGTAGACGGTACTCCACCATCAAAAGGCGAACCAGAGGCCATGGAGAGCCGAGAAACGTCGCCTCAACCTCTGGGGAACGTCCAGAGGACCCTGACAGACGCCACAGGCCCCGTTCCCCACCATCCAGTGCCGACGAGACAGTGCGCAATAATCGAGCGTGGAGGTCGTAATCCCGCATGTTGGACTGCAGGGCGTCTAGTGTCGAGAGCTGAAGGGAACAGTCACCAGGGCAGCCTCGTCTCGGCCGTTGCATCCATTTAGGTAGGTCATGGGCGTAGGCAGCCAGCTCTCCCCTCAATAGACGAGGGCTGATTACATGTAGGACTCGAAACGACGAGATAGTTGAGGCTGAATTGCTTAAATTAGAAGCAGGAGGATCGAAAAGCACAAAAAGCTGCAGGCAGGCAGAATCGTGACTAACTTTGGCGGGCCTTGAGGAGGCAGCTACCGGGCGCTGTTTCCGGCAGCCACGGACACCAGACGCTTCCAGAATCCCTGCTATGGCGATAAGCGCGGACGTTATCGGCTGCCTCAGTAGACGAGTGAATAGTCTATGAGTCTATTGTTTGCAGTAGTATCTTCTGCGGCTCAATTGCCAAAGTGAGTGATATTTGTCATCGACCGCATAAAGCAGCCTGCGGATATAGTTGACAACCTCTTCTCGAGGTCAACTGATAGTGGCACTGACTTGTTAGCTCAATATACAACGAAGAACAGTGAAAACGTAAAGATGTATCTGAGGTTATCCAAGTTGACTTAAAAAAAAAAGAAGCAAGGCAATTTCTTGTATATGAAGATTCCATCTTCAAGAAGAAGTGATCAAATATGTTGCGTTTGATATAAACTACGCCACATACGCGTATAAGTCGCATAGTCCACGTCTTGACAGAACCAGAACTTGGTGAATAATTCTCTCAATGTAAAATATTCTGATGAGACTATCAGCGAGTTTTAACACCTCTTGTGCTCCAATCACCATTTATACTTGATGACTACTACCCGCAACAGCTACTTTGCTACTCGCTGCTTTCGAATCTGGATCCTGCTCCAAACTCCTCGATGATGCCCCCTCAGCTTCCACATCGCCACTCGTCTCTACAACCAGCGCCCCCTGAGCCCTCCGCTCCATGCGCCTCCTCCACGGCCCATACAACAAGACAGACCCAATGCCAACAATGACAAACAGGCCGCAGATGCTCCCGCCAATAATGTCAAAGTGATCCCCAATAGCCGACACGCCGTCCCAGAACTTGCCGCTTGGGTTGGCCACATTCTGCGCCAGCGACAGAACCTGGACGATGCCGATGAAAGCTGCGACCACGACGGTAATGCCGGTGAGGACGATGGAGTAGTACAGAATCGCGACTGTGTCTCGCGAAAAGGCCTTTGATGTATATAGCGCCATCATCAGAGCGCCATCGGTGCTATCAACAAGGCACATGCCAGCTGCAAAGAAATATTAGCTCAGGTTAAAATGCTTTCCTTTTTTTTTTTTTCAGAATTGAATACACAAAAACAAGGCAACTTACAGGTAAATAGAATCGGGAAAATGAGAATCAGCCAGATGCTCGTCCCTTGCACGGCTTGTATACTCGCAATCCCCAAAACGGCAATCTCAGAGCTCGTATCAAAGCCCAGGCCAAAGACAACTCCAAGCGGATACATTTTCCACGGCCGGTCAATCGACTTGAAAAGGAACTTGAGAGAGCGTATCAGAAATCCACCACCTTCAAGATGAAACTGATCGTTGGTTTGCATTGCAGTAGCATCACCGTCCTCGTTGTACAAATCATCGCCATCGCCCTCAATCACAATGCGCCTCCGCTCTGCGAGAACCTCCTTCAATCTCTTCACGAGCTTATAGAGCACCCATCCGTTGCCCAAACACAAAATAATAAGCACAGCTGCACTGACGCTCGTACCAATAATGTTTCCTATCCTCTGGAAGCCGTCAAAGCGCTTCCTCAAAGCGCCACTCGTCGCGGCCACGACAACGCACGTAATGATGACAATGGTGCTGTGTCCGAGCGAGAAAAACGTCCCTACAGTGGCCGGTCGCTGTCCCGATGCGATGAGCCGCCTCGTCATGAGGTCAATGGCAGAGATGTGGTCTGCATCGAGGGCATGGCGAAGACCCAGGGCGTATGAGAGCGCAGCAGGAGAGATGAGCGCCGTATGGAAGCGCAGGACAATGGCGATGACGACCCAGACAATGATATTCACAGTGATGAGGATGGCGATGATTCGAATGCTGTTGGAGGGGATTGTATGAAGGAATTTCGGCTTTGGAGGGAGTCTGATGGACGGGAAGTGGTGAGGCATGATGGCGATGATGTCAAGACAGAACATCGCAGAGGTTACATGTATACCTGGCCTTGGCGACCTATCTCAGGAAGAACAATGGCCATATGAAGTATTCATTTCTTCAGCTGCTTCATCCCTTGCATACGACCCCTCTCTTTCTCCATCTAGGGTTATTAACAACGGCAAAATGCTGCACAGGTGTGACAGCATTTTTCATCGCAGGTGTTGGACGTAGATATCAGCGTAGCAACACCAACCTTAATCTCCTAGACCAGCGGCTTGAGCCCCGCCATTGGCTGATAAGGGCGATTGCGGGGAGCTTGAGAGATAGGCGTTTTTTGTTGTAATGCTCCAGATAGCGCTTACACATGGTATGTACAGATAGCAGTGCAGCGGCAGATGGGATCGACCTATTTGCGTCCAAGTCATTGAAGGGCAGCATAGCATGGCCTTGGTTTGTGTATGTGGCCATGAATGTCGTTTGTTGGACATGTCTGCGGCTGAATGAGAGTGGGATGCGGGGAATGAATTGCTAGCTTACATGTAATCAATAGTGGTGTCTTACACGCGTATAACATACATACACACAAGCAACTTCAAGATCATATCGTCTACAACAAAGCTTGCAACTTCATCACATCAACCACAATCCCATCACACCTCCAGCCCAGCAACCCCAACCCTCCGCGCCTCCTCATTCAACGCCTCAATCTCGGCCCTCACCAGCGGGATCCCCGTCCTCTCCCTCTCCCTCTGCGTCAACTGCTCAATCTCCCCCGGAAAGTATATCCTCTCCACGCCCGCCGCCTTCTGCGACCCAACCACCCGCTCGTACAGATACTGCATGCGCTCCCGGAACTCGGCGAGATCCATGAACAGGTCCGGCTTGATGGCAACTAGGAAATGGCCCACGTCGGCCGGCTTCGACGGGTCGTACGGATTCGTCACATGCCCTGCAAACGCAGAGCCGGAGAGCACCCCCGAGAAGACGTCCATCATGATGGCCAGCGCCGAGCCCTTTGGTCCTCCCATCGGCAGCATCACGCCGCCCAGCGCCGCCTCGGGGTCGTCCGTCGGCCGTCCGTCGGCATCCAGCGCCCAGTCCAGCGGAATCTTCTCGCCTCTTCGCTTTGCCTTGTAAATCTTGCCCCGGGCCGCCACCGACGGCGCCATGTCCAGGATGAAGTCGTGCATGTCTCCCTCTCCTTTACCCGGGGCGCCGCACGCAATCGGCGACACGCCCATGAGCTTCTCGCGGCCCCCCCACGCCGGCAGCGCAGGGCTCGAGTTTGTAAAGACGAGGCTCATCATGTCCGCGTCCAGCGCCTGCTGCACGACCCACGCGCTCATGCCAAAGTGGTTCGAGTGCTTGACGCTGGCGAGCCCAATGCCGTAGACCTTTGCCGCCTCAATGGCCGCCGCCATGCCCATGTGAGCGGCCACGAAGCCAAAGCCGTTGCGCCCATCGACCTGCGCAACCACAGGCGTCACCTGCTTCAGCTCGGGCTGTGCTCCAGCATCCAAAACGCCCTGGCGGATGCGCTCCATGTACGACGGGATGCGGTTCATGCCGTGCGTGTCGACGCCTCGCAGATCCGCTGCCACGAGACACCGCGCTACAGTGGCCGCATTGTCTGGGGACACGCCGTTGCCTTTGAGGATGTCCTGGACGAGGCGCCGGGCCTCTTTCGCGGCGACGGGGATTTTGGCCTCTTGTGCTTCGGCCATGGCTGATGATGTGAATTGACTTGTAAGAGAGAGGTGATGGATCGGAACTTTAACATGGGCTCAGAAATCATCAAACTCGTGAGAGTAAGAGTCATGGAGTATTAATACCAGTAAGCCATTTACATCTTTACTGGCCCCGTCTCTTATTCCACTGCGGGCAATCGTGTTAGCGATCGCGGGGCTCCCATTCGGCGCTCCGACAGCGGTCTCCGGCCGGGCTGCGGAGGTGCATGGCGGTGCAGTCAACCGTTGGGATTCACTAAACTCGACATGCAAGATATAATTGGCGATTGGGTTGTTAAATTTGTAACAAGAGGGACGATTTCTACGAATGAAGCTGCACAGCCAATGCCTCGGCAAATTTGAATGCGGTGTCGAGTCACTGATATGGATTCACCCCGCAGTGTAAAGGCACGTCGGCTTGTCTGCGTATCCGTATCCGATTTGGTAAAGCAGGGCAGTTGGACAGCAAAACAGCTATTTCGGTTGACAAGGAAAAAGGAACTGAATAATTATGGTAAAGATCTGTTAGAGAGAGCAGGTAACAAGCAAAAAATAAATTGAACCATTGCTGGACCAATGCGTCATCCGGAACTCGAATCCGGGCCTCAACTTGACCTGTGAATGGAAGAGTTGAATCCTAACCCCTAGACCAATGACGCTTATTTGTTGAGACTTGCCCACTTTTGTTAATCTATATAGCTATGCGCTTTGGTCTTCCATCTACAAGCTACCCTAGCTCTCAACTTCAATGAGATAAACTCCTTTGCAGTGAATCAAAACTCGAGTTAATACTGAATTGCAGCTTTTTTATTATTTTATACTCTTCAATTAATTTGTGATATAACGGACTACTAATGTTAATCATGGTGGAAAGAGTGTTGGCATATAGTCTCAAGTAAAGCGTGTAAACACTACGGGCTATACAACTGTACCTATCGAGACTACTTGTTATTTCTAGAAGATTAACAAAAATTCAACATCTTCTCTATTCGATTCATGCACACCTAATGCTATCTCGTCTTTACCTCTTCTCAAAACCACAATCTCTTCACCAAACCCCCATCCTCTCAACGCCAAGCTCATCCCTAACCTCAACATCACAACACCATAACAACCATCACCTATAATACTCCTCGGGCTCCAACCTCTCCCCCCCACACCCCTCCCCCCTCACCGGATTACACCTCGCCCCCTCCCCCTCCATCCTCACCGCATAATCGCACCCCCATCGCGCACTCATCCCAAACGCCGGGAAATCCGTCGACACAACATGCGCCCCCGACCGCAGCGCCCTGTCCCGCCGCGAAGTCGAGCAGTTGTGCCCGAGCACCGTGTCGAGCGGCTCGTCGGCGCGGGTGCGCACCCAGTAGTTTGCGCGGACTTGGGCTTGGATGAAGTCGACGTTTGCGTCGGTGGATGGGTCGTTGTGCTGCACAAGGTGTTAGTAAATAGTTTCCAATGGACAAAGTACATCTTTACCTTTTGAAACGCACAGTCATCCTGTCCCGGCGCACTATTCGTAAACAACACCCTCCCCTCCAAACTCGGCCTCCCCTCGATATACGCATCCCGCACATCATTCACCGGCCCATTGTCCATCAAAAAGAATATCCTCCCCCTCGCACTATCCAGATCCGGCCAGCCATGCTTCAATATCGACTCCTCCAGCGTCAAGCCATCTCTCCTTACATCGTCCGGAACAAGTAGCTGCGACGCCCCAAACACAGAGCGAATCTCCTCGTCGACAATGTCCAACAGCTCCGTGTTCCACGGCACCACTTTCGCGCCGCCCAGTCGCTCTCCCAGCTTCTCTGCCGTCTTAAACTCCATCATGATGGGCAGCGGCACGCTGTCCGGATGAGCGTCCATCCATCCCTTGATGACCCGCAGACAGGAAACCAGCGTCGAGCAACTGGTGTGATAGTCCACGTCTGGGATATGCAGCACTTTTGTGCCCTTTTGCTTCAGCGCCGGGTCGTTGGGGACGCCGAGGCCAGCAAGTCTGCGAATCAGCGGCTGGCTAAACATGCCGCCATCTGGATCTGCCAACACGTCTATTCTGCAGAACCAACTCACAGCGTCATTAGCAATCCATCCCTCTCCAACAGATATTAGCCGCTCAGTTGTAAATACTCACTCTAGATTCCTCACATGCAGATGCTCCAGCTGCACATCCAGCGCAGAATGCGAATACTGCAAATCAACCGCCCCCGACGCAAACGTCGACTGAAGGTCTCGCTCCGCCTTGGGCGCCTCGATGTGGTAGCTGTTGTGCGATCCAATAACCTGTATGTGGTTCATCCTCACGGCCCCTTCTGTCCAAACAAGCCCATTCTTGGCATATTTCCGGTCATGTTGGAGTACAATCTGAGATTCAGACGGAGCCGCAACAGCGCCAAGCGCGACTAGACATCAACAATTAGCCATCGGTTCTCCAGTAGCAAAAATATCCAAGCAGCTCATCCATCACCCCCAATATAAAACTCAAAAAAGAAAAACAGAAGAGAAAGACTTACAAGTCGCAACAAAAAGATATCGTAGTACCATCTCGTAGCCTCTACAGGTACATGCACACACAGTCTCCACACTCCGAATCGGATTCCCCGGCGACTAAACAAATCCAACAATCTCAAAGAAAACAACACCAACAAATCTCATAAATCAATCACCAAAAGACTTTTGAAGTTGAATGAAATAAACCAAGATTAGAACCTCCACACTGGAAAAAACCAAGTCAAGGGGAGGGGGCGGGTGACAAGTCAGACACAAAACGCCACCAACTCAGACAGCGATGACATCCGAATCGCTAAACCGATGGAGCCTCGCTTTTTCGGCTCTCCTACTGGCTCAGTTGCGCCCGACGCTCAGGTCCTTTGTAACTAGAGCCACCTGGTAGTCATGATCGTCGATTCATACTTTTTTCCCCTCTCCTTTCCGCCAATTCTCTCACAGACACCAGCCACGTTTCAGCGCTGTATCTTATCCTAGGAATTTACTAGGTTGCAGACCTGGGCACTGTGTCTCAGACCCAGCCACCGCTTTTTATTTTTATGCCTCTTGTGTAGCACAATCGAGGCTGGGAGCGGGCTCATCTGAAGCTTGCTGGAGAGATATGTTCTATAATTGGCAGCGTTGACCCAGCTATGCACTTGTGAAAATGGTTTAACAATCTCCCATCGTTATGAAATAAAAGAAGTAGTAGACGCATTCATAGCGTAAATGGCTAATGACTTGATCTAAACTATTTTATTTATTTTCGGGCCCAAGTTAGCCTATTAGAGGCGCGACTAGTTTCCATCGCTGGTCAAGGGAGACAAAGATTACAAAAGAAACATCCGTGGTATACGTTGCAAATCATACATGGCACATCACCATTCAGCCAGCTTGCTGCTCATCCGCCTTGCTCGGCCACTACGCCGAACTCTTGACCCGTCGTCTTTGTGACCCCTGCCGCCCGCTTTATTAGGTTCTCTCTGAGAGGTCCTGCCTCTATCAGCGCTCAGCTCTTCCGTGCCATCTCTGCCCTCTCCCAAAAGCTTTCGGCCTCTGGCTCTCCGTTCGTCGTTGGAATTGAGGAAGCGGTGTACCATGCGGTGGTCTAGAATCCGCTCTTCTTTATCGGATGGCCCCGTCTTGTCCGTCTTGGGCCAGGCATAGCCGTAAATCTTCGAGTGTCGCTCGCATCTTGGACAAGCTGATCGTGTAAAGTAGGCATTCTGCTGGACAAAGTAGTCACTGCAGTTGGAGCACTGGATCCAGGCCATGTCGGGCTCTGAAAGGAGCAGTGGCGTAAGGACATAATCTCCTGGAGTTCGCGCTCGAGACGGAGGCGGCATTGATTGCTTGAGGATTGTCTTTTGACTTTTGCCCCGTCTTGGCTTGTTGTCGACGGCTGCCACCTCGATGGTTGGCACCGCTTCGGTTTTCGCTTCGACTTCGACTTTCGTCTCCACATGAATCTCAGTCGCAGTCTTGACTTCAATCACCGGCTGCACCTCTTCTGGCTGTTCAACCTCTGATTGCGGTTCTTTGGACTGTGTTTCCCTTGGCCGTACTTGTTGCTGTATCTCATCCGGTTCGGAAATGAGTTCGAATTTCGACTCCACCACAGGTCCCCTGGTGGCCTCAATCTTCATGATGAAAGGGTAATACATGTCGATAGATTCGTCGGTGGGTGAGGGGTCGTTGAGAATAGAAGAAATGGACATGGTTTTCAGCTGTGGCGGTCTCGGAATTGTACGAACAGGGGCCGCTGGCTGGATCATATCCGGGGACGCACGGCTACCTGTGCTATGAGGAGGAGAGACAGGCTCTATTGTAGTGTTGCCCGCATCCTGGTAAGCAAGCTTCTCATTCTTTTCATCCACGGATGGTACTGAGCATGTCTGGGACGTCTGGGACGTCTGTGTATCTGGCTCAGGGCTCTCTTTCTCGGGAGACGTAGAGTCAGTCTCAGGGGCGTACGTCTGGCTAGGAGTTATGCTTCGAATGCTTGATGAATCGGCAAGGCTAGAGACCGCACTGGGTATAGAGAGCAGACGCGAGGACGCATCTGAGGGCTCTGACGTGAGCCTGAGCTTCTTGGCCGGCGTGATTGGTGGAGTTGCAATCGCCTCCATGGTGCGTTTTCGACCGCGCGGTGTCGCTTCTGGGGTAGGCGAGGGAATTGCGGATGCCTCCTGGGTGCCTGCTTTTTGCATCTTCGGTTTCGTCTTGTAGATGCGTGGGCGCATGTCGGGCGTCACAGAAGAGGTCCGTGAAGAGTGGCCGATACTATCGTCTCTTCGTCTCCTGCGCAGAGAGTAGTAGGTTTCCTTCAGCTCATCCCCCTCGACGCTGATTTTTACATTCACCGCCCCGTCCTCTGGTGCCCATCCATTCCTCAGCTCCTGTTCGCATGTTCGGCATAAACATTCGCAATTATTGTCTCCAAAGTAGCAGTCGCTGTAGGTTACAGTAATCTCTTCGCCGACCTCAATGGGCCGGGACGCTACAATCTCGATTGTAGAGTGGCCCGTAGTCATGAGCTTGGCGTTTGCGCGGCAATCATGGTTGGCGAATCGCGCGGGTCCCATGAATAGGCTGGTGCATTTCTTCCTGGAGCTGACGACAATGCTAAAATCCTTCTTGCGAACTGTGATTTCCTTCTCTTCCTCGGGCGTGATGTTGATTTGTATGCCGGAGAGGTACTTGATTGTCTCGTTGCGCTTAATGTATCGCCTGGCGATGACGCACGCTTCATGGGTGACAATGGTGTATCGGTTAGTGGTGCTGACCTCCCAAGGGCAATCAAGCATGTAGATCCGAAGATATCGTCGCAGATGCTGCACAAAGTCGGCCTTTTCCTTATCCGACTTTAGGCCATTGAAAAATCTCTTGAGCCCATCCGACGCCAACAGGCGCTTCTCCGCCGCTTCAAGGTCCTGCTTGACAATGACTTCCTCCTGGATGATCTTGCCAATGTCCTCCTCCCGGATCCCCCGTGACGGATGATAGGACGAGCGGTTCTTGGGAACCGTAGCCCAGTAAAAAGCCTGCGAAAACCAATTAGCTACTGTTCCTGATCGCAACAAGGGATAATGTCGCGAGGGAGACTGACATGGTCAACGAGCGCGTCCGTCAGAATGTCGTCGTAAGCGGCCAGCTGGTTGAGCGTGAGTCGGTGTTTTTTGGCCGTTGCCACAGCAGCCTTGGATGGGGCCATGTGCGAAGATGAGATTATTTGTTGATATAAAGATATATCGTGTAAGGTATATATACAGGCGAAAATCTCCGCAGGGCAGGCGGCAGCCGGAAGAAGTCAGAAGAAAGGAGAGAAAAAGACGGATGTTTGTTGGCGACAAAATGGCGTATTCTGAAGGAGTGGATAGAGAAGAGCTCAAGATTCCCTCATAACTCTAATTTCCACCCCTGCCCGCACTGCGCCGGCTGGCCGTAGAGAACGAAAACGGAGCAAAGTGCTTCGAAAATCTCACAGATTGCACAAGCCGATGCTGAAGTTTTTACTCCAGCGACCAGAATCGAGGTGGTGAGCGCAGGAGAGTGGGTTGCGCTGTTCGAAGAAGCTCCGTCACCTGAAGCGCCTCGACGTCATTACTCTCAGCCGCTGGCCAGCTCGAGGGATCCTGTGTATAAATCAGGAATGGCTAGTAGAAGAACAGAGAAGATGGAAGAAAAAATGAAGCAGAAGACGCAGAGTTTGTGCGCAAATGACGTTGTCGAGAGAAGAAGAAATTGAGGATGAGGGAGAAGAAGGAACGAGGCTGTTGGTACTTTGGAAAAGTCTCATGACACGCGAGAGCCGGCAGAAAGTGAGAAAGAAGTTCGAAAGGGGCGCATGGCAGGAAAGAGCAGCTTCACGGCCGGCCACCCGCTAATCCCAATCCTAGGCCCTCACTAATAAATAACTTGCATAGCAGCCAAGATCCAATCCAAGAGGCCAACAGCCGCGGCCAAAAATAAACCGGGACAGCGCGCAAAAAAAAGCGAAACCCTGCCAAATTGGCTGCCCGGGCGACGGATGGAGAAAAAATGGGCGGTGCTCAAGAGGGCTCCAGTTTTCCCGATTCTGCCATTTCCGTTTCCAGACAGGCTGGAGAGCAGATTCAGCCAGGTCTCAGATTTTGGAGCGAATCATGGTGATACAGCCGAGGATTAGCCAGCTGCAGCAATTCCGCATGCATGTACTCGGTGGCTCGGGTCGATTTGTACGCTAAAAAGCTGCAAGCACGTGACATCGAAAAGTCTCAACTCGACCCAAAGGTGGGCTGGTGATGGCTTCAATACCGCTGAATGAGCCCATGCGAGAGTGAATTTGAGAGCTTCCGCGGTGCTGTCACGATGATTCAATTAAAGGTAAGCAGCTTCGATCCATTGCATCTCTCTTCCATCTCTCTTCAATTACTCGCTGGAGGGCCTATGCTAATCACTCACGGCTTCAATGCAGACGATGCTCAACTGCATCGACAACTCGGGCGCCGCCCTCGTCGAATGCGCCCTCGTCGTCGGCCAGAAGCGCCACGCCAGAATAGGTACATCTACCTCTACTCTCAACTACTCGCCCTCTTTCACTCAGTCTAACACTCACCTCCTCCATCCAGGTGACCGCATCGTCGTCGTCGTCCAGGAACAGCGCGGCTCCTCCTCCTCCGGCATGGCAGGCATCTCCGCCGCTGCAAAGGTCAAGCGCGGCGACATCCGCCACGCCGTCGTCGTCCGCACCAGGTACCCGACCCAGCGCCGCGACGGCACCGTCGTGCGCTTCGACGACAACGCCTGCGTCCTGCTCAACAAGTCGGGCGACCCCGTCGGCACTCGAATCAACGGCGTCGTGGGCGCAGAGCTGAAGAGGAAGAAGTGGAGCAAGATTCTGTCCATGGCCCCGATGCAGGCGTAAGAGAAGGATGGGCGCTGGGGAGATTGTACTGGAAAACGAAGAAACAGGAAAAGGAACAGGATACCAAAAAGGTGGGAGGGTGATGCTGTCGTCTCGATATATGACTTGAGACCATGTACGATTACGAAATACTCTCTGATGGCATTTGCACGGCGTTTACGAGATTAGATGTAAAAAAAAAAAAAAATGAAATATATTCTAAACTAAACACGTTGAGGAAGCTGGTACATAACCAATCCAAAGCTCAACTCTACGTACTGTACGGTAGTACTATATCGGAAAGATGTTGAGATCATCACAGGCAAGGTATCAATTTTCTCGAGAGAAAAACCAATATATTAGATTCCCAAGATGTGACAATGCAACACCAACCTAGCAATAATAGCAAACCGCTTCTATATATGTATATGATCCTCCAAACGCCGCGTCACCTGTATATTCTAGTTCGGCGTTATAAAGCAATCCTAATAAACTCGTGAACATGAAATATTCCACGGCATTTTGTTTTCTTCCCATCCTCGACGCCAACCCTGAGAATACACATAAAATAAACTAGAAAGGAAATAGAACAAGAGACAACGTCTCTAAAACAGGTCCAAGTATTTTTCCCTCTTTGAAAAGACGTCTCGAACGAATCGGGGTATCGCCAATCGTGATCGCATTTAATCGAAAATATGACCGCACTCGCAACAGACGTAAAACAGTTTCTGAGTTGCCGCCAACCAGGTTAACGTTCGGTCCAACGAAAGGGGAGAAGCGGGAAAGGCAACAAGAGAAGCTCCCTTGTCATGGAGGGGTCAAAAGGAAGAGGTGCTCGCTCACCATGCCAGTATCAGCACTACGCTCCTGCGACTGAAAGAAGACAGCTTCTTGATGGCTGCATCTCGGGCAGGCCTTGTTGGATCGTGGGAGCTGTAGTTGCAGGAAGACAGAGAAGCAGAGTCAGCCAGCTGGTATAATCAGATGAAGAATAAAAAACAGAGCAACTGAAATCCACTGCAAGGCCCTGCCCATCCACCGCAGCTCAGCTTGCCATTAGTACAGACGCCCAGGACGACAAAAGCAAGACAAAAAGACGTCGGAGCAATAACAATGAAGATGCGAGCAGATCGTCCTTGTTGTAAAGAATACAAGATGAAGAGGGGAAAGGAGGAAAGTGTTGTCGCTCAAAAGGTGGATGCCCAAAAGTACAAGTGTGTAGAAATCGTAAGGGATAGGGTGCGTTTAAAGGTCGACAGCCATGGCATCATTGTGAAAGTTGTAGTCGTTGTCGTCCGAATGAGCCGCAGCAAAGTCGCTCATGTCGCTGCTGCCGGTGGATTCGACGTCTTCCATCAACTCCTCGTCGTATTCATCAAAGGGGTCGGCGGGCAAGGGCAGGCTGAAGTGGCCATTGCCCAGGTGCTCAAACTCGTCCTCGTAGGCGTGATCGGGGTCTCGGGCAACGCTGAGCTCGGTGCTGGGCTCTCGGCAGGTATCGCAGTAAACAACGACGCCGCAGCCAAGGCAGAGGACAGGCACAAAATCACTAGCAGTAGTACTAACCGTGGGATCAGAACCAACGTCCTGAGTCACACCGGCCGTCTCGCCGGACGAGTTGTTGAGCACGTTGCGGAAGACGCAGGTCGACTGGGCATCTTCGGTGTACTGGCAGGTTCGGCAGGTGAACTGCAGCTTGTGGGCGTCTTCGTCTTCCTTGGGGTACAGCATGTTGGAGCACTCGGAGCAGAAGCGAAAGGTGATTTGCTCGAGCTTCTTGGGGCCGGAGGCCTCGAAGGAGGCGGTGGACTGAGGAGTGGCCATTTGTGCGTGAGTTGCGAAGAAGAGGATGATGAAGTGGAAAAAGTAGAGAAAGGAGAGAAGACAAGATGCGCGTCTTTGGTGGCGAGAAAATGCTGGTCGATGCGCAGCAGCCTTGCCGTTGAAAGGAAGAGATGAGGAAGTGGAATAGGTAAGCCGAGATTGAAGGCTGGTCTAGGCAGATAATTTCCAGCGGCAGTGGGTATCCCTGGTAGCGCGGGTGCTAGGCGCTAGCAGTGACAGTGGACGTGCTGGGAAACTGCCGAAGCTTTGGCGAGTCCGCTGTGCTGCGCTGTGCTGCGCTGTGCTGTGTTGTCTGGTGCTTGGAGGTAGGTGGGTGGTCTGGGTGAATTGGGCGGTAGACAGAGCCCAATGTGAGGAAGTCGGGCTGTGACTCTTTTTTGCCCTCTGGGAATGCAGGCAGTGAGAAAAGTTTGCGTGGTCGCAATATCCAAGGTAGGAAATGGAGGAAAGAAGCAGGACAAGAAGAAGAGCACAAATGCTGAGCGAAGCTGTTGCGTGGTAGCAGATGCTCGGCCCGAGGATAGTTGCGTACTATCTTGAGTCTCTTCGCTGTCTAGGGCTGATTTGGCGAGGAACCAGGCGTGAGAGAGTAGAGTGCTTGAGTGTCGAGTACTTCTTGTCTCGATCTGCTTTGATGTGTCGTTGCAAAGAAGTGCAAGAGAGGTGTGCAGTTGATGGTTCTGGGGGCGGGCAGAATATTAAGACGGACGAACAAGGTTCACATTCGATGGCCTGATGGCTGTACAGCGCTCCAGTGCGCCGTATCAGCGGTACCGCCGCCCTGCGTACTCTGTACCCCATGCAGAGCCGAGTCTGCGTGCCAGCATCGGCCAGAGCGGCGGCATCCAAAGTCCAGTGAGAAGCGCCGTTGTAACGCAGCTTAGGCGCATGTAGCCTGATGGAGGTGCATTTCCGCCGTGACCAGCTGCCACACACACTGCGAGCGCTAGCTGCGTGTACCTTGCAGTGCAGGCAGCCACACAGACACAGCCCAAGTACATACAAGTGGCTGTATCACGATGAGTAAATTTGGAGGCTTATGTACCGTAAAAGCCTATTCATCTGTTGATCAAACCTTGCTTTTGCCTTGTAGAAGAAACACTACTTGGGACTTTTCTTGCAGCAGATACACGCGGCCTCGGCGTCCGTCGGCATGGTGACGGCGATGCGTGCCAAACATACACGAGTGAAGCTCTTTTTTCCTGCACGTGGACGTATAAGAGAAGACTCGGGATAATGATGGACTGCCAGCCCCCACAGGGATGCGAGCTTGGTAAGGACTCCCCGTCTGCACGTACGGTAGTAGCGGGTGTATAGGTATTTTCCTACAGCCAAGATTACCCTCATTATCTCTAAATTAGTCTCGGAGGCAGAGCAGCCATGACTCGCTTCGAGTTTCTGGCCTGGGGGCTGTCACACGCATACATCCTGACTCTAGCCCGACGTGCTGCCACCGACCTCGACACTACGAAAACGAGTTCGACACCGAACCTATAGCTCTAATGTGATTATTGTAACGGTGGTTTCTGAATCTTAGATCTTAGCAGCCAATAACTATTGATTTCGTTCCAGAATCAAGATGGCGAATACGACCTGCCTTACCCGGGATACACGCAATTCGCTCGACTTCCGTTGTTAATCACACCACCGCCGGGAGACTGTTGCAGCATCCGCGCTGCTTCCATGCATTCAAGAAGCGCGCAGCAAGGTCTAGATTTCCACTTGTTTACATGCATCTGCTATATAAGATATCATTATTGTATATACCCTGGGTATAGCGGGGCATTGTATGCAGAGATGATGCTTCGGGTTACAGGCCGTTGCTATTCCGTACATACCGTACATGTAGTATATAATCCTGCCAATGCATCATCTTACACCAGGCTGTGTCTTGGCATCACCGGGCCGGGCTTCTTCGGACACAGCTCGCGTTTCTACGCAAATGTCCATCCATATCTAGATCCGCTACGAGGTACTCCTTCGGTACATGTATCCATCAAGCCGGGTCAAGCCCTACTGGTCTCTCTGGTTACTGGGGCTGGGCTGAGTACCAATCAATAGTTGGCTGCAGCTACATGTAGAGATTGAGCATTCGAAACTGTATAAATGTAGCTGCTTAGACGGGCTTGATGCTGGTCCGTGGTAGGATTGGCCGGACCCCAGTCGCATGTCATCAGTCAGCATTAACGCTGCAGATGTCAGAATCCTAAAGCGCGAGTCTCGGGGTGGCGGCTAGGCCCGTCGGCTGGCCTCAACGTGGTGGCATTGCACCTTTCTGCTTTGTCTATAGCACGGCGGTTACGGCCATGTCTTGGCCCTGCATCGAGTGTTGAGTGCTGTCTTGACCTTGTACAAGAAGTAGTTGACCTACTAGATGGAGGTCCTAGTTGAGTAGGTACATGTATGTGGTATGGAATACGATTAGAAACATACTTCTCGGACATCATCAAGACTGCATAGCGCCTATGGATGACATAAAACCGCCGGGTTGCCCCAATCTGGACACTTGCAGATGCTCGTTGGTGCGGCGACGGCGAGAGATCAGCGGCGAGCTTCAGAAAATGAGCTTCTTCACTGCTTCATCTTTGATCTGGCTCGAGCTGCAACGAGGCATTGATTGACTGAGCAATCCAACTGCGCGCATTCTCTGTCGCCCCTGGTGATCAGCCTCTCCTGCGCAAGCCTCGATCGTCGCTCCCATCGTGACCCCTCCCAGCGCTTTTAGGCCCTCTGAGGCGCATCCCGTGATCATCCTCGCCTTGAGCTGGAATGACTCGCTCGCTTTTCCTCTCACTGAGTGACTTGAGTGACTGGACTGAGCAGAAGCTCCTGGAAGCCTCGCCCCTTTTGCCACCTCAATCCACGGCATATGCTGCCTGCTTAGCTGTGATTGAAGCACACACGTAACGAAGCAAAATCGCCCGTGTTATACAGGCACCTGTAGTACCGGCTTGAGACGTGCTGTCTGCGCCCTGGGCACAGTTTCAGCAAAGTTGTACCGCTAAAACGTCAGTGCCCCTCCCCCTACCGCCTCCAGAGCTCCAGGGCCAATCGCCTGCTAGAACCAGAGCCCCGCGGCCGTGGGTCTCCCCCCCAAACTGGCCTGGCAAGGCTCAATTTCAGAGCCAAGGTTGGGTCCAGTCCGCTGTAGTCAAGCCTGGAGCCTGCCATGGAACGTCATCAGGGCCACACTAGGCCCTTCCCATCCCGCCCTTTCGTTTTCTTGGATTTGGTGATGAATTGCATGTAATCAAGCCTGATCAAATCGAGTCGAGTCGAATCAAAGCCATCCATCCGTCTGCACCAAATCAACACCACCCATTCACCCACTGGGCCAGCTGTATTTGTACCGCACGCTTCCCTCCGTTTCCAGGGCTACTGCTACTACTGCTACTACTTATAACGACTCCAATCCTGTTAGCCTCGTTCCCCCGCAGAAGCGAAAGCGCAAGCTTGCATCATAATATCCATCCTCATTGGCTCCACGCGAGTTGCAAAAGCTCCATCCGTCAAAAGCTGCTGTCTGCTCCCTTAGCAAAACTCCACTTGCAAGAGACTCTCCCACCTTGCCTGCATTGATTGCGACGACAGCATCTGTCAAGAACAAGTAAAGTCGAGCCGAGCTCAAACAAACCCAATCACAATGGTACGCATGTCCAAGCAGAGAAAGGGCGGTGCTCAAGACCACCCGACTCTATTACTCGTCAGCTCTCGACTCAGACAAGCCATATGATATGCTGACCCAAACGCCATTGCCTTGGCACAGTCTGAAACCGGTCTCCCTCCGAACTGGGAGGTTCGACACTCCAACTCCAAGAACCTGCCCTACTACTTCAACTCGGCCGAGCGAACCTCACGATGGGAGCCCCCCGCGGGCACCGACAGCGAGAAGCTCAAGCACTACATGGCTGCCCACCACAGCGCCGGTTCGCGGCCCGGAGCCGTGCCAGGCGTGCCCGAGGGCAAGATTCGAGCTGCCCACCTGCTAGTCAAGCACCGAGACAGTCGACGGCCGAGCAGCTGGCGCGAGGTACGGATATGATGCCCATATGCGAGCCATACAGCAGGGAAGAGGGAAGATGACTTATTCATTGAATATAGGCCGAAATCACACGAACCAAAGAAGAGGCCATGGAAATCATCAAGGCTCACGAGCAGACCATCCGATCTGGCGCCTCCACGCTCGGCGACCTTGCGCCCACCGAGTCCGACTGCTCGTCTGCCCGCAAGCGAGGCGACTTGGGCTATTTCGGCCGCGGTGAGATGCAAAAGGAGTTTGAGGACGTTGCCTTTACGCTCAAGGTCGGAGAGCTGAGCGATGTTGTGTCGACGGCGAGCGGGCTGCACTTGATTGAGAGGTATGTGTGCTACGCTAGAAAAGCTGGTATAATGCGACATTATGCTGACATTATTGGTACTAGGCTGGAGTAAGTTGTTGTTTGAAAGCATTTATTGCACCAACGAAGAATGTAGTATACCAAATAAACAAAAAAAAAAAAAGAAAAAGAGGGGAAGGAGAGTGATGGGAAGTAGGTGGAATGATATGAATGAAACGCATGGATACTCTCGAATATCAATTTCTTAAAACCCGGAAAGAAAAAGAGAAGAAGAAAAAAAGAAGATAAACGCTGAATAGTAAGGACGCAATTTCTGTAGGCGGCGCTGGATAAGTAGCGGAAAGAAATGCACCATCGCTGGTAGAAACTAAATCGTCGTCTTGTCCTTATTTTATACGGAACTTGTCTAAGTGCTATCCTTGCTCTATCGAAAGTTTTCTTGTTGATCAACTTGGAGTAGCGAGGGAAAAGCTGAACGATTTCAATACATCTCTTTTGCCCCATATCCACAATAGACTTGCTTCATTCTCCCGTATCTTTCTAATTTACAATTGTGGTATTTTTGTGTAGAGCTGGTACAAAATATTGGCCGCTCAAGGAGGCGTCATTCGTGACACATGAACGTAGATAAATATGCAATACAATCAAGATTTCCCGCTCTTCTCCCTTGGTATCATCCTCTTGTGTATTTTTTTCTTCATATCCCTTTCCCGCACTTGATTCTTTGGTTTCATGTCGTTTTTCTAAATGGTATCCAGAAACAAATTCCTTTCTCTCTCACAACAGCGAGGTTGCATCGTAATCTAGGTAGTATAAAACCAAAAAAAAAAAAAAAAAGAGGATTGTCGTAATCGTGATTGTTATCGGGTCGCCAAGCCAACAAGTGTGCTTTTAAACGGCTCTACCGTCGTAAACACCACCGTCATCACGCCAAAGACCATCATCGACAGGGCTGCGTATGGCGCGGCGCGGCTTCGTGTTTCGTAGAGGTAGGACACGCCCATTGCGGCGCCGTTGACGCCGATGGCTATGCCTGCGGCGACGGTGACGGGGCTGTCTGTTGTGGAAGTGGTTTGATGCCATGATTTGGGGAACAAGGGTATTGTGTTGTTAGAGTTGACGCTTAGAGAAGCCATGGTGCTGTTAGAGCTCACGCTTAGAGAAGTGAGATGGCTATTCAGGGGTGTTTGTGTGGGTAATGACTCGGCTGTCATCATTGTTTCGTGAGTTGTTGTTGCAACTGTCGTCTTGTCGTCGTCTTCATGTCTGCTCACGCCCAGTTTGTCCAAGATGAACGGATATAGAAGCTGTCCCAGTATGCCATTGCTCACAACGAGCATTGCGTTGACGGGGCTGTTTCCACCAATCGCCTCCGTGGCAGGTTTAGCGAGGGCAAGTGTTGTGCTTCTGGCCGCGAAGCTGAGAGCCTCGGACGCGTTGAGACCTAAAGCTCGACTGGCGAGAACAGAGAGGACGACGTTGCCTGCTGCGGCCGCGGTACACAGTATGATGGAAAAAAGGCCGGCGATGCTAAAGATTTGATGGCGACATTCTGAGAGCTTGAAGCCCCATATGAGAATGCCGCATTCAAGCATCGAGAGCGCGGCGTCGCCAGCGCCGAACCAGCCAGTTGGGTTGTTTGTTATCTGCACGCCATTGACGGCAGATGTCCAGATGGCATAGAGTGGTGAGCCTCCGCTGAATGTTTTCAATGTCCTGGTGAGGCCGCCGGGCTCCAGAACGGAAGCCTTGGCCCTGGTGTATCCTGTCATGAGTAGCGTGGTTATCAAGACGGGATTCATCATTGTTGCCAGCCCCCTCTTCAACGGCGTAGAGTAATTGCATAGCTGGGAGTGTTTGAAAGCGCGCTGAGATCGAACAGAGGATATCCAGACGAACCAGAGGACGAAGCCATCCAGGAGACGCTCCTCATTCGCGGCAACAGCAAGAGGCAAGCCAACAGTGAAGATGAGAAGCAGCGATAGCAGAATCGGGTAGTGTCGTGAAAGAAAGCTCCAAGTAGATGATTCATCATTGTTCGATGGCGCAGTTTGCTCGTTTGGACTTGTTTGCCTCTCCGAATCTGGAATTCCCGGGCACGAGGCCCTGCCTTGTGCTTGTGTAGCTGGTTGGGGTCTAGCATCTTCTTCCAAGTCGGCCGAGCTGATCTCTTCGTCAAATGACGACGACGGCGCAATGCTTTTTTCGGAGCTGATTGAGCCCTTTCTCGAAGATTCCTGTGGTATTAGCTTTGCGATTCCGCTGATGGCCGCCACAGAGAGGAAGAAGACGGTGACCCAGGACACGATGTTGGTCGCAACTAGGAAAGCCAAGAGGTAAGTCAAGCTGTTGGCAGCATCAGAATCCAGTCATGTTTACTTACTGAACGAGCCAATGACACGCCCAATCTCGCCGCCATTGAGCATCTCGTCTTGGTCCAGCATGATCATCGGCACAGAGAATCCCGCGCCTAGGTGGGCATTGATAAAGTCAACCTAAGAAACAATCCGCGTGAATCAGTAACAGCAGACAAACAACAATCTGGGGAGCACCATGTCGTCACGAACCCTCTTCTTGAGCCACCTCCGATAGAAGTCGTCAGTCGTCTTCCACATGGCCCAACTCGCCGTGCTCACAGCAAAAACCAGCACCAAGCCGACAATGGTCGAGAAGAACTCCAAGCCCGCCGAGGCCAAGGTCCGGCTCAGGCCCCAGATCAGCAGCTCGCTCGCCAAGCAAATCATGACAACCAACAAATATCCAGCTCCTTCAGCAATGGCCTTGTTCCAGCGAAGCCGCCAGATGCCTGGTCCGGCCATGTTGTGAGAGATTCTCGCCGCGGAGAATATAACAAAAGGAGGGCGGGATTGCGGCACCTTGATGGAAGAAGCAAAACTTCTTGTGTGATGGAATTCGGAGAGATTTTTATTGTCTTGTCTCGCTTTGGTCGATTTTCTCCGGCCAGCTGTCAGGTTGGCGTGGTTTCTCTCTCAGACAGCTGATGGCAGGCGGTCAAGACGGCAGAGCTACTTCCGAGTTGTCTCTCCTTGACATACGAGGACCAGCTGAAATACTCGCCATTGTGCAACGGCCATGGCAGGGGAACAGGGCAGTGGATGTGAATGTAAGTCGGCTGGGCATGATGAAGGATCCCTGGCCGCTGCGAATCTTGGGCTACGCACATGTATCTCTCTGGGTGCATCACGGCTGGCCTTGGAGCGATTACATGTACACTTACGCAGGCACGAATCTCTGCAGGGACAGCTGGCCATCTGAGGGCAGCATGGAGTCACAGAGCCGGCAGATGCTGCATCATCAACCTCGCTACCTGCCAGTCATCCCATGTCTCATCTACCAGTATCCAGCATCAGCCGCAAGCCGCAAGCCTTACCCCGTTGAGGGCCGCTGAACTGTGTCTACACAGCGGCAGGCCTTGGCCGGTCGTCGCAGCTCGGTGGGAGATGACGGGCTTCCATGTCGATGGCCGAAGTTTGAGACATGTGTCCTACATCCGGAGAGTCGTGATCCACCTCGGACGCATGCCGGGCTGAAACGGCCAATTTCGACAGGGCTGTCGTCTCTACTGCTTTTCATGCTTTTATTCTGACTTGCAGATGCAAGAGATGAAGTGATTTACTGCCAGAAAATAGCTTCATACTTGGGGTACTCGCCCGGCTTGCAGCCATAAACAAGACTGGAAGACGTCTCCGAGTGGCCACTCCATCGTCAAGGCGGCACCGCTGCTTCTACCGAGAGCAGTAGCACATGGTGCGAGTCACAGATACTCGATATAGCATCTTGATCTGCAAATAGCTCAAGATACGAGTCCGAGGAATCCCAAGGATGAATTGCCGCTCGGTGCGATCCGCTGCTCACGGATCCTGTTCGCTTGCTTGAGCTGGCCAAGATGGCATCCGCGAAGCTGAAGCTTCAACTTGTCTTCACTTTTACTTGTCGATACAAACGGAGTTCAGATGACACAGAGTGGGGATCGAAGCTTTTCGGGTCACGGCATTGGCGCTGCAAGACGTCGGACGAAATCGATACATGCATGCAGGGCTAATAGAAGAGACGAGCCGGAGCCTGGAAATGAACAGACGGCGAGTCTAATCCTCTGTTCTGTGCCCGGCAGCTTTTGCGCTCGGGACGCCACGGGGGAGTGCAGCTGCGTTTTCGTGGATCTGGTTGCTGGCATAAAATGGAAGAAGCTGGAAGGTTGAAGTTGGACATCATTGACTCGTAACTGTGTGAACCGCTCAAGTTGCTTATACGCTGATGCGGCTGGACACGTCGACAGCAGCACCTGTCAGGCGGCAGTGGCGCACCCAACGTGCAGCTGGAGCTGTGGCTACAGGGGCTGCATGGGGCGTGGCATCGTGGCTTTACAGGGGCCTCAGGCGCTTGGGGCCCAATCACGAACCCCTGGAACGATATATCCCGAATTGAGACCCGAAACCGCAACATGTGGTACAGACAGACCTACACATTGAGTTGCAGACGCCATCGAGACGCTGAGCCATCGCAGCGATTGCACAGCGCACGCAGCTGTCGAGACCAGAGCGTGTGATTTGGCTGTTGATACGCGAATACGAATTGATCTGCCTCTTGCAGCTTTCAAGTGAGCGTTGCACGACGTCAGCTGCGAGCTGCGAAAAGAGGACTGCTTTGCGGCAAGCATCAGATCCCTTGCGCCCAATCCGGGGGCCAGCAGCAACAGGACTAGAAACCCGTGAACCATTGAATCGATACAGGCCACGGATAAAGCAGCATCGAGAAGCTTTCGACGCAACAGACGCTCTGCTCGGGCTCGTGGTCTTGTGCTCCCCGTCTCTGCCCCTCACACGCAGCTCCTTGTACGACCAAGTCTCCCCAAGACGGCGTCTTCTGGAAGTGCCATCTCGCTCAACCACAGACTCAGAATGGATCTGGAGACCAGGGTGCAGGCTGAGGCCCTGCTGCTCAAGGCTGCCCGCACGCATGGCGTCCAGGTACGCCGGGATGAGGTCCAACAGCATCTCAGGCACGACCACCACGGCACCGCATTGGCTGAGTGGGCGAGTTTGCATCTCACGACTGATAATCTCCTGTCACCTGATGAGTTGGCAATGTACGTATGGAGACACAGCTTCGACGAGGAGACGAGGCAAACGCCGCTGACATAGGAACCTATGATGCAGATACTCTGCCCTGGACAGGAACGGCCAAGTTGACATCCTGGCCAATCTCCACGACCTGTCCGAAGTACAAGGTGTTACCGAGGATGACATCAAGCTTGCCATTGATGAGCTCAGGAGATCAACGGAGAGCATAACCAAGCAGAGCGAAACGTTGCGTCAGCAGCAGGATGCTCTATCGCGCCTCGTGAGAAGGCGAGCTGAGAACGATGCTCGAAGGCGGGATCTTGACCTTGATAGGCAAAGTAAAGCTGAGTCGGAGCGGCAGAGAGCTGCTGCAGAGGTAATATTTGGACACAAAAAGATTAGGGACAGGCATTCCTACTGACGGCCATGTTCCTTCTTAGGTAGAGGCGGCTTCTCAGAGCCTTGCCTTTCGCATTTCTGATCTCGAGGAGCAAGGCACGCAGGCTGGATCCAACCTCAAGGGCACTCTCGGCGACATATTCCGTGCCGATGACAAGCTGCTGGCCAATCTACAGAAGCTGGGCTGGGAGCTGGAGCGGCCAGATCCAGATGAAACGCTCAAGATTGACAAGCTGCGTGAGACATGCTCGCGGTTAGCCGCCCATACGACACCCCGTCACATTACACGAGAAGAATTGTTTGCTAACTGCTGGTGGGCCTATCAGACTGGTCAAGATTACGGTTGAAACCGTTCGGGCCAAACTAGATACCACCTACATGGACACTCTTGTGGAAGCCGAGCGCTCGGGGCGCGTCCAGCCTTCGACGCATGAAGAAGTCGAGGCCCTCGAGGCAGAGGTGGATTCTCTGCACTCGGAGATTCTCTCTGTTGCTCAGATGTCTGTGGAACAGCAGTACCTTGAGCAGGCTCTCCAAACGGTTTCGACAGAAGGCGGCCAAAGTGCGATGCGCACATCCAACGCCTTGGAATACGTGAGCGCTCATCCCTGATTTTTCTACCCAAAATCTACGTTGCCAACGTAATTCTTATTCTGCAGATTAATAAATGCCTTGATCACTTGGTCGGCCGCCTTGACCAGATCCAAGGTCGCATCGAGACTCACCTGTCGCACCAGGCTGCCGCCGCGTCACTCATCTCCACCGCCAAGATGGAAATGGCCGTCGAGATCTTGCTGCCCGTGAAGCAGCCGTCATCGTCCGCCCCAGCATCGATATTCCCCACATCGCCGAGCAAGAGCAGTAATACTCCTGCGCGGAAGCGCTCCAACACCGTTGGCTCTCACCACCACCGCCGCAGATCGTCCGGTGTCGCGGACGAGCCCCCGCTCGACACCCTCATGTACACCATGTCAGTCCCTTCGTCAGTGTCTGAAGAAACCGACGGCAGGGCACAGATCGTGGCTCTGTCAAAGATTCTCGAGGAGCGATCCAAGAAGACGGATGAAATTGCTCGGAATGCGCAGGAAACGTTTGAACTGGGCGCGCTGGCGCAGCTGAACGATGCTCGGCTTGCCATCCAGCTGGTGCGGGACAGCGTGTTGGCTGAGAGTCCGTTTAATGCGCCGAGACTGGTTGATCCGGAGATTTCGGGCTCCATTACGCTTTTGGCAGCCGATGTGGAGGGTGCAAAGGACAGGCTGGCACCGGTTGAGGGCCAGAGGAGAGACCGGAAGAGCGAGAAGAGGGACGAGTTTGTTGAACGATGGGCATGAGCTGTGGGAGAAACCCTCCGATATCCCGTTTGCGGGTGTCCATGTTGAGAGCTTTCAAGGGTTTATACCTGGTGTTTGAATTTACACACTGCCTTGAATCGACGCAAAGGGCAAGAAAACTTGTTCCAGAAGCTGGGACAAATCTATCACCATATTCTCTGACCATCAGGATTGTCCAACTTGGTAACTTGTGTGACTACCATAAAACAAATAATTTGTCTGCACTCAAATACTACCTAGGAATTTGGAATTTATAAATAGAGTCATAGTCATCTGTCAAAAGATGCAGTTTGGCCCATGCCCCCTGCGGGTAGATCCGACGCAACCCGGGCATTCCTCACAATGATTGATACAGACGACAGGCCGCGTACTCCGTACAAGGACCTCCATTAGGGACTTTCTCGACGAACAATGCGTACCTGTTGGCCAATCAAGCAAAAAAACGTTGGGTATTGAACATTGTTTTCCAGGGGCAAAGGCATTTGATAGGGGGGAATTAGCCACGCAATTTTCTCCAAGGACCCTGTCGCAAAACAAAACACGCGGTTCTCGCATATTCCATGCCCCATCTCCAGCAGTTACTTGCCAATAGTACATTTATATAGCAAAATGCAATGTGATATAAGCTGCATTTGGCATCCGCTGCCAGAGCACTCTTTTTCACTCGGTGACTCCGCTCCGTTGATGCATGCAGTCAGCTTCCTTCACGTATGACCGTCCCCGCTTCTTACTTACGTATAGTTTGCTGCATACTTGAATATCTCTGCCATAATCGCGGAAGTACTTCCTAGTTGCCGGTGTCAAAAAATAAGTATCGAGGCACGTTTTTAATGCTGCTGCCTTCTGGGGGGGACCTGCAGTAGGATCATACCAGGATGCAAAGGAATCGTAGATTTGAAAGCCACACATAACATTTGACCTATAATATGTCCAAGGGTTACTCAATTCAAACAACATCGCCATCAACTTTTCAGAAAATAAACCGTAAAAAAAATACACACACACACACACACAATGCTCTCCGCCGGCATCCTCGAATCCCGCCTCAACGCCCTCTACAACCAACTCGAAGGCCTCCGCCCCGACTCCTCCGACGCCGAACTCGTCGCCTTCGCCTCCTTCTTCGCCCAAGACTGCGTCGTCAACTTTGAAAGCATGCGAGAGGCCAAGGAGCCGTCCCTCGGGCGAGACGGCGTCGTCGCCAAACTGCGCGACCAGATGAAGCATCTGTACCTCGAGCAGCGCACCGTCGTCAGCCAGGTGATTAGCGAGTCCGACATGCGCGTGTTTAGCGAGATGAGGAATCGGTATAATGTGCATTCCGAGGTGCTGGATGATTTCCCCGAGACGCTGGTGGCGACATTTGACGACGAGGGGTTGATTACGAATTTCTCGCTGTACGGCTGCAGAAGTCACATCTTGATCATGATCCAAAAGGCCACTGGTAACGGACCCTTTTCAGCGGAAGAAATGACAAAGTGAGTACATGTAGTCTTCATATAGCTCGCCATGCTGAAAGTTTGTACTAATTGTTAGATGGTAGATATCCGCCTCATTGTTGTTCGTAAGCGAAGCCTAGAAGCCGGTTTTCAAAACAGTCAATTACATTGCATTGCACGCCCATGAGTATAAAGCATCTCAGTTGGAAGTGATGATTGATATCTATTAAAGTCTAGCCATGTAGAGTATGAATTAGGTACCTAGATAACGACCACCGAATTAAGTGAGACCCGGAATCAAAGTCATCCTTGTCTCTACACCTCAGTCTCCAGTACTGAACCACCGGTTTTTTTCTACATCATCCATTTAGGCCTTGAATCGTCGGGCAATGCGAGAGAATTCGAAGCTTCGCTTGGTAGAAGCAGAGAAGCCGCAACCAGTCTTGCCGTTCTGGAATTGGGCACCAACACCGGAGCAAGTGGCACCGCCGTTTTGACCGGCGCAGCAGCCAGAAGCACAGTCGGCATCGCTGAGGCAGGCACCGGTAATGAACTGCTGGCCCTTGCCGTTGCCGAGGTTCTTGGCACCGGCGGGATCGCCAACTGCGGTGTTGAAGCCAGCGGGAGCAGCAACAGCGCTGTTAGTAGAGCCGGAGCTGGAGCCGCTGTTGGAGCTGGGCGCAGGAGCAGGAGCAGGGGCAGAAGAAGAGCCGCCGTTGGCATTGAAGCCACAGCCAGTCTTGCCGTTCTGGAACTGGGCGCCGACACCAGAGCATGTAGCACCACCGTTTTGACCGGCACAGCAGCCAGAGGCACAGTCAGCATCGCTGAGACAGGCACCAGTAATGAACTGTTGGCCCTGGCCGTTGCCGAGGTTCTTGGCACCAGCTGGGTCACCGACAGCGGTGTTGAAGCCAGCGGGAACGTTGGCAGAAGTGCCAGTGTTGGATGTAGAGCCGGAGCTGGAGCCGGAGTTGGAGCTGCCGGCAGCAGCACTGGGCTGAGGAGGAGCACCACCGTCACCAAAACCACAACCTGATTTCCCAGCCTGGAACTGAGCACCAAGACCCTGGAAGAAGCCGAGTGTTAGTGGAAGGGCCGGAGATGGGAAACTGTTAGAAGAGACGATAGACTTACAGAGCAAACACCACCACCGCTTATGAAAGCGCAGCAAGTCGAAGCGCAGTCCTTGCTAGACAAGCACTGGCCGCCAATGAACTGACCACCGGCGCCATTTCCGACGTTCTTGGCACCAGCAGGGTCACCAAGGGCGTAGACAGAAAGGGCGACTAAATGGTCGTGTTAGAAAAAGAACAAGCTCATCTGGGCCCGTGTGGGTTTGTCGACTTACAAGTAAGAGCTGAGGCAACTGACAAGCGAACCATTTTTGCGGTATTGTGTTTGTTGTGTGTATACAAAAAGATGTTGGTGAAAAGTTCCAAAAGAGAGCGAGAGAGTTGTAGTTGTTTTCGTGTTTTTGAAAAAAAGATTAAAAAGACGAAGCAAGCGACACCAGGTCGAAATTGAACTCTGAAAGAAAGGAAGGTTGGGAAAAAGAGGCACCTGGCCTGAAGGAGTGAAGGAAGTTGAGGTGTTGGTGACTGGGAAGTCGTGATGGTGATGGAGAGAAAGAAGAAGCCAAACATCCTGGGCCCGGACTTGCGCTTCTTCTTATACTCGATTGACAAAGGCATGAAAAAGCCCCATCTTTCCTATTTCTCGTCTTCATTCTGCCTCGACTTCTTTCCTTGTCGTGTTTCCTGGCGCTAAAACTTTGACCTGGGCGTCTCAACTCCCTGCTCTTTTCGCGCGACCAGCCGAGAGCCGAATCAGATGCCACGGACAGACTCGTAGCAGGGGGCCCGAAAGCCCCGAAACCAGGGCGACGTCTGGACGTTTGACATCTCTCGTCTTTGGTCGTCTATGCGCCTTCAAGGGGGGACGAGCGCAAGATTCGGACGAGGGTGCGACTGGCCTCTGCTGGGGGGAGAAGAAGCCGCCGTGACTGTGTCGTTGCGCACCGGCTTAGTGGTTGTGGAGAGAGGCCAGGGGAAAAGAGTTTCGGGAGGCGTTTTCTGCGACAAAGCCGGGGTCGAGTTCATGCGCCGACGGTTTTGTGGCGATCGGGCCGCTAGGCAGTTTCTAGGTTAGCGGTTCTCTAATTCTGATTTTAGCATCAGGAATCAGGATAGAAGGTTGGACACGGCTGTTTTCCGATCATTTGGCGAGTTGACGGCGTGCATGCAGATACACGATGGAAACAAAACGCAAAAACAGGCTGCAGTTGTTTCAACGGGTGGGCGAGATCTGGTCTATGAAAACGGTTTCGTTTTTTTTTTTTAGATTTTGAGCCCTTGCTTTGCCGCGGCTGATGATCGTGCACCTGGACGCAGATTCTGGTTTGTGATACATGATGGATGCTCATTACAGCACCAAATTGCTAATTTGGCATGTGTCAATGCGCCAGCTCGGCGATGCAATGAGGCGCAAGCCGCGGACTCGGGACGACACTGTCTCAGCAGTATTGGACAATGCCGCCATTGTTATTGACCATGCCTCGGATAGCACCGCATAGACCTGTATCTAGTGTTAAGCAACAATCGCCAACGTCGAATCCAGTCCAATCCTCCATCATCAAGCTGCCGGCGTCGTGATTCTGCAAGAGCTGCCGCCTGCACTAAGCCTCGAGCCCGAGCATCTCGTCCAATCTGTCATCGACACGGACAAGACACCCAGTTGCGCGCGCATCTTTCGAGACGCTCGACGGGTTTCATGTTTGAAATTGCCCCTGTTTGAGGATTTCGCTGAGCCCCGGTTTCTGCTAGCACTACGACTAGCGGAATGAGGGCCAAGTATGATCCGGGCCGCGCTGGGACCGGGGTCGAGCTGATTTCTTATTCTTACTTGGTAACCGAAACAAAACTCCGCCAAGTTGCCAGTGCGTGCTTCAGGTCTCGGATCGTAGCTGACACGCAAGGGTTGCTTACAGACGTCAGCATCTGCATCGATTTTGGGAGCATCAGGCAATGGATCATGATCGTTCCGAGCCTGTGCACGATCCCCGCAAATCGTCCTTCTTCTTTGGGCTGCTTTGCGTTGATTCAAGCTTACTTGTACCTGTAGGTATACGAGAGAAACAAGCATTATCCCACAACTTTATTTCGGCGCCAGCCTTTCCGGTCACAAGTGAGCTGGAACATGTCAGCCTTGTTCACTGATTGCCGTTTCTGCGCTTGAGTGCTTTATCGGGCTATTTTTGCATATTCTATTTGTGGAAAGACTTTCTATAGAGAACGTATAGCTGTCATGAGGACGTGTAGCTCAAAGGCATTGCACCTGGTTTTATTCTTCAATCGGCTACCCTACACAAAGCAGCCATTGCGCTCATTTCTAGTAAACGCCAGGCAAAATCCTCCACTTAACCGCCTTTTTATACTTTTCCCAATCCTCCCCATACTTCTCGGCGCACGCGGCGTCATCCCTTCCCTCACGATGTATCAGCAGCGAAGCAAAATACAAGACGTAGAAGTACGTGTAAACCATGCCCCATCCCCTTGCTGCCCCTTGCACCACTTGCCTGCCATCTAGCATCGTGACCACACTCGCTCCCGCTGTAGCAGCAGCCCCAGCTGGCAGAATCATGTATCCTGCTATCCCGGTAGGAAGGCTGAAAGGCGACGCCTGTAACCAGTCTCCGAAATAGTTGATGTGGCGCGACACTCCCCACCATCCATCCGCAAGGAGTCTTGTGCCACGCTTGGTTTGTATGAAAGACATGTTTTTAACGCTGGGGTGATTGGGCTGCGTGCGAAAGATGCGTTTCTGCGAGTTGGATGCGCGAAAGATGTATAGGCCAACGGCAAAAACTGCTGATACGAGGGAGATTCCTGTCCAGCCAAGCTGTAACGGGTAGACGGAGAGGTAGCGGGTTTGCGTAGAATAAAGAAATGGCACCCAGACAATGTCTCCGAAGGACAACATGAAGCCCAGTCCATCTGTGATTGTATCCATCATGACCAGAATTCCCGATTCGGCATATTGTCCTTCAAGGGCGTAGTATCCCTGGACCGCGGCGACGAAGAGAATGCTGTCAGATACGTATCCGTACGTGCGGTACTGCTTTGCAACAAAAGCAAGATCGAGAAGGATCCAGCCCGTCAAACCAGGCCGCATTTCCAGCCAGACCTTGAGATCAATCTCGCCAAAGAAGGGGAGAGTGACGCGAGGGTTGAGCTCACGGCCGATGAAGAAGTCGTACATGATATTGCCGGTTTGGCCGCCCAGCGCGAGCTCTCTCAATTCGCTGTTGCCAGGTTTGACGCTGAAACTTTTCAGGTAGACGAAGATTGAGATTGCAAATGCAAGGATGAGGTTGGCTGTGTATATCTGCAGATAGTTTTCGTCGATAAAAGTCCAGAGAGGGAACTCGGCGCCGTATAAAAGTGTGCCCACGGCACATGCAGCCAGCTGAACAAGACTAGAAGAAAATGCTTCAAATAGTTAGTTTGCTGGGCAGCATTCATTAAATAATCATATATGATGACAAGCTTACCATTCAACTTGTACCTCAGCGGCCGCCCTGATTCTCTCAGCTTCGTGCCATAGACCTCCTGCCCCGGGAGCACTCGATAAAGCACCAAGCTGAGCAAGTAGTAACTCATGACCCAGCCGCTGACCTTCCAGCTGGCAAAGCCCCAGATGCCATTCTCAGGCCATGGAATTTGATCTTTGAGCTGCGTCAGCGAGAGAGACTTAGGCTGGAGGAGCGCGGGCGCAGGGCAGCCGGTGATGTCGTTGCAGGTAAAGTAAAAGAAATAGAGCAGAACGGGGAGGCCAAAGACGAGCGATGCAGTGCCTAACCTGATCCACGGGTTAGACAAAAAAGACATTCGATCCTTTGAGATCAACAACCTACGGGCCACCGAATTCATATTTGTGTTTTGTCGCTGCCATTCTTGCCTCTGGTCGAATACCAGTGCAGATAAATGGAATTTGCGCTACTGCCCTGTATGTTGTCCCAACCCAGATCAGCGTGCCTCTATTCACACTTCTTGGTTCTCAAGCTGCAGCTCTGTACAGATAGAATAGAATATATATTTCTTTCTTGGCGACTCTTATATACATGTGTGTTGCGTATTGGCGATTTGTGATGAAATACGCTGGCGATTACGAATACGCACGGCAAAGCGCTGCCCCATCTGAGCTGATCCGGATCGATCGCGCCCGGGGACTAATTTGAGTTGCTGGACGAGCTCTCATTGGGTCGACTTTCAGATCCACAGCTTCCGCGGCGACCGGATAATGCGTTCGTTGAGACTTGACTCAGAGACGGGAAAGAAGACATCAGTGATGATGGCACTGCTTCGATCAACGTGATGCGTAGTCTGTGGTAGACTTTGAGCTTCAGACTTCAACAAATCATTGTGAAACTGACATGGCCCGTTGGCCAGCAGCTTCACATCCCGTTATTCAACAGCTTCACTACGCCAATCTTGCTACACACCTAAGCCAAGGCAATGAATGGATGATCGTATACAGTTACGCCTTTGCAGTTCTACTGCTGATGCTGCAGATACATTGTCTGGCACACGCGCCAATTGACGAGAGATACATGCAAGCTGTCTAGTTTTCTATGGACAACACTAAGAAATTGCTACGTCGACGATGTACCTCTTCTCTAAGCCGCGCCTCTGCCTACCCTAGAGTTGGATTTCTTTCGAAAAAAAAAAGTAGGGAAGACGCGCCTGCGCCTACCCTAGAGTTGAAAATTTTTCCAAAAAAAAAAAGAAAAAAAAAAGGGGGAGAAAAGAGTTTGGAAGAGACTTTGAATAGGAAATATGAGAGGGAAAGAAAAGAGACAAGAAAAAAACGTGAGAAAATAAAAAGAAGGCCGGAGGGAGGCAGGCAGGCAGGGAGGAGGAGCTCGAAGGAGAAGAACAGAAGAAGAAGGGAAAGAAGAAAAGAAGAAGAAAAAGGGGGAGAAAGGAAGAAGAAGAAGAAGAGTTTTGAGTTTTGAAGTTTTGGAGTTTTGAAGTTTTGAAGTTTTGAAGTTTTGAAGTTTTGAAGTTTTGAAGTTTTGAAGTTTTGAAGTTTTGAAGTTTTGAAGTTTTGAAGTTTTGGAGTTTTTTTTGGTTGGACAAAGATGTTGGACAAAGGCGTTGGATGAGTATGGTGGGTGGAAAGGAAGTTCCGGTGAGTTTTCAGGGGAGTCGCCCCTAAAAACTCATCGGAATCCCTTCCTCCCCACCATACGTGGGATGAGGATGCTATAGAAGGATGTTAGTGAGGACGTTGGATACTAGAAAGGATCAATGCTAGATACGTACCTGTGCTGGTGAGGATGCCGGACGAGTATGGTGGGTGGAAAGGAAGTTCCGATGAGTTTTCGGGGGAGTCGCCCCCAAAAAGTCATCGGAATCCCTTCCTCCCCACCATCCGTTGGATAAGGATGCCGGCCGAGTATGGTGGGTGAAAGGAAGTTCCGGTGAGTTTTCGGGGGAGTCGCCCCCAAAAACTCATCGGAATCCCTTCCTCCCCACCATACATAGAATGAGGATGCTGTAGAAGGATGTTAGCAAGGAACGCTGGATGGGGATGCTAGATACGTACCTGTGTTGGTGAGGATGCCGGACGAGTAGGTATGGTGGGTGGAATGGAAGTTCCGATGACTTTTCGGGGGAGTCGCCCCCAAAAGGTCATCGGAATTCCTTTCTCCCCACCATCCGTTGGATGAGGACGTTGTGTTGATCGTGTTGTGGTGGTGTTGTGGTGTTGTGTGTTTGAGAGGTGAAGAAGAAATCTTCCATCTTCGAGGGGGAAATCGCTGGGTTTATATAGTCGCGTCCTTCTGGCTGGCCTCCCTACTGCTGCAGCGTTATGGGGCCATCTGTGAAGAAATTGACTCATTCCGGATGAGCCGCGTCATTGCCTATGCGCTTTATTATAAGAGACGAGCTTTGCTTTCGGCGAGAAATTGGATTGGTGGCTTGAAGTTTGAAAGATTGGCCCGGAAGTGGATGATAGGCGAGGAAATCGGTCAACCACGAAGCTTGATAGTCGACGAAACTTTAGTATTGGCGAGGGAATTTATCGTTGATGAGGGAATTTATCGTTGATGAGGGAATTTGTCATTGACGAGCCATTGGCGAAGAAGTTTATTGTTGGCAAAAAGCTTTATCATTGGCGAGGGAATCTATCGTTGATGAGGGAATTTGTCATTGACGAGCTATTGGCGAAAAGGTTTATTGTTGGCGAAAAGCTTTATCATTGGCGAGACTTCGTTAGTGGTAAGGAACTGGACTGGTTATCATGAAGTTTCATTGGCGAAGGAGTTTACTATTGGTCAAGCACTTTACTATTGGCGAGGAATTTTACTGTTGGCAAAGAATTTCACTGTTGGAGAGATTTGATCATCGGCGAGACTAGATTGGGGAGCAACTTTATCTTGACCCTTATTGTTCTTGAGCGTGCAATCTAGCTTTGGTTAACCTTTACTTGGCCGAGCAAGCTGAATCTTTCTGCTTTTGGATGTCCTTATCCATCTAGTCATCGAACTGAGTAACATGTGGCTATATCTCCTACATACCCGAGGGTGATCACAGATTAAGCTTTCCCCTCTCTTCTCCGCCAAACGTTATTTTAACCTTATTAGCTCGTAATTCACATGATTGTTTGATTGCTTATACATATTTTCCTTCTATAAAGTTGCTGCTCCACCGTTGACGGACAATTATTGAGAGTTAACTGATGTTCGGCCTTATCTGACTTTTTCTGCTCGGTCCCAGCTGAAAAGATTGGAGGCCAACAACTTTGCAGTAAAGCATATGTGCCAAGTTTACGGATGCTGTGCCGTAAGCATCGATCCTATACTTACGTGGACGCTGATGGTGTGGCTCTTGCTCGGAACCGAAGTCGTGTCAGCCGTAATACCTCTTCCGCCATTTTTGTCCTTCGGATCCGGTCAATTGTCCTACGCTTGTCAATGTTTAGCTGAGTCAGCCCCAATAACTCGCTTCCGAATTGATAGTCGATATGGATGTTGCATATGTGCAGTGAGCAGAGAATGCCTCGACGGATTGGTAATACGGATTGGTAATGCGTTTGATGTCTATTCCGTGCCATGATGTGAAATAATGTGTTTGTAAATGTACTTAAATAAAGAGCCACGTTGGTTGACTTGAAATCATCAACCTCATGTAACATTTTGTAACGACGACACTTCTAAAATGATGACGGAAATCCCAAATGTCCAAACCGCAGCTCTTATCAAAGACCCTGGTCCTAATGCATGGATAGAAGTTCGCCATGACTACCCTGTTGCACAGCCTGGGCAAAATGAAGTTTTGCTGAAAATGGAGTGCTCGGGAATATGGTGAGTTCAACTATGATAATGCTGAAATGCTGAGTCACGAGTCATCTACTCTTTTATCATGTATTCGTTGTGACAGCAGCTGACTGGGCATTGCCTTTCGGCGAGCTTCAGTTACTCGGATATTTACGTCTACACGGGAAATAACCCCCATTACAACGAAGTTCCCTGTCACGAAGGCGTCGGCCAGGTTGTGCAGCTTGGCCCTGGCGTTGCCGATGCTCTTCTTGGTCAGAGGGTTGGACTTGGATGGATCTATAGCGTGTGTGGCCACTGCTACAATTGCATGGCGGGCCGTGATAATTGGTGTGTAAACCAATGCAACACTGGCACTGATAAGCCAGGAACCATGCAACAGTACGTTGTTGCAAACGCGGATTATTTGATGCCAATTCCAGATGAGCTATCCTCGTTTCATGCCGCACCATTTCTCTGCGGCGGCATTACCATGGTTGGAGCACTATCCCTGTGTGACGATGCTCTTGAGGACGGTGATACTCTTGTCATCTCTGGCTCAGGAGGCGGCTTGGGACACTTGGGCCTTCAGATTGCTTCCAATACGAAGAATCAAAAGCGTTTGAATATCATCGCAATTGACACTGGATCGGTCAAGCAAAAGCTGAGTGTCGATCTTGGAGCAGCAGCTTTTATCGATTTCAAAACAGAGGATGTTGTCAAAAAGGTGATGGAATTGACAAATGGTAAAGGCGCCGACGCGGCTATAGTGGTCCCAGAAGCAACTGAAGCCTTTGCTCAAGCATTGAAGTACCTAAGATATACCGGAACGATGATATGCGTTGGTATCACTAAGATGGATTACCGCTTTCCAATTTCCCCTACTGATCTTGAATATAGAGGTACGTGAGGCTACTGGGCACAAAGACATGATAGATGAGGAATATTGTGCTGACATGATAACACAGGGTTGACTATCAAGGGCTGTCACGTAGGAACCAAAAAGCAAATGAATGACTTGCTGATATCAGCTGAGAAAAAGGAAGTGACTCCGAAAGTTGAAGTCTTTGAGTTTTCGAAAATTGACGAGCTGTTCCAGCGCGTGAAGCATGGTGACGTCGTCGGTCGTTTCGTTGTGCAAATACCACAGTAATGCAAGTATCCGTATGAGGTTTACCTTACAAACTCGACCATCTTTCGATTTGTAAATATATGCAGATAAAACATGATTTGTACTATAGCGCCTCATTTATGGCTTGAGATACACAAATGCCATGGAAACTCAAACTCAAACTTTATACATGTATCAAACTTTATATCAAACTTTATATCAGTGCCCACAGTGATCTCTGACTTCGCTTCATAATCGCAAAGGCTGCTAAGAATTCGTACTAAGTACTATTGGAGGCCTAGCGAAGAGTGTCTTTGCTTGGCAGCCATGTCCTGCTTCGTCGATTCTGACAACAAAAGATGGTAATTGATCCGAACCTGTGATGCTACTGTAAGAAAATTCGTAAAATATGTCTTCATTGCTATTCTGACGCCCATTGCTATTCTGACGCCCATTGCGGGTCATTTGCTGGCGCTGTTGTCCTCCCAAAGTGCCAGAGAAGCCCCCAGCTGGCTCACGTAGTGTATCCGAGCTGGTATCGACAGGCCCAATGCCGGCATTAAGAGACTCACGTAAAAGTTTCCTCACTCTTTGTACTGACTGTAAATACTGAGGCAGTTCATCGAGCGCATCGAACATGATTCGGCAAAAGCCATCGAACGCGTCTTGTGCCATCTCATCTCGCTCCAGATAGATTAGCAAAACCTCCGCGGCTAGCTGTAGTGACGCAAGAATATGATGTGGATAAGGGTCCACGCTAATCAATGAGGAGAGTTTGTGTCTGCGCTGAGCTTCGTCTTTGCCGATAGCAACCCGGCAGCTGAGACCAAAGCTGATTGTGCTAAAGATGGTGTGAACGGACTCGCGACGGACGGCATCGAAATCTGGAACAATGTCCGTACGTTCAATGGAGGCAGTTAGGCCACACAAAAGGAGTAATCCCATGTGATAGTGCAATAGCAGAAGGTCTGTAAAGCATTAGCTTGGAAGTTTTTTGTCTCACTGTTTGCATATTCGTACAATAGCATAATCGGACATCTTTACTGAAAAAAAGAATGTGCTTCTCGCAAGCTGCAAGAAGTGGTTTGAAAGTCCTGTTAAAGCGATCCAAGGCCTCTGCGATGAGGAATCGTAGTCTGGCGATGACAGACTCTCCATAGCCATGGTTCATAGCTTCTCTCAGAACTCCGATGAGTTTCCATACATATCCCTTCCAGGTGGATGCCCGATGGACAATATATAGTGTATCATGGCTTGTTGGAACAAATCCATTTTGTCTCCATGCCTCTGTGTTTTCGTGAAATAGCTGAACTCGAGCTTTCACGAGGCAAAAGACTGGCTCTTCCTCAAAGCCAAACACACCACTGCAGAGAATAGAGGGGCATCCTCTAGTCATTGATGAAGAAGTATCAAATACTACACCGGCCCAATACATCATGGTTTCGGCATGAATGAAATCTTCATTGACGGAGTTGTGAGCATTTGGGACTTTTTTACCGAATGATAAGCCAGTTCCAGAAAACCTGAGATCGCGTCGTTTTACCCTTAGTCTATGGATTTGGCGAAGCGCCATGTCGATGCTGACCTCACCAGCCATGTAAGCATTCTCGATATCCATGGAGGCCTCCTCGGAGATTGGAGTTAGGCCAAATAGATACAAAGCAAGAACAGTTTGGTAGCTTAGCTTGTCAAACACGGCCATGACTCTGGACCTGGCGTTGTTCCAAAGATGATTGCCAAGCACTAGGAGCTGTTGGCTATCAATTGCATTATCCGTCACCAATGGGAGCCAGCGACAAGAGAAGGCATGCACTGCTGATATCAATGCCAACTGAATGGTGCGATCGCCCCTCGAGCAACGGTGGACGATTGGTGTATGCTGGTTGGCGTCGCAGGCACAGTTTGCCCAATCAAGTGACACAACCAGCTGCAGCATTGTGAGGCCAGACATCTGGGTTTGTAATTGGCATGCTGAATATGTAATCAAGGCGTAACAAAGAGGCTACTTACATGGTCGGGCACCACGTAGGGGCTGCAGTCGGGGCCGGTCCACAGAGTAAGGACAGGCTCGAAGATGAGAGTGAAGACTGTCCATAGCCGGTTATGTAATGCTTTGGCCTCGATTTGCTGGGACAGCTCAGAACTAGATATGAGTCTATAGACTTGAAGATTAGAAGCCGAACAGTTAGTGGTAGCAGATGAATAAGCCGGGACAAACTGCGTATTGCCATCACTTTCTGCCGCGGAAGGTGGGTCAGCTTCATCATGCTGTATATCCTCAGAAGGTTCAAAATCATTGGTTATCCCGGCAGCGCCCGTTTGAGAGTGACCTGATGCCGAGAGACGAGAGAACTGGCGAGTCCTCGGCCTGCTTACGCCTCTAGCTGCCGTTGTACTCCTACTTGCTCGGTTCCGAATCCACTAACATGGATCATCAGAATGGAACTTTGGTCGGAAGCAAAGGATCAGACTTACCTCATAGGTACATGGTAGAGCTCGCTTCGAACAGTTTGTACACTGAACTTGTGGCGATGGCGAACCAGCATCGGAACCACTGGAAGATGCATGATGGCGCTCTTGTAATCGAGATGCATCACATGCGATACGCTTTCCGCGACAGTAGTCGCAACTGGAGAACTGACGCCGACGTGCAGACTCGGATCCGGATACGCCTCGGACCATGGCGGAACTGTGAAAATGCTGGAGTAGTTTTGATAATAAGCGGTTTTTGTTTGGACAAGGGAGTAGCGGAAGACTAGAATCTCGGATCCGAACAGCATCATCATCTGGGATTAGTCAACCATCCACTCCACCATGGCAGTGGCGCCAAATGACTTACACCAGCTGCCTATCGAATCATTAGAAAACGTATAATTATAAATGTGAAGACTCTTTGGATGCGTTTTATCCCAAGCGGACTTTAGCTCTCAGGAAATAATATTTGGTTTAAATTATCAGAATTAAACAGTTCAAAACTCTCACAGTTCTTGTGCAAGATATGGCTCTGCCCTTTGACGAATGGCCCTCGATTCGGGTCAAGACTGCCGACACCAGCCTTTTCGCCCGTTATGACGGAACTGGCCCAGCTATTTTGCTTTTACATGGCTGTCCGCAGCATTCTGTACGATAATCATAATCTTTGGCAGCTTCTTCTTCCAATCGTCTGCATATCAGTCCGTTAACATCATGCAGCTCATGTGGCACAAAGTAGGCCCGCTCCTTTCTTCCAAGTATACCGTCATTGCCCCGGACCTACCCGGCATGGGCCAGTCGACCCTGAGTGAATCGGGAAACTATACTTCTGCATCAGCTGCCGCAGCCGTCATAGCACTGCTAGATTTCTTGCATATCCAGAAAGTGGCTGTATTTGGCTATGACAAAGGGGCTTCAGTTGGATCTGTGCTGGCATGGATGTATGCCGATCGCGTGGCGTCTCTAAGTGTTGGAGAATACGCTCTTCCAGCGTTTGGTCATGAGATTTTCCAAAATCCGGATCCATCCAAGAATATATATGGGCATTGGCATCTAGCTCTATTTTCTGTTCCTGAAGCGGCCGAGTTTCTCATCCGCGGGCGTGAGAGAGAATTTCTGAACTGGTATTTCTGGCACAGCTCCTACGCCGCCGGCGCTCTCATATCTCCTGATCATGTCGAGCGCTATGCAGCCGCACTCTCAAAGCCAGGATATCTGCGTTCCATGACAGAGTTTCTGAACGGTAATATTTGGCGCGAGGTTGAATACTTTAAGCCGCTGAGAGACGATCCGATTCGAATCCCCTTGACGGTGCTCTGGGGAGAGGCGAGTATGGTCTCGGAGGAATTTAGCCAGACTTTATGGGGCCCTACAGCAACTTCTGTCAAGACCATGTTTGTACCAAAAGCTGGGCATTGGTTAGGTGTGTATTTTGATGAACACATTCCCCCTTAAAGTTTTGCTGTTGATAATTTATTAGCGGACGAAAACCCAAAGTGGCTGGCGACTTTTATCGATCAAAACGTTGCTGGTTCGGCTGTTGAGCCATCTGTTGCCAACCTGGCGTATCTGGAGAATCTAGTCACCATGATTTAGCCCTACGCCTATGCCTTGGAATACTAGGAAGAAGTCAATTTTATCAAGTCCATATCACTCTACATAACATTTCTGCAGCTTTTCTATACAGTGAACATCTCAGCGCTGCTATCAATAATGCTAGGCTTCGGTAAGAAGTGCAACTGTATATCTAACCTCCCAAGGCCCTCGCAGCACGCTGCCTATAATACTGCCCCGCCCTCCCATTATACATGTACTTAGATATCTCTACATGCCAATTGTCTTATTAGCATATAAATCTTTTGCTCGTGGCCATTTGTTCATATCTAGCCAAAGTTTAAATATAGCCATATAAGCCATCAGCGAAACTGGGTGTGCCGCCCCCTGTGAAGTACATGTAAGCAACCCGCGCATGCTTGGCATTTACAGCAAAATAGCCGTTTATGCTAACATATCTACGTCAACTGCGAAAGCTGAGGCTGTTGTCACTGCTATCAAAAGAGCGACGCCTTTGCCGCCAAGGTAAAGTTCAAGTGAAATTAAGCTTCATCGAGAAAAGCTGGAAGTTATCGTTCCGGCTTAGTTTAAGTCTCAAACTCAGTGCCACAGATTGTGTCATATTTAGTCTCCGAGTTCTAACTCGTACATGAGTTAATGTCCTCCCAGCTATGAAGCCGAAGCGAATTAAGCTACCGCGAGTGATTCTTATAATGGTGCAGCGATCCAACCCCATATCCGCTACCATGATCTAGCTTCACAAAAAATTGCCTAATTTGGAAACTAGCGTTTACCAGCAGATGTCGTGATACCAAGGGTCGAGTATTACAACCAATTAGACGGTCAAAGAAATTTAAGCTAGATAATAAAGGATACAAGTACTTTCTGCTGATTGGTCGGAATCGAATATATGATCAATATACAGAATCTATGTACCAAGAATTGATTATCGCAGCTTCACCGTGTAGAAGAATGGGTCAATAATAAACCCCTGGTCGATAACCGTAGCCACGGAGTCTTTCTATTGACGACATATTTAGCTTTGATGGCCTCATATACATGAGAAAAGAGGACGCCTTTGGCTCTTATTCCATCACGCCATGTGTATCTTTGATGACGCTCTGAGCAACTACTCATCTATCTCAACATCAAGTTTTATATGTTAAATATGCACGTATTCCATATGTTGAAAACGGTGAACCTGGGCACAGGCACATGGATCATCGACCTTCAACATGAATCTGCAGCTTAGATCCGACAATGACAGTGCGGTGCCCTCGCCGCTACCCGAGGCTGCAGGCTATGTGGTTGTTGTTGCGGTTGGTCTCGTATTTGCACTCGGTATGTTACTTTTTACAATTAGAGCTTGATGGACAGAGCTAAGATGAATAGGAATGATTGGAATAACGCGCCTATTAAAGAAAACCCTCAATGAAGATAACTCAAACGTTGAAACGTAAGCGAGACGCTGCCCATCTCAAATCCTTTAGCGATGACTGACTGATAGGGCGTTACAGCTTCATGGTAGCCAACAGATCAGTTGGAACGGGTCTTGTTGCTTCTGCAGTAGTATCTGTATGGTAAACCTTTCTCATCTAAACTTTACCGTGCTGACAAAGCTTCAGTCGTGGTTATGGAGCACAGCCTTACTTAGCTGTGTATTGGTGACATATCTCTATGGAGTATCTGGAGGATTCTGGTATGGGGCAGGCTGTTCCCCGTAAGTAAAACCATATTTGTAAACATTACGATATATGTCACAACCCAACTAACTTGTGTTCAGAATGATAGTTTTCTTCGCCTATCTCGGGGTTGTTTGCAAAAAGCGTATACCACAAGCACATACAGTCCTTGAAATCGTCCGAATTAGATATGGTACGTCCAAGCAGCTAAGTTCAGTACGATTAAGATATTAAAGGTCATAAATAGGTACTATTGCACATCTTACTTTCACTTTTTTGGCAATCGTCAACAATCTTTTCAACACGATTAACATGATCCTGGGCGCTGCGGCTGCGATTACCTTTCTGTAAGATTTGCGCATCGGTTTTTCAGAGAAACGGTTTATATTGACTTTACATAGAACAGGCATTCATATCATGGCTTCCACATTCCTTTTGCCCGTTGGCGTGGTATTGTATACGCTTGTGGGTGGCATAAAAGCAACGTTTGTGCTCTATTTGTCCGAGAGCTTTAACATACAGCTGACGATTGCTACGGTAGTTTCTTGACGGATTATATACACACATTTGTCATCGCTATTCTATGCTGCTACTTGACGACAAAGGCTCTCCTCCACCACGATGTCGGCTCTATTGACGGATTATACGACCTCGTTGTCAAGGCGCAGTCTTCACATGCAGTCGATGGAAACTATCAAGGATCGCTTCTTACAATGAACTCCCAACAAGGAATATTCTTTGCCATTATTTTACTTGTATCCAACTTCGGTGCCGTTATTGTAAGTTTGACAGACAGTCTTTGTGGTATACTCGCGGAAATTAACACGCACAGATGGATACGAGCTACTTCATCAAAGCGTTTGCCGCATCGCCAAAAGCTGTCGTTCCAGGCTATGTAGTAGGTGGATTTGCCTATTTCTCCATTCCATGGAGCCTTGGTACTATAATGGGCCTTGCAGCTTTGGGATTAGAAAGCTCTCCCATATTTCCAACATATCCCCGCGTAAGTCTCTGTTTTCTTTGAAACATTAATCTTCATTGACCTCTGTTCGCCAATCTAGCAAATGAACAGCTTAGAAGTCACAAATGGCTTGGTACTTCCTTATGTAGCTGTGGCAGTTGCAGGAAAAGGCGGTGCTGTGGCGGTTTTGCTTATGACATTCATGGCAATAACTTCAACACTGTCTGCTCAAGTTATCGCCGTGTCGTCCATCTTTACGTTTGACTTTTACAGAACATACATCAATAAGAATGCAGGAAATAAAGACGTCATCAGATGGAGCCACCTGGGTGTCGTTCTCTTTGCCGCCATCTCAGCTGGCCTAACTGCGGCGTTTAACTACGGCGGCATCAATATGGGCTGGACCTTGTATATGATTGGTAAGAAAAATATTCGCTGTATTGCATATTATCTAATAATCTTGATAGGAGTTGTGACATGCCCTGGTATTTTCCCCTTGGTCTTGACTATACTGTGGAACAAACAAAGTGCCTTCGCAGCTGTTGTTTCGGCGGTAACTGGCTTGGCTACTGGTCTGGGCGTTTGGCTGGGCACAGCGCAAGATTTATATGGTCAAGTATCCGTTGATTCCACTGGGCAAACACTTCCCTGCCTTTATGGAACTGTCGCATCTGCTCTGAGTCCTTTGCTTTACACGGTTATCTTGTCACTCATTTGGCCGGACAACTATGATTGGGCGCGCTTCAAGGAAGAAAAGCTACTACTAGACAGCGATGCCCAGCCCGAAGAATCTGATAGAGAACAAGGTAACAAAAGAGGTGCTGTTAGCAGCACTGCCGAGATTGTCTACGACCAAACAGATCTGAGGTGGAAAAGATATGCGCTGTTTTGGTCGCTTTTCTCATTCTTTGGTCTTTGGGTTCTCTGGCCGCTGCCAATGTATGGAGCGAAATACATCTTTAGTAAGATTGTAAGTTACATCTTCACCATTCAAAGACGCAATATCTAATGACATCAATAGTTCTTCAGGTCGTGGATTGTGGTGTCGCTCATATGGCTGTGGACAAGTCTACTCATATTGGGTGTGTATCCGCTATGGGATGGCAGGAAAGCAATTTTCAAAGTATTAAGAGGCTTACGAGACTAACTACAATTTCGATATAAAATGAATACAATTAGCATTTGCCCAGAAAAGAAAACTCTTGAATGGGAAAGCCATCATTTTTGAATGCCACAACTAGTGGACCGCTCTCTCTTGAACCGGCTGACCATCAACGTCGTAAGCGTCAACCTTGTATTTTCTAAATTCTCGGGCAGGTATCCCTTTCTCAAACAGGATATCCAGCTCCTCATAAGATCTTTTGAACGTTTCTGGGTATCGAAAAAACGCCCACGCAGTAACAAGCAGTGATGTTCCACCCCAGAAATAGGCTGTCTTGCCAGCCCATCCCCAAGCAGTAGGGTTGATCATGTAAGGCTCCAAAACAGCGCCAATGATGTCAAAAAGTTGATGAGCAACCTTGGCCAGAGCCACACTCTGTACTCGCAAGCTAACAGCAGACACTTCGCTCGATGTTGCGTACGCCGCGGGACCCACGGAGATGTCGTAACAGAATACCCATAGAATAGTGAGGGCCACTTGACCCCATTTTGTTCCTTCGTTGGCATGGACCGTAGCCAAGATGCCGATGAGAATATTGACCACAGTCATGAAGATCATGCCCCAGAGGTAAAGATTGCGGCGACCCAGATGGGCAATAAGGACTGACCCGATAAAGGTTGCGAGCAGGCCAATGGCAGTAGCGGCCACTGAGACTTTGTAACTATTGTTTGCAGACAATCCTGCTTGTTCCCAGAAATAAGTTCCCGGGTTCATCATAAAAATGCCGTTGAAGACTTGTCCAGCGAATGACAAACAGCAAATTTCTGTTCGGCGGAGATTGCTGCCTCTGAAACACGCAAGATATGAAGATCCGGTTCGTATCTCTTCTTCATAATTCACCGTATGAATGATCATGGCCAAATGTTCTTTGACTTTTGTGTCGTTCTTGGAACTAAGCCGACGAATGCTGTGTTCCGCGTCTTGGAGACGACCCCTGCGAACAAGATACCACGGAGACTCGGGAGCAAAGAGGCATCCTACGAAGAGCGGAACAGGCCAAATCCATTGGATGGCGAAAGGAATTCGGTAAGACCATTGTGAATCCAAGTTGACAAGGCCGTCAAGGACGCCAATAGCGATGAGCTGGCCGATAATCTGCATAATATTGACACCGCTGGTAAGAAACCCGCGCAGTGAGATTGGCAAACACTCTGAGCTATACGCCGGCCCGATAGACGCAAACGTGCCCCAAACCATGCCGCAGAAAATCTCACCAACAAGAAGTGTCGGTAGGTTATGGGCGCTGAATGGAATAGCAACGAAGCCCGCCATAAGAACAAGGCCAACCAGCATAACTCTTTTGTAACCAAACCTCGAGGAAAAGAAGCCATTGAAAGAGGCACCGAGGATAATGCCCACGATACTTGCTTGTGAGAGACCTGTCTGCCATTTGGCGGGGATCTGATAGCCCTTGCTGACTGGCACTCCGTATGCCTTTTGGAAAGCTGGATAGCCGTAGAAATTATTGATCAGTGCGTTGTCGTACCCGTACATGGCGATGGACAGAGAGAAGAATGAAGCCCATGCCACGCCTTTCCACTGTAAACGAACGGCTTCGAGAATGCCTTGGGAGTGCTCTAGATCGGTGGCCTCCTTGGCTCCCTGGACGATGACACCCCATTCTTTTTCCGGGGCAATATCATTCTCAACGGTTTCAACTGCGGCCTTATTGTCTAGGCCATGAGGGCCATCAACGGTAGCCTGAGCCATGATTATAGCTATGTTATTGTACTTTATGATGAGATAGTTTGATGCTTCGCCGTGTAGTGTTACTTTTAACCTTTATTTATATATTGCCAGAGATGGCAATACGTCACACATCTTCAAGATAGATGGTATTGGTTTATATCAAGGGTAAGCATCAAGATAGATGATCTGTGGTAATCTCGACGAGCTATCCAATGGCGTTATTCCCGTAACACCACCTCCGCCATGTAGTATACTAAGATTTAAGCGATATAGAATGTAACCATAGCATGTCATTCAAATTAGAAGTAGAAAGAAGCTGTGAGGCATCTTTTCAGCTACCATGAGACTAATTGCCCAGCTATCTGCAGCTGTTGAGCACCGATATCTTACAACCTTGGCGTATTTCACATACGCTCAAGATTAGACTGCATACGTTGATAGGAGGCATGTTCATGAGACATGATAAGGGTAGACGGCTCATGATGCCGTTATCTCCCCGAAGGGTTCGTATCTCATGATCATATAGCGAATGCAGCTACCAGCAGTAGCTTACACCCTCTATGAAATAACCCGGCTGATTTTAGCCGAACTTGGAAGATACCCCAATTCCCAATGCATGAAGAATATGCACTTCATATCGTCTATCGTGTAACGTTTTATGAAATGCGAGTCCCGACGGCTGTTCAACCGATCACCCCTCCTAGAGACCATGACTCTATCTTGGGATAATATTTCGACCGCTAGCGCGTATATGAATGCCTCTAGCCCCCCGCAGTGGCGCTGGTCTGGAGAAACAAATGGCACGCCAAGAATAAATAGTAATGGGTATAAACGGCTATAATACGATGTAGATCGTAACCCCGCTTCAATTGACAGGCGAGGGGAGCGCCGAGGATAGCAGTCGAGTCACGATCTTGTAGGTGGGGGACAACATGATTCCGGAAATGTCTCGGTAGTAAAGATAGAAGCCGAAGGGGATTGCTTGTCTCGATATCTCTCATTTAATCGAGCTAATATGAAACAACCAAGTCTACTCTCATTGTTCTGAGTTTGGTGCTGTCATCAAAGCTAACAACCAACATCCGCCCTTCACCATGCCGTTTGATGCTGTTGGTGCTGCTATTACTACTTCAAAAAATGGAGTGGACGCATTATACAACCCCTCATATCCCGACTTTAGTCGATTCAACAGTCGCAGATCGGTTGTATATAGCACCAAAGGCATTGTTGCGGCCTCACAGCCCCTTGCTGCTCAAGCCGGCCTGGACATCTTGAAAGCAGGTGGCAATGCGGTTGATGCGGCAATAGCCACGGCGGCTGCGCTGGGCGTAACAGAGCCAAACTCGACGGGAGTGGGAGGAGACATGTTTATGATATTCTGGGACGAGAAGAAGCAGAAGGCTTTTGCAATGAACGGATCAGGGCGCTCACCAGCTGCGTTGACAATTGAAAAGTGTCGCGAGATAGGCTTGAGCGGGAATTTACTGCCGCCCCAGCATGCAAACTCGGTTACAGTTCCTGGCCAAGTTGCCGGATGGCTTGATGCAATGGACGCCTATGGAAGCGGTAAAGTTACGATGGAACAGATTTTGAAACCGTCCATCGAACTCTGTGAAGATGGCTTCCCGGTGTCCGAAATCACAGCTCGACACTGGATAGAGTGCGAAGGATTGCTTAAAAAGTCCTCGCCAAATGGAGGCGAAGTTCTCTTGGCAGACGGAAAAGCTCCGAGAGCTGGGCAAGTCTTCAAAAATCTCAATCTCGCCAAGGTGCTTCGAGAAATTGCTTCCAAAGGGAAAGCAGGATTTTACGAAGGTTGGGTTGCAGAGTCTATTACGAACACTCTCCAACAACTTCAGGGTGTCATGACAACTCAAGACTTGAAGGACCATACGACGACTTTTGTTGAACCGATATCTCAGGCTTACAACGAGTATAAGCTATGGGAGTGTCCGCCTAATGGTCAGGGTATCATTGCTCTAGAGGCGCTGGGCATTATCAACAGCCTGGAGAAGGAAGGCAAGATTCCTCCTCTCAAGAGTTTACAGCATAACTCTATTGAGTATGTTCATACTATTGTGGAAGCTCTTCGATATGCATTCGCCGATGGAGATGCCTATGTCTCTGATCCAGAGCATTCTGGGCCGACCTGGAAAAGCCTGCTCAGCGAGAAATATCTCGCCGAGCGGGCGTCTAGCTTTAAACTAGATGCTGTTGATACATCTTTGAAGCATGGATTTCCCAAAAGCGCTTCGGATACTGTCTATCTGACTACATCAGACTCGCAAGGCAATGCGTGCAGCTTCATCTGCTCACTTGCCTCCAACTTTGGTGGCGGAATTGTTCCCAAAGGCTGTGGGTTCGCTCTACAGAATCGAGGAACGCAGTTTCATCTGCGCGAGGGTCACGTAAATACCCTCAGACCTCGCAAGCGGCCATATCACACGATTATTCCCGCCATGGTGACAAAGAATGACCGTCTCGATCTCTCATTTGGCGTCATGGGCGGCTTCATGCAGCCACAGGGCCACTTGCAAGTCATGCTCAACTCGTGCGTCTTTGGCTTCAACGCTCAGGATGCTCTGGATGCCCCAAGAGTGTGCATTCGGCCCTCACGCACGCTGCCCGAGTACTCTACGGCAGAAGACTACTCCAAACTGACACAAAAGTCCATGATATGCTTAGAAGAAGGGTTCCCGGAGGAGACGGTGGAGGGCTTGCGCAAGCTGGGACATGAGGTTGAGCTCATAACGGGATGGAATCGTGACCTGTTTGGCCGAGGACAAGTGATTAAAGCAAATTACGACCCAAGTGGCCAGAGAGTCTACAATGGAGGGAGTGATTTACGCAGCGATGGACACGCAGTTGCTTGGTAATATCCTGTATACCCATAGATTTACTTTCTTCTCGCTAGACTTTTCATAGACTGCTCAATATCGTCGTTCCTATGGCCGACTTGATACATCAACCTTGACATCCGACAACTTGGACGAAACAACCCTTCCATCTTTGATCACAGCCAGAATACTCGATTCAGAGCGATCCAACAGCGTAATGTCCTGCAAAGGATTTCCATCCAAGACTATAAAGTCGGCATAAAACCCCTCCTTCACCTGACCCAATTCATCCTCCTTCATGAGCAGCTTCGCCGCGTTTACAGTCGCACTGCGAAGAATCTGACCCGACGTCTGCACCTGGCTTCGCACCGAGAACTCCTTGCTCTGGGCAAAATGCAGCGGTCCCAAGAGATCGGTGCCAAAGCACACCGTCACGCCGGCATCGCCCGCAATCTTGATAGCTTCGAGGCCCCTTTTCAAGACGTCCTCGTTCTTGGCTGCTGATACCGGCGGTAGGAAATTGAGCTGCTTGGACATGACGTGTGTGATTAACGTGGGTGTGAGGAATGTGCCCGTTTCGGCCATGAGCTTGGCCGTCTCTGCGTCGAGGAGGTTGCCGTGCTCGATGCCCCTCACGCCTTGGCGGATTGCCTGTTGAATGGCTTGAGGTGTGTAGCTGTGGCTGGTGACATATGTGCCGTTGTTCTTTGCCGCGGTAACAATGGCTTTGATCTCCTCGTCTGAAAACTGGAGGTTCTCAACTTTATCCGTAGCACTTGCAATGCCTCCGCCGCCCATGATCTTGATAAAGTCGGCTCCTTGGCGCAGCTCATCACGAGCAACTCTGAAGCATTCTGATGTTCCGTCCACGATACGACTGATTTCAGAGACGGCGCCGCAAGAGCAAGGGCTCTGGTCGTGAGAAGACCTCATGTCGCCGTGGCCGCCAGTCTGAGAAAGCGCATATCCAGCTATGAAGAGTCGAGGGCCGAGACAAACGCCTTCTTCAACAGCCTCCTTCATGGCTAGTGAGGCACCACCGCAGTCGCGGACGGACGTGAATCCTCGATCAAGCATCGGTTTCAAGACCCAGGGCTGGCGAATGAGGCTTATCTTCTCGGTCATGTCCCTGTATGAACTTAAACTCGCCTCGCCGGGGACTACGGCGATATGCACGTGGCAGTCAATGAGCCCGGGACATACATGCTTGCCTTTGAGATCAATGGTGATGTCTCCGTCGGCGGGAGTGGGAGTTGCGCTTTCGGTAGTGTCAATGGAGACAATCTTTCCTCCGGATGTTTTGATTGTGACGTTTTCTACCACTTGCTCCTTGACGGGGTCGATGAGCTTGGCATTGATGAAAGTATATGTAGGATGGGCATCTAGCTTCCAGGGCTTGATGATCTTTGACATGTCTATGTTGGCCATGGCTGGTTCCAGGAGGGTATAAGACAAGTTGAATTGTGAAGTAGTCCTAAAGCGTTGAGGCCGGGCGTAGACTGTCGAGATATCCAAACAAGTAGGGGAAACATACGCCACTTTCACGCTTTTTATACTTCTCCTTCTCTATGCATGCTATACTTACTGTATTTGGAGGGAGACTAATCCCTTGACGTAGAGCTTGATAAAGATGCCTCGGCTCCAAACTCTCCGCTGCTGAGACCCCGCGTTCTTTCGTACTGCCACTTACACCACTCCAGATTAAGGTTTAGATGGAAATACACACCACTTCTTGACAATTCTTAGTCCCTAGGAGGTAGCTGAGAAACTGCTTTCAATTTTCAAAAACGTCTACAATGCAATCTATGATATGTTGTGTGCTCAGAACTTAAATGTCTTTTCTTTGCTCGGTTAATAAATCCAAAGAGCCAGTCAAGTCGGCAAGTCTAGTAACAAAAAGTCCGATTGAGCAAACGGAAGCGGAAGCGGAAAAGACTTTACTTCCCTTTTCCGCCTGCGGAAACCGACTTACAAGATCAATACTATTGATTTGGTGGCTCAGCTTACTTCACGTCTTACTCAAGACTCAGTACTATCGACTGGAGGGCAGGGCCGCTTTTTATATCGAATGGTTGTCAAAATTTTAACCGTGAAACTCTGTTCATCATGCGCATTAGCAAGAGAAATACCATTCATTACCAAATAAGGTCTTCAAACTTTGGTGTCAACGGGACGACTAGTGTGTCCGCTTTATGCAGACATGCACGTATTGGATATGGGCTAGTTTAACTCTTGATTATATATACATTCGTATTCTTGTTTCTTTTTGGGTATTTCCTTTCCATCGCTCATCTGCAAATTTCAACTACATGAATCGTGTACTCTCATTCTACCGTTACCTTGCGTATCACCACTTGTTGTGTATTACTTCTCCATTGACCACATTGACCAAAGCTCTTATAGGCTCCAGCTTTTCGCCTTTTCCGAATTGCATCACCTTCTGCATCACCTGTCCATAATTATCACCGGGGGATATCTTTCCAACAATCAACTCTTGCCGTGTCTCAGCACCGTGTGACGTCCGAACAGTCCGGCCAACAACTGCATTCATGCCCTGCAAGGCAAGTGTTATTGCCTCTCTTGCAACGGCCGGGATGCCAGCAGCGTCAAGTGTGAATATCTGCGTCGACGAGTAATTCTTTTGAATAAAATTAACAATGTTTGGGTTATATGCGCTGCCTCCACAGAGAAACAGTTCGTCGATATTCTGTGACGGCGCGAAGCATTTGTAATGATCTACAATGGACTGAGCCGTGATTCTCGTGATTGTGGCAATAACGTCTTCTGGTGAAAGCCCCTTATCCTCTGCTTTGGATATAAGTTCATAAGCTAATGAAGCTCTGAAATCATCGCGGCCAGCACTCTTGGGAATAGATTGATGAAAGTAAGGATGAGAAGAGATGAAGTCGTCCACAATCTCTTCATCTACCTCTCCTCGCTTGCCTATTTCGCCATCCACATCGTATCGTTGCGCACCATTCGTATAGTGGCGAATAGCAGCGTCGATGTAGATATTTCCAGGACCCGTATCGGAGTAAAAGAAGTTATCATTAAGCCCGCCGTCCATGTCTGGGGGTATAAAGCATACGCTGCCGATGTCGCTGATATTTTGACAGGCTCTTAGTTTGGTGGGATGATGCAGAAGCAAGGCATCAAAGTCGGCCAAGGGAACCCCTTGTTGGCCCACAGCGACCTCGCCGACCCGAAAATCGGTCACTGTTGTGATTCCGGTACGTGTAGCAATAACGGCCCCTTCGTTTATGCGAAAAGACGTCCTCGTTTGGTGTGCTGCGGGATAAGGAATGCGCCATGTTGCTTGCGCATGAGAGCTGATAATGTCTATTGTAGATTTATCAATGCCATTGGCAGCAATGAACTCCAACGCGGCCTCGGCAAATGCCTCCCCAAGGATATCATTGAGATGAGCAACTTGTTCTGACGAGTTAAATTCATCAAGAACCATGTCCATCAGCCGCTTCTGCATTTCAGGGTCCAGTAGTGTCTCTCCATATTTCAGCAGCTCCAAGCGGACAGGCTGTGCCGGGTTTTGTTGTCTGAATCGGCATAAAGCGAAATCTATGCTCTCCTAAACCGCCTGGTGAGCATCCAGAATCAACTGACGCATCCCACGAATAATATGGGGCCATACCATGGATATTCCACTGCTCAAGCCCAAAACAACAAAGTCCAGCACGGGATCAGCGTCTATGATAGAGCCCATCTCGAACTTGTATCGCCTGGAAGACCATTATACGTTGTCAGATCACTCCTCTGAAAATTCTGTGCCATCAGAACTAGTAAGGATGAGGCTAAATGGATATCTTGTCGTACAATTGGTAATGCCCCCTGCGACGGACGGACGGGCGCTTTGCTTGGGCGGAATAGCCTTTCAGCCGAGATCAGTCAGCAATGTCTAGATCTCGCTAACAATTATCGAGGATCAATAGCTTCAGGAACCGGCCGCTGAGTGGCAATTATTAGCGCTGTCTGCATGTGATTACAGCCATTGGATGCTTTGCCCAAGTTGGAACTGCAATAAGCCCAATCAGTACGATAGCGGAACTCATCTACGACGCTACCACGTTGACTTTAAATTTGCTACAACGGGGACAATAGCGATTAGAGAAGAATAGATTGATAAAAAATCTTTTATAAACATACTTGGCGAAACGTTGATTGCTTACGGGGGGTAAAGGAATATCCATCCAATTGGCCGAGATCGGCAGCTGGAGCCGCTGTGGTTGTGGCTCAGCCATACACCGCACGCATATTTCTAATTCTTTGGACTGGATCTTTAATTATGTGGTTCAGAGGCGTAAAGTTGGCAACTTTACCGTTAGAAGCGCCACTAAACTGAAGGCTGTCTCCAACCGCCCGTCTCTTAGTTCAGCTTCCGGCGATGATATTCGGGCCGGCTACCGTAGAACAAAGATTAGTTGGTACACTTGGTTTAAAGATAGGCGTGAGTATCTAGAAAAAAGAAAAATATTTAGAGATTAAGTATTGAGAAGTGAGATACATGTGCGCTGATGGGCTTGGATTGAAGATGGAAGAATGTATGTACCGATAGTCGCTATAACACAACGCGCACGACGATATGTCTAGAAGAGAGGATCAAAGGGGATGAACAGACCATGTCTACGTGTGTCTTTACAAATTCATATCTCTTCTTGGTGTCTCCTTGGAGAATTGTAATTCTTGGCGGCATCTCCCGCTCTATAGCAGCTGAACAGCTCCACAACATGTTATCAATTTAACCTATACTTACAAGCGTGTCATGGTTGAGGTTTTTTTACTTGAAATGGCATTTCTTGTAGAAGAAAAGAGACAAATAAAAGATTTGTAATATCGTTCCTTGTGCAACAGTCTTCGGCAGAAGAAGCATGTCGTCCGTTTACGATCACCTAGCATGAGTCAATACGGGAACACAAGCAGTTGGATATGGATACACGTATATGTGTGTAGGCACCAAATTATAGCTCCCGCGCGTTTCCACAGCTAGTCTATGGCGATCTATATGGATAGCTTCAATTCCGAGTCAGCTTGATGCTATCCGTACATGATGTCACACAAAGGGTGGCTATGATCACGAGTCAGTTTATCAGACAATCAATGTCTTAGGCTGTGAGATGCGACAATGAGCACTGATTGGCGGAGTCGCGGTCTCTGTATCTCGGGCAGCACCTGACGCGCAAAAAGGGAGAAAGGGATGATTAACGTGAGGATAACTTATGAAAAATGCGTGCCATTAATGCTATGAAGGTCAATATGCAATCCATAATGCACGTAGACGCCATCAGCTGTCGCTGCCTGCACCTCACCGAGAATCGCAGCCTCACCAGTGGCTGGTAGCGGCCCCTGCCTTAGCCGCTGCAAGGGACCTCTTTCCCCTGTGCCGGGTGCCTTGTGACCACTGAGACTCTCCCTATTAGCGGACCAGGGGCCCCGTTTAGGCCTAGCTGCAGCGTGCCAGGCGCTGACCGCCCGCATCACTCAGTTGAACTGACGCTATCGGAGCTCTGAGCTGAGCTGCTGCTGCGGTATTACGGCATGCACTATCTCTATCTCGCGCTGGCTTATCTCATTTGACTCTACCTCTGTTCTTCCATCATCACCATCACCATCGCCATCTTTCATCCCGCCTCATCTCTCTCTTCTTCCCAATCGCCCTCACTATCTCCTCCTCTTTCCCGCACATATCGATACTCACCACCACGATGGCTGTCCTAAGCCGACTGGCCCTCACGGCCTCGTTTGCCCTCAGCGCCTCGGCTGCTGGGCTCGGCGGATCCTGGCAGCAGAGCCCGTTGACGTCTCCCTCTTCGCTCTCCTCGTCGCAGGGCTCGAAGCCGCTCATTAGCACCGAGGCCCTGCAAGAGGCCATCAGTATCGATGCTCTCGTGGAGCGAGCCCAGAAGTTCTACAAGTTTGCCCAGACCTCGGAGGAGGATTACGGCCACCCGACTCGAGTCATTGGCAGCACTGGTGAGTCGTCTGCCATTGTCAGCCATTGTGACATCAGCTAATAGCAATTATTCAACTCCAGGCCACGAGAGGACGCTCAACTACATTGTCAACACTCTGCTCGACCAAGGCGACTACTACACCATCTCTACCCAGGAATTCCCGGTGACGCTGAGCAATGTCTTCGAGTCCCAGCTCGTTCTCGGCAGCAGCGTATCGAAGAGTGCTGTTCCTATGGGCCTGACGCCGGCAACTAGGGACAGAGAGCCTGTCCATGGCCAGCTGGTGCTCGTCAACAACGACGGCTGCCACGACTCCGATTACCCCAAGAACGTCAAGGGCAACATTGCCTTTATCCGCCGAGGAGCCTGTGCCTTTGGGGACAAGTCCATCGGCGCTGGAAAGGCCGGCGCCAAGGCTGCTGTCATCTACAATACCGACCCCGAGGAGCTCCACGGCACGCT